CACACTGCATTCACTAATACAACATACACTCTGTATACACTACACACTAACACACTCACTGCATCCACTATACTGACACACACTCTGTTTCGCTACACATTAACACACTCTGCATTCACTACACTAACACACACTCTGCATCCGCCACACATTAACACACTCTGCATTCACTACCCTAACACACACACTTTGCATCCGCTACACACTAACACACTCTCTATCTGTACTACACACTAACACACTCTCTGCATTCACTACACATTAACACACTCTCTGCATTCACTACACTAACACACACTCTGCATCCGCTCACTAACACACTCTGCATTTACTACACTAACACATACTCTGCATCCGCTACACACTAACACACTCTCTGCATTCACTACACTAACTCACACACTCTGCATCCGCTACACACTAACACACTCTCTGCATTCACTACACTAACACACACTCTGCATCCGCTACACACTAACACACTCTCTGCATTCACTACACATTAACACACTCTCTGCATTCACTACACTAACACACACTCTGCATCCGCTACACACTAACACACTCTCTGCATTCACTACACATTAACACATTCTGCATTCACTACACTAACACACACTCTGCATTCACTACACATTAACACACACTCTGCATTCACTACAAATTTACACACACTCTGCATTCACTACAAATTTACACACACTCTGCATTCACTGCACTAACACACACACTACATTCATTACACTGACACACTCTGCATTCACTACACACTAACACACACTCTGCATTCACTAAACTATGCATACACTCTGGATTTACTATACTGACACACACTCTGCATTCACTACACTAACATACACTCTGCATTAACTGTACACACAGCATCCACTACATAAACATCCTGTATTCACAGTACACACACTACATCCACCACACATTGAAACACTCTGCATTCACTATACACAGACACTGCGTCTAATACATGCACTACATCCACTACAGACACTGCACCCACTAAACACATTTAATCTAGTACATACAAACACTACATCCACTACACAAACACACACTACATCACTGTACACACAGTATATCTACTACTCAAACACACTCTGCGTTCACTATACACACTGCATCCGCTACACAAACACACACTCTGCATTCACTGTACAAACACTATCTAATGCACACAAACACAATTTTTTTTATATTCTAATTCACTTCCACTATACACACCACACCCTATTTATACAGCAAGCAACGCACGATCTACTACACATTCTCTGGAAGGCAGGATACAAGGTGTCAAGAAGGAAGGCTCAGTTGTGTTTGCCAACTGTCAAATATCTGGGATTCCATATCTCTGAAGGTCAAAGAATTATGGGGCCAGAGAGAAAAGAAGCTGTGTGCCAAATACCGATACCCAGGAATAGAAGACAAGTGCGAGAATTCTTGGGGGCAGCAGGCTTCTGTAGGATATGGATTCCCAGCTACGCGATACTGGCAAAACCTCTGTATGCAGCTATCAAAGGTACAGAGCACGACCCCTTCTTATGGACTCAAGAACAGCAAACGGCATTCGAAGATGTGAAGAGGGCTTTGATGAGTGCCCCAGCATTAGGTCTACCTGACCACACACGGCCATTCTACCTGTATGTACATGAGCAAAGAAGAATGGCTGTGGGAGTATTGACACAGTACTTGGGATCATGGCAAAGACCTGTTGCCTACATGTCTAAGCAACTGGATGCAGTGGCCAGCGGACTTCCACCTTGTCTAAGAGCTGTAGCTGCAGCCGCCCTGCTAGTAGCTGAAGCCGATAAACTCACTCTGGGTCAAGAACTTTATGTACGAGTTCCACATGCAGTACAAACGTTGTTGGATTACAAAGGAAATCATTGGTTTAGTAACAGCCGTATGACCAAGTATCAAGCAATGTTGTGTGAAAACCCAAGAGTGCATTTAGAGACTGTAAATACCTTAAATCCAGCTACCCTTTTGCCACAACCTACTGAAAGTCAACATGATTGTTTGGAAGTAATGGATGAAGTATTTTCAAGTATACCAGATCTTCGTGATTTTCCCATCCAGAACCCTGATGTTCAATATTACACCGACGGCAGTAGTTATGTAAAAGAAGGGATCCGCTATGCAGGATATGCAGTAACAACGATAGACAAGGTGATAGAAGCTCGGCCACTGGCAAAAGGAACATCAGCACAAAAGGCAGAATTGATAGCACTGACACGAGCGTTACAATTGGCTGAAGGTTTAAGAGTGAACATCTACACGGACTCCAAGTATGCGTTTTTAACCACTCATGCCCACGGAGCTTTGTATAAAGAAAGAGGACTATTGAATTCAGAAGGCAAAGAAATCAAATACGCAGCTGAGATCCTACAACTATTGGAAGCAGTGTGGGAGCCGAAAGAAGTCGGTATTATACATTGTCGGGCGCATCTGAGAGGAGATGGTGATGTAACCAAAGGGAATCGGATGGCAGATAGTGCAGCTAAGCGTGCTGCTGAATCAGGAAGACAGGAATATGTGGGGCATATAGCTGCTCTTATACCAACTCCACTGTCTCAATGGACTCCAATTTATACAGCTCAAGAAGAGGAGTGGTTAAGGACTGAACCTGGAAAGTATTTGGAGAACAAATGGTATCAGTTAGAAGATGGAAGAATAGTTATTCCAGCATCACTAGCGGTATAAATTGTCCAAAACTATCATAACGGGACACATTCTGGGAGAGACAGTACAGAAGAATCTCTCAGAAAACATTTCTACATACCAAGATTGTCCAACTTGACTCAGGCCATTGTACGTAGATGTGTAACGTGTGCTAAAAATAATGCAAGACAAGGACCAGTAAAGCCACCAGGAGTCCAGTTTATGGGGGGACTTCCCATGTCCGATTTACAAATTGACTATACAGTGATGCCTAAATCGGGTGGACATCGCTACCTGCTGGTAGTGGTGTGCACCTATTCAGGCTGGGTAGAAGCATGTCCTACTCGTACAGAGAAAGCAGGAGAAGTCGTGAGATTCCTGCTACGAGAAATAATACCCCGATATGGACTACCCTGCTCTATAGGATCGGACAATGGTCCAGCTTTTGTTCATCAGTGCCTACAACAATTGACTCATATGCTTGGTATAAAGTGGAGGCTTCATACGGCATATAGACCCCAGAGTTCTGGTAAGGTAGAGAGAATGAATAGAACTATTAAGAATCAGTTGGCTAAAATGTGTCAGGAAACCCAACTTAAGTGGAACGTTCTCTTGCCCATAGCTCTATTGCGAATCCGTAGTACACCTACCAGAAGGATGGGCCTCTCTCCTTTTGAAATCATGTACGGGCGACCACCTCCCGTGCTTGGTAACTTAAGGGGGGATTTGAGTCAGTTGGGAGAAGGAATTACCCGGCAGCAGGTTGTAGAGTTGGGTAAGACTATGGAGGAGGTACAGAAATGGGTACAAGATAGATTACCTGTGAATATTTATCCCCCAATTCATAGTTACCACCCAGGCGACCAAGTGTGGATTAAAGAGTGGAATAATGTGCCGTTAGGGCCCAAGTGGAGAGGTCCTTATGTTGTTCTTCTGTCTACCCCTACAGCGATAAAAGTAGCCGAAGTGGCTCCGTGGATACATCACTCCAGGGTTAAACCAGCAGCAGCCGATTCCTGGCAAGTTACAGCAAATCCAGAGAATCCCTGCAAGATCCGGTTAAAACGCACGACTCAGTCGGAGTGACGAGGAACCTTGTAGATTACAAATTTTATTGTTTCAGAGACTTGGTAAGTGAGTGAGAAGGCCATAATAAAGCCTGTCCACTCACCAACGAGTGTATAAGTCAGGGAAAGTCTTGAGGGGACCCCTGTGAAGACGAGCAGAACTCCATTCCCTGCAGTCCTTACATCCTGGAAGCTGAGGTGCCTTCACACGGACGAAGACTGAGGATGACGACGAAAGATGTATTTTTAATAATGTTTATTTATGTGTATTTTTATATTCAGGAAGGTAGAGGTACCAACACTCCTAGCTGTGAGGTATGCATTAAGACTACAAGAACAGGTAACCATATATCCCAGACCCTAATTTGGCATTCGCAATATGAGTGTAAAGGAGATGTATCAAGATGTAGATACTTAAATATAGAATATAGTGTGTGTCATTTAGGAGTAGGAGAACCTAAGTGCTTCAGTCCTGAGTATCAACCCCGTACAATTTGGTTGACTCTCAGAAATGGAGATTCTCAGGGGACCCTAATTAATAAGACGGTATTAAAATCCGTATATTCTTCAGGTGCTCTGCTATTTGATGCGTGTAAAGCAATATCAAGTGGTAGAAAGCCGTGGAATGTATGTGGGGATCTTAGATGGGAGAGGACGTATGGGTCTAACGATAAATATATTTGTCCCAGTAGTAAAAATAAATATGTAAGTCCAAGATGCCCAAATAGAGATTATAACTTCTGCCCATATTGGTCTTGTGTGGGGTGGGCGACTTGGGGACAGACAGCAGACAAGGACATGATTGTGACTAAGTTGCCTACTAATCCATATTGTAAGTCTATGGAATGCAATCCAATCCATATACTTATAAATAACCCTGACAAGTTCTTAGATAAATATGGTAATTTATTTGGGTTTCAAATATATGGGACGGGTTTAGACCCTGGGACAATATTGTTTATAGGGATAGAGACTGATACGGTAACCTCCCAAACTCATCAAGTATACCATTCCTTTTATGAAGAGATGAGCATAGATAATAAGATCCCCATAATGCTAAAAACTTGTTCATTGATTTAGCCGAGAGTATTGCCGGTAGTCTTAATGTTACCAACTGCTATGTGTGTGGAGGTACTAACATGGGAGACCAATGGCCTTGGGAAGCAAAGGAGGTAATGTCCGGTTCTGAGGCAGTTGACCAATTAATATCTACACAAGCCGACTATCATATGAGTGTTAGAGGTAAATCTGAGTGGAGATTGAAGACCTCCATCATAGGTTATGTTTGCATAGCGAGGAAAGGAATGATGTATAATACTTCTGTAGGAGAATTAACTTGTCTAGGGCAAAAAGCTTATGATGAGGATACAAAGAATACAACTTGGTGGTCGGCTTCAAATGTCTCAGAACCATCTAACCCGTTTGCAAGATATGCCAATTTAAAGGACGTATGGTTTGATCTATCCATCACATCTAACTGGAGAGCCCCAGCGAATTTGTACTGGATCTGTGGTAAGAAGGCCTATTCGGAGTTACCACAGGACTGGGAAGGGGCATGTGTGTTGGGTATGTTAAAACCATCCTTCTTCTTGTTGCCTATTGAAACAGGTGAGACTTTAGGTGTTAAAGTGTATGATGTGAATCATAGGAAGAAAAGGGGACCCATAGAGATAGGTGCCTGGGAAGATAATGAATGGCCTCCCCAGCGTATTATAGATTATTATGGGCCAGCCACGTGGGCAGAGGATGGTACCTTTGGTTATAGAACCCCTATTTATATGCTCAACCGCATTATAAGGTTACAGGCGGTGGTTGAGATCATTACTAACGAGACATCACAAGCGCTCAATCTTCTAGCGAAGCATAATACCAGGATGAGGACAGCAGTTTACCAAAATAGATTAGCCTTGGATTATCTTTTGGCAGTAGAGGGAGGTGTATGTGGGAAGTTTAACCTGAGCAATTGCTGTCTTCAAATAGATGACGAAGGGCAAGCAATAGCTGAGCTTACTAGCCATATGGTTAAACTAGCGCATGTGCCTACTCAGGTATGGAAAGGGTACAATCCAAGTAGTTGGTTTGGTAGCTGGTATGAGTGGTTTGGAGGGCTTAAGGCAGTGGTAGGTGGAGTCCTACTGATTTTAATGTTGTGTCTACTCCTGCCGTGTCTTATACCCTTAGTAGTTAGGTCTGTGCAAAGCCTGATAGAAAATATAGCAGAGAGGAAGGCTGCTGCACAGATAATGGCAATTTATAAATATAAGGCTCTAGATCAGGGAGAACCAATGCAGGAAGACGAGTGTTGAAGATTCACATCATAGGATAAGTCTGGTCTGGTTCAAAGGTAACTTGTGGTGTATGCAAACCAAGGTTAAGTGATGCCTCAAGTAATTGTAAAATATCAAGAGGCATCAAAGGGGGGAATGTGGTGGAATCTCGGTAAAAATAAATTTAGTAGGCCGAGATTACCACGTGGCATGTGTACGTGCATATGCTGACGTATCGATCAGTTGGTTGCACGAGGCAAGATACGATCAGTAGTGTACGGAGCATGTGCAAGAATACAGGATGTAGTATTCCCCTCCTCCATTGTGCTGGACAAGCCATGCGGTCAAGCAGGAAGTTAATTCTTATTTGTAATGATTGGTCAAGAGAATGTGCGGGTGGAGCTTAATATGGGAGGAGTTATGTGCCTATATAGGAGCCTGCACTATTGTTCAGGGCTCAGAACTTGCTGTATTTTTGGTGACATTAGTCCCTCTGAGTCCCGATCGGTGATCCAATAAAGAATCTCTTCCTTCCTGAAGAAACCTGTGTCCATCCCTCTGTGCTTTGCTTCCGTCAGTTTCTCCGGTATCAAAACCTGTTTTTTAGACTTCCCTTTATCTTCAGGAACTGTGCTCCTGTTCCTCATCTCTCTTCTTGTCTACTCCTGACCACAAATCTTCTTCTTCTCTTCTTGTTTGTGCTCCAAAGCACTCTTCTCGGTCCTGATCTGTGGACCACTGACACAAAATGGAGGTGAAATAAAATGGCGGCACATCCAGAAAAAAGTTCATAAAGTGAGAAATGCCTGTACCTGACTCTGGCTAGTTCTCATTTTCGCTGTCTCTCCATTACCCTGACCTCGTCTCTGATTACGTTTACGCTTTATCTCTGCCTGACATTTAGTCCGGCCATTCTAAGGCCCAGTAATACGTTATATCCTAGTCTTGTCCCTCGCTATCCTAAACTCTGCATGTTGGGGTATTACACCGTTACAGTGTGAGACTATAAAATTGCTTTTATTGGCAGTATAGGGGACGAGTTCACTCAAAGCATTTCTCTCCGCCATGAGAGTCAGCCCCCGCCCCCTCCATTCCCACATTTTTGGTGGCTTTGCCACCCCACGATGTCTCTTTCTTTCAGAAAGATTCTGTACTTCTAGCACATTTGTACTTTGGAATAGCTTCAGTTGTGCCATAAATATAATAAAAGGACATTAAAGACCACTTTATCTGAATAAAATGGCCTTGGTGCAGTGGCCCTGTCCTTTTAACCCAGTGTTTACACTGCACTGTTCAACCCATCTCTAGTGGGTGTCTTCCTGACAGCCACAGTGCTTATGCCGCACTGACTGAGACTTGTGGAAAAATGGGGAAGCTTGGATGCACATGGCACTTGCAGTCCATGTGCATTAGTTCCTCACAGCTCCTTTATAAGAAGATTCCTGGAATGTCCATGTCCCCTCATGATGTTGTAGGAGGTAGAGAGAGGAGAAGCACCAAGTAAGACTCAGTGCTTTTAAATGGTAAGTGAAACTTTTATTCCATTAGTATTGATTGAAGGAGGGAAGCTCTATCTGACTAGGGGCAGGGAAACTAGAACAGGTTTGTATTCCTAATGCTATATACAGTGTTCCTTTATAATTAAAAGTAGTGAAATTTCAAAAAATAAATTAAAGCACCTATTGTTAACTTCTAGTTATTGATTGTGTGCAAAAAAAAAAAAAACCTTACAAGAGGCAGTTTAGCTTTATAGCTATGAGAACAAAGCTGTACACATGACTGAAAGTGAAATGATCAGTACAAACATGCCTATTGATAACCAGCACATTTTAAAACTTTCACACAGCTTTATAACACTCCCAGTCAGTAGACACTATCGAGCGGTGACGTCGACAGCAATGTGTGAATCACATGACCCCTCCCTCCCTTCACTGCGGCATTCCACTCCACTGGAATTAGGCACGGTCACGTGACGCTGCTTCGTCGACAGCACCGCCTGCCATCTTAACTGCGGGCGAATGGTCCCTGAGCCATTGTAATACATAAGAACCAATAGTAAAGCACACCCAATTGCTTGGCTGAATAGCTAGACCGAAGACATAGATAAATATACCGTACTAGCGTGTGTCACAGCGCGTTCTTGGACTAAATGCTAACGTTTATGGTTAGTTTTATGTTAGAATTTAAGCTGTAGGCTTTGCCCGTTGCCCTCAGTAAAAATGGCGGGTGGGCGGTGTCAGCGAGCGTGACGTCAGTGGCTGTGTTAAACTGGAAGGAGACAAGGGGCTGCTGATGCTGTGCTGTGATCTTCAAGGTAATGGGGGTGAAGGGTATCTTTTATTATTAAAAATAAATAAATATATACATATATATAATACAGGATGATTGTGGGTAAATAATGTCAGAATTAGGGCTCAGCTCTCCTCTCTGGGGCCTGGCTGACATTTAACAAATGACAATTACATGTCATTACTGTGATAGGAGGCAATTTGTATTATATATATTGTATCTGTCACTAGTATTCTCCACCAATGGGTTAATAATATGGATTTAGACATGCTGAAAATAGTCATCACTGTAAGATATATATTTTTTTTTAATTAAAGATTGTTATGGTTTATGTCAGTATTTATATATAATATCTATCTGAATTGCAGACATGATGGAGTCTTACATTAATCTTCTTTCTTCACCATTTAGATGTCCTATATTACATGGTGGTTAATCTTATGTATGGGGTTATAGAACTGTCATTTTCCAGTATATATAGTGTGTGTGCATTATGGCGATTCATTCACTGCAACAACAAAATGCTTACTGTTCGTGTAAATTGGATGTGTGTGGGCTAGTCACTAATCTCCAAACTGAATGGCAAAATTGAGGCTAAAATAGCCAGTTAAATGGATATTTATTTTTATTTTTCCCAAATATATTCATAAATATTGTGATTCAGATTTCAATTGTCTGCTGTTAGGAGTTTAATGAATAATATATGTACAAAATGTCTAGCATGTCCTAATGAAAATATTTTAGACCGACACTGACAGAGTTTTTTAGTGAGAATTGTCAGGGATTCCAAGTGAATTGGTAATTTAATGCCAAAATAGCTGAATCAGCAGCATTGTTGATTTGGAGGATATATATATTTTTTTTTACATGTTTGGCTATTTTGACTCACCTTTTTCCTGCCCCTTCCACTGGCCACTAGACTCCCATAAGCAATGTCACCATTGGATGGGCTTTGCAAAATTAAATCACATTCACTTTGATTTCCTGACAATTCTTAGATTTAATAACCCTATTTTCTCCATTGGCATGCTGGTCTTACTGTAGCTGGCCCTGCTTGCATGGCTGACATCATCACCCTTGCCAATCTTGGCCAATCCAATCCTTTCCCATAGGAAAACATTGGGAGCCCATTTCTCATTCGCGACAGAGCACTGTTCAAATCAGCATCTTCTCATAGCGATAAATGGAATCAATGCATCCCTATGGGGAACATTCAGCATCTTCATGCAGAGCATGGAGACACTGAACATAGGTCCTGCACAAGGTACTTCACTAAAATAGGAAGCACCTTTAGTGGCCGTCTGAGTGACAGCACCTAGAGGTGTTACTTGGCAATAGGTATTGAAAGCTATTTTTAAGGCCAGATACTGATAACAATCTCATAACTGGTACATATATTCTTCTTCCTTTCCCTGCCTTTTACCTGTTGCCAGGGAGGGGGACATTACCCTCCCTGGTGATCTTGTGACTTTGTGCAGGCTGCCAGGGGGTTTCCACATTAAAGAGGGACGTCTTGACTAAAGGTTTTTTTTAATTATTCATTTGTATTTTTTATACATTTTATATAATTATTAAAATGCTCTATATGATAATGTCTTGAATGCTATTCCTTGTTCCTTGGCTGCAGCATGCCTACTAGTTTCTGATTAGTATAGAAGTAAAATTACTTTTAACTGACACAATAGGATTTCTGATATAGTAAAGCAACACAATTATGAACATTTGTAATCATTTTTTACTTTAATGGTAATTCTAAAATTACTTCTAAATTTTTTTAGAGAAATAGATGTATGATTTGATTTGGTCATAATGTAAGACACCCACCATGTATAGTCGAGTTTAATAGCGTACCCTGGGACCCATCACATGCTATCTTCTGTTTCCGGCAGGTCCTCTGTCCAACTCTCGCAAGCCTGGAACGATTTGATGGCCGAGGACTTGTGAAAGCTAGAGAGAGTAGGCTGCCTGCATTGTCAGCTATATTGGTATCATTGTAGGCTGATACCAATATTTGCCATAATGCTCAACATCAGCCGATAATATTGGCCAGACCAATAATCTGTCAATCCCTACTAGGCAGTAATGTAAATGCTGCCTTTTCTCTGGAATAGCTTGCAAAAGCTGCACTTCTCCTGTCTGAAGCCGTTGCAAGAAATCCTCTTCTATCCAGCCCAGACTTTCTGTGGCTGTCCAATTTCAAAATTCCCAATGCAGCTCAATGACAAGTCTTTGCAAAGCAGGTGCTCTGTGCAATTTCCTGCCTCTTGAGTTTAGCTGAAGTTAAGCAACCTGGAAGTAACAGGACCGTTTGTCTGTATGCCTCCTGGAGGGGGAACGGGGTTAAAAGTGCCAATTTCTATTGAAACCTTCACTTTTTGTAAAAAAACAAACTTTACTCCTAAAGCGTGTGTCAGCATGCTGAAGTGACCATTTAATAAACCAGAAATGATGGGGTGTCACAGGAAAATGCAAAATATTGACCAAAATAGCCAAATTAAGACAATTGTTCAACTTTATTTATTTTTATATCAAGTTTGGTTATTTTATTTTGGAATCAAATTGCAATTGCCTTGTCAATTCTCAACAATTTAGCTTAAAGGACCACTATAGTGCCAGGAAAACATACTCGTTTTCCTGGCACTATAGTGCCCTGAGGGTGCCCCCACCCTCAGGGTCCCCCTCCCGCCCGGCTCTGGAAGGGAAGGGGTAAAACGCACCTTTTCAGCTGGGGAGAGCTCTCCTCCTTCTCTCCGCCCGCCGCTGAATGGCCACGCTGCGTAGCTGCGCCAAGCCCAGCCTCATAGGAAAGCATTTACAATGCTTTCCTATGGACGCTAGCGTGCTCTCACTGTGATTTTCACAGTGAGAAGCACGCAAGCGCCTCTAGTGGCTGTCAATGAGACAGCCACTAGAGGATTAGGGGGAAGGCTTAACCCATTCATAATTATAGCAGTTTCTCTGAAACTGCTATAATTATGAAAAAATGGGTTAACCCTAGAAGGACCTGGCACCCAGACCACTTAATTAAGCTGAAGTGGTCTGGGTGCCTAGAGTGGTCCTTTAATAAGTGCTTCCCATTGTTTTAAAAAGGAACTGCTCTAAAAAGGAGGCATGATCTAATTTTATCTTATCTTTTTGTATTATATTGCTTAAATGGTTACTCCAGTTTCTTAATTCACTTTATTTTTCATTTAATCGTGTGTGTGTGTGTGTGTGTGTATAATAGTGACTGTACCCTTGTAGTCAGGCTGTAGCTGAATCCAAATGGCAGGTGCCAGTCCCAGAGGCATAAAAATGCATACAAAAGGGCGGGGCCTGACAATCATGGCAGCTGGTTGTGTCCTTTGTTAGCTCCTGGGGACACGCTGAGCAAATCTACTCTTCCAGCAGGCTTTCAGGGCAACCCAGAAGCCGAGCTTCAGTGAGGCCTAGATGGTGCTGAGGAAGGGAGAGGCGGTTGATCTCCCGGACCGGTGCAGGAGAAGTGCTAAGCATGTTTCCGGTGCCCTGCTACCCCCCCCTCTGGACCGGTGGGGGTGATCCCGGCCCCACCCTGACCGCTCCCAAGCACAGCGGAGGAGCCATGGCGGAATCGCAATTGTATGTGAGCAAAGTGGAATATCCTCTAAGATGACGGACACCACGAGTAACCAGACTCCTTTTGGGGGAGAGGTCGGTGACTGACCGCCTGGAAGCTATCTTCAATGCCTTCTAGAGGCGACTGGAGAGCAGACTGACAACCATTGACCTCTACGAGGCACCCCCTGAACCATCTTACTGCTCTCCAAGGCGCCCGCCAGCAAACACCACAAGCCCAACATACCTTAGGCGGAGACAGCCTAATCGGCATGCGGCGGCAAAAGCAGCCCACCCGCCAACTCCGAGGCAGCACAAATCCGGAGTCACCAGGAGGAAAGCAAACAAGGACGAAGAGATGAGAAGAGGGCAACCGCTGACCGCAGATCTGCAGAGGTCACCCGCTACGCGACTTATACTCCCCAAGGGAACAAGAGGCCGGGAGAGGAGGATGAGAAGCGCGCCAGGCCTGTCTCAGCGAGCACTTCGGATGCAATTAGCCTCTCAGACCTGCCAACCTGTGCTACCCTGCAGGACTTTCACTTGCCCCAGGAGGGAATAGGCTGAACAGGGACTGGTACTACTAAGGGGTAGCTCCTTATCACGTTCCCTGCATAAGTCGCTGTGAAGCCAACAGCTCATTGCTATTTTGTTCTTCTCCTCTTATACTCTGCTTCTGTTGTTATCTTTTATCTTATCACTAATTTACTTGTCAGCTGCAAGCATACACAGCGAATTGTAGTCCGACCTATCTACGTGGCCTCCCGGGTGGTTAGCTTGGGGGCATAAAGCTCAGCCCAAGACCTACGCCTATCCTCTGCCCGGATCCCCACCTCTGATGCTCGCCTCAATCAGACTTTCACCCAGCCTCCACTCCTTCAAAAAATCTTTGAAAACTCACTTCTTCATTAAAGCCTATCAATTAAACTGTCAGCAGGTTTCTCATCCCCCACCCCATGACTCCGTTCCTGCACTTGTCAAAAATGACCTACCAAGCACTCAATAAACCCTTCTGTAACAAACTATTTAATTCCCCTACTTTAACCCTTTGTGTCTCTATACCCCACTCCCTCTAGCATGTAAGCTCATCGAGCAGGGTCCTCAACCCCCCCTGTACGTCAGTGGTCTGATCTCAATTAGGCCGCCCATTGTACAGCGCTACGGAATTTGTTGGCGCTATATAAATAATAAAATAATAAAGCAACGGGAAGGTGGTTCTACTGCAGCTGTCTCAATACTATATATAATGCAATTCAGCCTTCCAATACCAGACACCCCACATTAACTTAATTCTCACCATGTCTAAGACTTTGCATAGCTCAGTATTTCTCCCTCAAAAATTATGCTAGACATGTAATGCTTAGCCTGTACTCTACACTATACTAAAAATTGTGCATGTAACTGATATGTCTTGTTTAATCAATCTTTCTTGCCAGTGCTGTTGTGGCATTGGGAAAATGTCTGTTAATCTCATGCACACAAAAAATAAAGAATTAATAAAATGCATACAAAATTGGAAGTAGGGCTGCACTCATGGTCTTCAAGTAGGAAAAATCTTTATTGGTTTATCATAAGGATCATTGTGATCAACATTTCAGTCCCCAACTAGGATTTTCATTAGGATTATATATCTCTTTAGGTCTCCCTCCCCAGTTTTTCGCATGTATATCCTTTACAAAATACTATAAAATCTATTTGAAATGCAGTGTCAGGCCAAGTTCTCCCCAATCGGTTTCACTCATTTGCCGTTATCACGCCACATTATCTTCTGGGTCGTAGTTCAATCAAATGCTTCTAATAGAGAAGCTTTGCCTTCAGTGTATGTGTGTTGAGCGCCACTAATACACCAGTTGGCGTTGAGGAGGGGAAGGCGAGAAGGGGTGTAGGCTGAAAAAAGGGTTGACTGCTGGTAAGTGAAGGAAAGTAGAGTAGAAAGGACACATCATATAATACAGGGAAGCGAAATTTGGAAGGAGTAGAGTGAGAGAGGGAATATCTTTAGATTGTGCACACACACAGTCCACAGAGCTTCTACTTACAATGCCCTTACAGTGATGCCTGCAAGGGAAGAAGCTGATTACATATGTTGCTAATGAGTAGTACGTGCTGAAGACGGACATCATTTTTGCACAGGACTAACATTAAGCAGTCCAGAGCAGAGTTTTGGCCTGCCTAAATCACGTGCCAGGGATGCAATTAGAACCTGGCACAAAGTGCTGATTTTTCTATATTGGCAGCATTTCAAGCAGAAGAGCTGCACATTCAGATTGTCTGCCCCACAACCTCTTCTAAAAGCAGGAATGGCCATAGAGGTTGGAGTAACCATTTAAAATGTACCTGAAGAAATCATTACTTTGAAGAGGAACTGTAACCTCTCTGGAAGATAAGTATTAGATTGTTTAGTGGCATAAACCAAGCAAGAGATAAGTACAATATGCACTTACCTTAGCTACAACCCATGATGCTTTGGGTGTGCGCATACATTTTGACAGAAATGCTTTATTCATGATGACTCCGTAACAGTGATATATGCACTGCGTATGGAACTGCAGGAATTAAACTAATCTACATGCTATGCCTTAAAGGAGATGCAAATAAAAAAATAATAAAGTCCATCTCCTCATCTGTCGGTTAGCTTTTATTCAGTGACAGAGTCACCACTCTGGCATATCTAGAACAGTTGTCCCTGATCTAGTCCTCAAGACAAACCTAAAGGTCCATATTCCTGTAGGTGCACAATTGAGAAATGCATAAGTCCTCTAGCTCTTTATCACAGCAACTACAGCACACATGCTCTATAGTAGATGGGATTATTAAGATGCTGATGCACTAAAGCCTGCTTATTGGCATCACTGGGGAGGTGCCCCCTGCTTGGGGAAGTTTCCTTGAGTGGTTTCAATCGCTTGGTAAGGTAAAATGGAACAATGTGTGGGTGTTAAGGAGGATAGTGGTATTCACAACTGCTAAAGAAATTTAAATATATAATGTATCTTCATGATAAACTATATATTCATTGTTTTAGGAGCTATCAGTTAAAGTGAACCTGTCCTGAACCGTTTTTACATTACCTGAAAGGCACATTTCACCCCTATAAAGGCTTCAATAACTTGTTTTTGTAAAGGTGGAACACAGATTGTATAGATCGAAGTAAGGATCTTTTCCCTTCAGCTGCTCTTTTGACAGCTGATAGGGCCATGGATTAGATGATCTATGGAGAGTCTTTTTGGGTCTTTCATATCCCTTGTGTTGTATTCTCATACATACTCTAGAGCAGGCTTACCGAATATATTTGTATAATGTTATCATATCCCCTCTGAGGTGCAGTTTTTCCAAACTAAAGAGATTTAAATTTTTTAACCTTTCTTCGTAACTAAAATGCTCAGTACCTTTTATCAATTTTGTAGCTTGTCTCTGCACTTTTTATAGTGCCTGTGAAGAAAATAGACTGAGTTTTGGCATTTTCTTCTGTGTTCGTGCTTTTTTACAACATTTCGTGTGTTTTGGATTTATTGGTTCGGCAGTTTAAAACTACCAAACACCGACCACCCTCCTGGCTCATTAACTTCAAAGAGTACCGTCTATTAAGCACTCTCTGGGCGGCCGCCGTTCGTATAGCCGAATGCCACGTGGAACAGAAAACGGCGGCCATCTTGTGTGCACGAAAGGAGGCAGCGGGACTTGGTCGTCAAGTGTCTGGAACTAAAATCGGACACTCGACTTCCCGAACCACCGCTGAAACATACGAACGCCTGCTTCATTTAGTTGCCGAACAGCCAGGAGAGCGCAGTTCGGTAGTTTGGTTCATACGAACAAGGGGAGCAATCGCTCCTATGAGCCAGAAGAATCCATTTGGGACTTGATTCGTTTTTATGCCATTTTCTGAATTGACTGACCGCACGCTGAATTCGTGGAACTGTTTTGGGCAGGAGCCTCATGTTTGGTCAGTAACTTATGACTTCCATACTTTTTGAGAACCCCTGAACCGATCTGGGTGAAGTTTGAATATGTTGGTCCCCCAGATCGGGGCTATCAGGGGATATAATTTGTGGGGATACCTGTTGTATAAAGGGGTGTTCTAATTTTTGGGGAAATTGTGTGCCCTCTGCCTGGAGATAATTGGGTTATTCCTTAACTTATCTCAATATCTCCCAGGCACCTGTATGCTGATTGGTTATTGTCTTTATTTACTGCGGGAGGTCCTCTTTCAGGAGGATTCTCATAAAAGCCAGTGTGGCATCAATACAAGTTATTCCTGTTACACGCTTCATGAAGTCTAGGCACATGCCTGGGGAATATTCTACTTGCTGGGGAGAATCGTCTTGGAAGCTGCATTCATCTACACTATTCCTCTACCTCCTAACTGTAGTTATAATCAATTATGCTCAGCTATTGGGAAAGGAATAGAAGATCGCAGTACCATAACCATTGCAGGTTTTAACAGTGCCCTGATATCCTTCTTAAGAACGGGCGCTCAAAATTGCATAGCATATTCAAGGCGTGAGAAAATAAAAAGTTACCTGCGCTCTCTCCTTAATCCCTATGTATATTTAGACAAATGGAGGTCATTTAGTTGCTTCATGGCCATTGGAGGGAATGCCCGCCTGCCAACGTCAAGGCAGACAGAGAGGGGTATTTTTTATATACACCCTTATATACTTATTAACCCTTAATAGGGAACACATGGGATGGGCGGCAGCATTCTAACAAGGCTGTGTGATACAAAGTAAATACAAATACAAAAAGAGAAGTCCTGCGCTCACTCCCATCACTACTGGGCCGGCAGCAATGACTACAGAACACATCAGCCCCAATATATAGTAAAAACCAAAGAAAATAAAGTTACCTGCGCTCTCTCCTTAATCCCTATGTATATTTAGACAAATGGAGGCCATTTAGTTGCTCCAATGGCCATTGGAGGGAATGCCCGCCTGCCAACGTCAAGGCAGACCCCCCCGAAGCGGGTCCTAACACTGACCCTTCAGCCTGCTTCCTTGAGCTTCTGGCAAAGATATCTCTAATGAGACAGAGAGTTGGCAGGCGGGCATTCCCTCCAATGGCCATCTATCAGATACTTCTGTTTTATTTATTTACTTACTGTTCCACCAGTACCTAGATATACATATTATGCTTGTATGGCTAAGTAGATATTTTTAAAGGGATCATTTCTAATTCTGTGTCAAGACAAGAATGAAAGTTATTGGACTTTGTTACTGTACCAAGTCACGGACCGCCTCAAGAATGTTTAACCCTGACAGTGCTTAATTACCATGGTTGCAAACCTGAAGAAGTATACGTTTCCTTAAAAGGTTGCCATAACTGTTTATGCTAAAAGCAAAGTGTGCAACCTGAAACCTTAACTGTCAAATTGGCATTTCTAAAAGCCTCAAAGGCATTCCCTGAGGCAAAAGTATTGAAACAAAAATATTTATTTTATTTTTCCTGGAAAATTACACCATTAAAAAAAAAAAAATCAGATGGGTTCGCACAAAAAAAAATATATATATATTTTGCAGCTAATTACATTTTGAATGGCAAAATTTAGGCAAAAATAACTCATCTGAGCGTGACTGTTTGGGAGTGATATGAATTGCTGTTTTTTGCAATACAGGTACTTACCTACGCTCTTTATATTCTACATTGATAAATTAGCTCAAGCTCAAAGAACTCTCATACATAATTTAAGCTCCTGGAAAAGTGTCACCGGAGGCCGACCTGTTTAAACACCATTTTTATTTATGCATTTCTTTCCATGACATACTGACCTGATAGCATTGAAGCATGTAAGAGGTCATTCTTTCTTAAGACATAATTGTACTTGTAGGACGGACAAGAAGAACTTGTAATTCTCGTCCTATTAGATAGAGATGTGTTTTATACGTGGCAAAATATACTTTGTATATTACAAGCAAAGTGTGAAATGCAGGCATTGTTCTCTGTAAAAACAGTGTACGGAGCCTGAATATTCTTTTATAGCTTTGGCTATACACTTGTCGACCTTTCCATTTCAGAGAAACAACAGTGTTTACACTTTGCGAAGAACACACCTTTAGTGACTGTCAGACTGACCGTCACTAGCAGCATTGGATTGGTCCTGGGATAATCCAGACAGATGATCTCTCATGGGAGTGAGAGTGGCTGTCTGTCAGAGATTGCCAGGTGAAATATATTATTCTTTTTAAAATAATATAATATATAGAGTTAGAAGCTCCCAAACATGAATGGGGAGCAGGGACACTGGGGTAGATAGGGATCAGGGGCACTATGTCAGATGGGGAGCAGGGACACTAGGGTAGATAAGGAGGAGGGGCACTATGATAGACAGGGAGTAGGGGGACTGGGGTAGATAGGGAGCAGGGGCACCATGATAGATGGGGTAGTAGAGGTAGATAGGGAGCAGGGGCAATGTGGTAGATGGGGGAGCAGGGGATGGGTAGATAGGGAGCAGGGGCACTATGGTAGATGGGGTTGTAGAGGTAGATAGGGAGCAGGGGCAATGTGGTAGATGGGGGAGCAGGGGCAATGTGGTAGATGGGGGAGCAGGGGCACTATGGTAGATGGGGTTGTAGGGGCACTGGGGTAGATGGCGTTGTAAGGGCACTGGGGTAGCTCAGGATAGTAGGGGCGAAGGGGTAGATGGGGTAGTAGGGGCACCTGGGGTAGATAGATGGGGAGCATGGACTCCTTCTAGCTTACCCCACACTTACCAGTCACCATCTGAAGAGATCCTGGATCCCAGGAAAATAAAATCTGTCACTGCCTCCACTTCTTACCCATCAGTTTGCCAGGAACTGAGATTGTTGTTTGCCATGATCTTAGTCTTTTTAATGCTGAGCAACAAGCCAGCTTTTGCACTCTCTTCTTTTACCCTTATCAATAATCCTTTATTTCCTCCTCACTTTTAGCCATCAGAGTAGTATCATCCGCGTATCTGAGGTTGTTATTTCTTCCAGCGATATTGATTCCGGCTTTGGATTCATCCAGCTTGCGCTTGATGTATCCAGCATATAAGTTGAATAAATAAGGTGACAATATGCAACCTTGTCACAATCCTTTCCCGATCTTGAACCATTCTGTTCTCCCATGTTCGGTTCTGACTGTGGCTTCTTGGTCCACATCTGAGATGATCTGGTACTCCCATCTCTTAAAGAACTTGCCACATTTTGTTGTGATCCACACTGTCAAAAGCTTTAGAATAGTCTATGAAGCAGAAGTAGATGTTTTTCTGGAACTCTCTGGCCTTCTCTATTATCCATCGTACATTGGCAATTTGATCTCTCGTGCCTGGTCCTCTGTGAAACCCAGCTTGTACATCTGGTAATTCCTGGTCCATATATTGTTTGAGTCGAGCTTGTAGGATCTTGAGCATTAACTTGCTGGCATGTGGAGCACTCTTTGGCATTGCCTTTTTTTGGTATTGGGATGTAGACTGACCTTTTCCAGTCTTTTGGCCACTGTTGAGTTTTCCAAATTTGTTGGCGTAAGGCAAGCAGAAATTTCACAGTATCATCTTGCAGAATTTTGAAAAGTTCGATTAGTTGGGATTTCATCAACTCCTGCAGCCTTGTTATCTGCAAAGCATCCTAGGGCTCATCTCACTTCGCTCTCCAAGATTTCTGGTTTCAGCTCATTGGACCAACTGTTGAGCTCATCACTGCTGTTAAGACCCTTCCTGTATAGATCTTCAGTGTATTCCTGCCATCTCTTCTTTATCTGATCTTCTTCTGTTAAGTCCCTGCCATTTTTGTCTTTTATCACACCCACTTTGGCATGAAAGGTAACTTTTAGATCCCCAATTTTCTTGAATAGATCTCTTGACTTTCCCATTATGTGGTGATCTTCTGTCTCATTACATTGCTCATTGTATAATGTCTCCTTGTCTCTTCTTGCTATCCTTTGGAACTCTGTATTCAGTTGGACACATTTTTTCCGATCTTCACTACCTTTTTACTTTCCTTCTTTCCTGGGTTATTTTTAAAACCTCATCAGATAGCCAGTTTGCCTTCTTATATTTCTTTCTTTTGGGGATATTTTTTTCTTGCGGTTTCCTGGATAATATTGCAAACTTTCATATGATTTTTACACTGAGCCATACACAAACACACTGCACATCAACATGCACCAGCCTGACGCTCCACCTGCCAGAGATACACCCCCTGTTGGACACCAATGCTCCCCAAGACAGCCCTGCCATTTGTCCGCTGCAGGGATAAAATAATTTAAAAAAAACAAACAACAAATCTCCCTGACTTAAATTCTCTGCTTTTATGTTTCAGTTAAATCATACAGTGAGCTATAATGATTATGGTGCTTGATGCTTGGAGCGTTCCTTTAAAGGGTCATGTATCACTTTTAGACAGCTGTCTCATTCAAAAGCTTTAGGAAGGTGGGGAGTTTGAAGAAACTCCCCTATGTAAGAGGAGTGCCCTTTGACCAAGTGTATTGTAAGTTTATAAATGTTTTCTACATACTTTTCAAAGGCTTTTCTTTAAAATTTTAATTTTCTTTATTTTTTTATTATAAAGCTCTGCCTCTGTCAAAATGTAGAAAAAGTACATAACACAAAGTAGTCCCTACTTTGAATTTATTTTCTGACTGGGTTGGAATTTCAGTGAAAAGATTATTTTTGTAGTGCGGTTGGTGATAGATCCCCTCTAAGATGTGGCAACCGGATCTTCCTATAATATTTTTATTGGAAACTTTTATTTTGTTGGATAGAAAAGGTCAACATTGGAAATTAAATTTATATTTGCAAAAAAAAAACTAGAATTAGTGCTAAATTATTGTCAAAGAAAATAAAAAATGGAGACTTAGGAATTCCATCCTTGATAAGATTGGTCCAGGCTACTCTTGTAACCCATGCTATATGTACTTTACAGGATTCATCCCAAGAGGACAGTTGGTATACACTTGAAGCTAGGAGACATTTAAACTTTTTTGGAGAAACTTCTGCTCTAAACCATATATTGAAAAATTGGTTCGACATAAAACAAAAACTAGATATAGAAGAAAATAATTTCCCTTCTCTTAGAATTTAATTATTAAACGATTTATTACCTGATACTAACTTAATCTCATAGTCTGAAAAAGATATCAAAACCGTTGAAGATATAACTACATCAAGAAAAATTAAAACAGACGGCATCTAGTCCCTAAAAGGATCAACAGAATTTTTTTCTAACCACTCCTCAGAATTTTGGAGGTATGGGACAAAGGATGCAGACTACATACATACATTTATTATTATTATTATTTTATTTATATAGCGCCATCAGATTCCGTAGGGTTGTACAATGGGTTGATTAACAGACATGTAATTGTAACCAGACAACTGGACGTACAGGAACAGAGAAGTGGAGGGCCCTGCTCAGTGAGCTTACATTCTAGAGGGAGTGGGGTATAGTGACACAAAGGGTAAAAGTAGGGGTACGAAGTAGATTGTTAGAAAAGTATTCACTGAGGGCATAGTAGGTAATTTTTGACAGTTGCAGGAGAGGAGTCATGGAGGGTGGGGGATAAAAACCTGCTAACCGTTTAATTGATATGCTTTCTTGAAGTGAGTTATCAGTGATTTTTTTTTTTTTTGAATGAGTGGAGACTGGGAGAAATTCTTATGGAGAAGGGAAGGGAGTTCCACAGAAGCGGTGCAGCCCTGGAAAAATCTAGGAGGCGAGCGTTAGAGGTGGGAGTGTTTGTAGGTGGAGTGTTTGTAGGTTAGAGGTGGGAGTAAACGGACTTAGGATATACGTAGGTCTTTGGCAGAGCGTAGGGGCCTCGATTGGACATACTTGTGTATTAGGGAGGATAGGTAGGTTGGAGCAGCATTATGTAGGGACTTGTAAGCAAGCACCAGAATTTTAAATTGAGCCCTATATCTAACTGGAAACCACTGAGAAGAGTAGAGAGGCAGTCAGAGACACAAGTCAAGATAGGTGGAGAGAGATCCGTAGAGGACAGGTAGATTTGCGTGTCATCCGCATAGAAATGATAATGGAAGCCAAAGGAGCTGATGAGTTTACCAAGGGAGGCAGTGTAGATAGATAACAGTAGGGGACCAATGACAGAACCTTGGGGGGCGCCGACAGAGAGTGGTTGGGGGAAGAGGCAGAGTGAGAGAAAGAAACACTGAAAGAGTGCTGGGAGAGGGAGGAGCACCAGGAGAGAGCAGTATCCTGTAGACCAAAATTACGGAGAATGCAAAGAAGTTGTTGATGATCAACAGTGTCAAAGGCAGCAGAAAGATCAAGGAGAGTTAGTATAGAGTAATGGCTGCGAGATTTATCTACAATTAAATCGTTGGATACTTTGGTCACAGCCGTTTCGACAGAATGACCAGCACGGAATCCAGACATTAGGGGGTCAAGCAGAGAGTTGGTTTAGAGAAAGTCAGTCAGTCTGGTGTACACAACTCTCTCAAGGATCTTAGAGGCAAATGTCAATAGCGAGATAGGGCGGTAATTGGATGGGGAGTTGGGGTCAAGGCTGGGCTTTTTCAGAATTGGGGTTACAGTTGCATGTTTGAAGGGTGAGGGAAATGTGTCAGAGGAAAGGGAAATATTTAAAATTTTAGTGAGGGGAAGAGCAAGAGAGGGAGACATAGTGTGGATGAGATATGTAGGAATAGGATCGAGGGAACAGGTGGTGGGAGGACCGGAGCAGAGCAGAAACCTCTTTTGCTGTAGCCGGTGCAAAAGAGTGTAGAATGGTGGAGGGAGTAGAGTTGGGTGATGTAATGGTAGAGGAAGGAGAGAAATTAGAGATCTCTTCTCTGATTGTAAAGATCTTCTCAGTGAAGTGAGATGCAAAGTTTGTGGCGGACAAGGTGGTAGAAGGAGGAGGATTAAAAGGGTGAAGAAGAGCATCAAGTGTTTGGGTTGATGGGACAGTGTACTTATGAGGGTATTAAAGTAATTTACTTTTGCTGCGGAAAATGCCAGTCTGTAGAAGCGCAGCATATATTTATAGTGGAGGAAGTCAGATGCAAAGTGAGGCTTTCTCCAGCAGCGTTCAGCAGTTCTAGAACATTTTTGGAGGTAACCGGTCAGCTTAGTTGTAATTGGGGGCGCTTGCTGCGTTTAATTGTAGGAGGTGCCATGATGTCGAGTTGAGAGGAGAGAGTTGAGTTGTAGAGTGAGTTAGCCGAGTTAGGGCAAGTTAGATTTGAGATGGGTAAAAGGAGAGTATTGAGTTTGGTGGAGAAATGCTGGAGATCAAGGCAGTTGAGGTTTCTGCGAGATTGGAGAGTTTAGGGTGGTGAAATTTGGGTACAGGGTATGCTGATGTCAAATTTTAGTAGATGGTGGTCAGACAAAGGAAATGGAACAGTGGAGAGTTTGGTGAAGATGAGGTCAAGACTGTTTCCTGCTGTATGAGTTGCTGAAGTAGACAGCTGCGTGAGGCCAAAGGAGGAGGTTACAGAGAGCAGACGGGAGGCATCAGGGCAGTTGAGGTTGTTGATTGGGATGTTAAAGTCCCCAAGTAGGAGGGAGGGAGGGAAGGCTAGAGGAGAGAAAGTGGGGTAGCCAGGAAGAAAAGTGTTCAATGAATAGCCTAGGATGGCTGGGGGGTGGGGGAGGGGGCGATAGATGATGGCAATTCTTAAAGGAGTAGGCTTAAAAAGGCGGACAGTGTGAACTTCAAAGGAAGTAAAGGAAAGGGCAGGGGCAGGGAGGATAGGTTGAAAGGTACATTGAGGGGAGAGAAGGATGCCTACACCGCCTCCTTTACAGTCGAGTGTGGGAGAATTGTAGTCCACCGAAACATAAAGATGCAGGCATAGCGGTATCAGAGGGGGACAGCCAGGTCTCAGTGAGTGCCAATATTGTGATTGAGTTAGAGATGACAAGGTCGTGTATAGCTGTTGATTTAATATTACTACAGAATGAACGGGCGTTCTAGAGTGCACATTGAATGTTGGTAAAGGAGGATAAACTGCAGGGCATGTGGATGAGGTTTGTGTGGTTTCTGGTTGTCTTAGTGTGAGCAGACGAGGTGAAGGGCCCCAGGTTGGATGAGACATCACCAGCTGCTAAAAGTAGGAGGAGAGATAGTGACAGAAGGTGTGAATGGGTTTTATATGAGCAGGGTCTAGGATGAGATTGAGTTAGAGCAGGAGAGAGAGAATAGAGAAATTAGTGCAGGGCTTGAGATGAGGGGGGGGGGGAGTGAAGCAGAGAGGGATTAATGTTAATATAATTGTGTTGAGTGAAGTGGGTGTAAGGAAATATTTTGATGCTGAGGGAGATGAGAGGAAAGGAGAAAATATAGCATTGCTCCTATGAGTAGGCACTTTGAGGAAAACGGTTATGGTCGAAATGCCCGATCATTAAAGAACTATGACAAGATGTCGGTAGAAAGATAAACAAGATATTAAACACTAAGATAGTGCTTAGATCTGGTTTGATGCTTTTACATATTAATATACCCAGTCTGAAAAAAAAAAGAATTGATTCTGTTACTACATATGCTGATTGCTGCTAAATTATTCATAGCTAGAAATTGGGAAAAGTCCATCAAAACCTGACTGGTGTTAAATTAAACACCAAATATGTTACCAATTGAACATGGAAAAATATCCCACCTCTAAAAATAAAATATATAGATATATAATCAATTAAAAAATCAATATGCTATAAGGAAATCTATAAAATCAAGGGAAGTCTAGGAAAAATTATAATAACGCTCTCCTCTCCTCCTCTACCCCCCTGATCGAGAGCATAATATTTGTTTTGTAATTATGTCTATTCATGTCTTGTGATAGGTTTTATAATTTGATTTTGTCAGGATTACAAGTTGAGCCAGCACGCAGAACTGTGTCACACCTAGGACTAAGGATAACGTATAACCGGACCGTAGAATGACCGGACTTAACGTATCCAAGAATACTCAAAATACTTGCCGAGGTCAGGAACACAGAATCAGACATGATTAGGGAAAGCCAAAAGTCAAGGATACCAGAATTCAGGGAAGTCAAAACAATGAGGTCAGGGCAATGAGCAAAATACCCCTCCTGTGGATCCGATTGGCCGTAACCGGCCGTTGACTCTAAAAGCAATTACCACGTTTCCATGTGCATGATTGCTGCTCAGCACAAACCCTCCTGTGGATCTGATTGGCCATAACCGGCCTTTGACCCAAAAAGAAATTACCAGGTTTCCATGTGCATGATTGCCGCTCATCACAACTTTTCCTGTCAGGACGGTAATGCTGCTCGGCACAACTTTTCCTGTCAGGACGGTAATGCTGTTTGGCACAACTTTTCCTGTCAGGACGATAAATGCCATTAACCACATTTTTATATGCGGATGAATACGTGACAGATTTCTGCCTTATGTTATTCCTTCTCGTACTATCTAAATTGCTCATTTCAGATGTATCGTATATTCAGACTCTTGATTAGGGATTGACAAATTATCGGTTTTACCGATATTATCGGCCGATATTTGGTATTTTCAGCAATATCGGTATCGGCCAATAGAGATACCGATATTGCCAATAATACATAATAGGACCCCGGCGGTCCTGGGGTGCCCGCAGAAAGCTGTTACCTCCAAGCAGCTCCCTTCAGCTCCCGTGTAAATCTTGCGAGTCCCGTGGCCGCAAAGCGTTACCACAGGTTACCATGGCAACGCTCCACGCAGACCACAAGATTTACACGGAAGCTGCTGGGAGGTAAGTAACAGCTTCCTGCGGGCCCCCCTGCTGCTCAATACATGCCACTGGACCACCAAGGAATGCCATAGCTCCCCTCCCTGGCCAAGTAACAAGCAGGGACAAAAAAATTAAATAAAACATAAATATTAAAAATAAAATAAAAATAAAAAAATGCCACCTCCCCCCCATTTTACACAAATCACATCCCTTCAGAAACACACACTACACACACACACTGCATTATATATACACACACACTCTGCGTTATATATACACACACACTCACACACACTCTGCATTATCTACACACACACACACACACACACTGCATTCATTATATATATACACACACACACACACACTCTGCATTCATTATATACACACTACACACACACGCACACTCTGCATTCATTATATACACACTACACACACACGCACACTCTGCATTCATTATATACACACACTACACAAACACACTGCATTCACTATACACACACACTCTGCATTCATTATATACACACACTACACAAACACACTGCATTCACTATACACACACTGCATTCACTTTTCACACACTACATTCACTATACACACACTACACAAATACACACTCTGCATTCACTATATATACACACTACACAAGCAAACCCTGCATTCATTATATACACACTACACAAATACACAGTGCATCCACTACACAAACACACAGCTCCCCTGTCTAAACACACTCCATCCACTACATGTGGCATGTGTAGTTTGTGCATTTAGAAATAGTTGTATTTTTTCAAAATGGTAAATATTGGCAAGTTATCGGCTATCGGCCTGAAAGTTCACAGATTATCGGTATCGGCTCTAAAAAAATCACTATCGGTCGATCCCTAAGAACTATGCAACTAATCTTATACCTATGGCAGAACATTTTGTAAATGTAATTTCTTTGTCTTTTATATTTAATTCACAAAGAGAATAAAAAAAATAAAAAATTTTATATTGGGTAAAAGCAGAAGTTGTACAGAAGCTAAGAATAAAACCATTGTTGATAGTTGGAAATAATGATAGCTTTAGTTTCAACTTGGAGAAGTGGTTATTTTTTTTAAATGACTGGTTTCCTACCTAAAATACAATATTAACTTTTACTTATTTAAAAAAAAAAAAAAAATTAGAGGGAGGTTATTTAGCTTGCATTTTTTTTTCAAAGTGGAAAATCCCATTTTATCGTTCTGTACTCACTGTAAAGCAACTAATACCTGTATGATTATTTCTTCCTTGCTGGCTATGACTTTGTGCGTCTTCTGAAATACACAATTATAACTCGGGTACGTAATATGTGGATTACTGCTATAACCTCCCTTTTTGTACCTAATTATCATATATAATGTGTTTTTCATTTTCATATAGTGTAATAATAAACTATACGCTCCTAGCCAAATTGTGTGGTAGAAAAAGGCTTGATAAAATATGCAGTTATAATCTCTAAAAATGTTACACTAATTTTTATTTTGAAAAAATGTATAATTTTGCTAGATCAATAATCATTGTACTTCTTACTGTATTTTTGTAATTTTTTTTTTTTTTTGCTTGCTCCTAAAAGTTATCTTTTTTTTCTAAATTAGAAATGTAGTGTGGCTTCTTATTAATGTTAAAGGGACAGTCCAGGCACCAACATAAGACCTATGTATTTAATGAAATTATATTTATTGTTTTTGTTCAATAACACAGTAATAGTATTTGTCAGCCCATCACTATGAACCTTTCTTCCAACATGTTGATGTTGAGTTATTTTTTTTATTTTTTTTGCTGCTGCTATAGTTGCTGTTAAGAACTGTTCGTGTCATTGTGATGGCTCATCTTTTCCCCCAGCCGTCACCAGTGTTTTTAGGGAGAACTAACACTTTCTGTGGAGCTTCCTCCATAGACTTGCATGCGTGAATAGTGCTGATATCGACTCCTGGTAGCTAAAGAGGGTGCAGAGTATTACATGGCGGCCCCCACAAGGTTGAAAGTAGAAAACCTCCCTTTATGGTCTATAGTGTGCCTTAATGTGACACTGTGTTTCACTAGTTTGTCAGGGTGTTTTTTTTTCTTCACATTCTACATACACATGGCATTTGTACCAGGAAGTTTGAAAATCTTCTGTGTGTCATGATGATTAAACCTTTTAAGTAAACCACTACACGAATGTATGCCATTGCTACTATCTTGTGAGGTTATGGTATCCTATAAGAGACCTGACTAGTTTAGTTTTTACAGTTAGAATTTTAATAGATGTATTTGATAAGCCTGTCTCATTTTGAGGTTTTGTAGCAGTTTGACCATTTTTGTACGAATTTCATTTAAAGTTTTTTTAAAACATTTTTTGGGGTATCATTTTATTTCCGTGTTTTTCTTTTTTTTTTCAAATGGACCTTTCAGCTTAGCAGTTTAATTTGTAAACTTGGTGTGTGTGCAACTGAAATAAAAATCACTAAATTGTGCTCAGCTATGTCCCCTGAGTACAGAAGAACCCTCTTTGCATACTCATGTTAACTACTACTTGCATGCAGCTCATCTTTGTCTGGGGCCACTAAGTCTAGTCCCAGCTGACAGATGGAAGGCCCTGGAATTGAGTTATACTTGGGGTACCCTTGTTACTGGCAGGGAAACAGTTTCTTTTGGCAAAAATACTATATGACGGAATTATTCAGTCATGGGACTTTAAGGAAGGGAGATCCATAATGGAATAATTCCATCATATGTCCTTAATGGGCTAATCTAAGAACAGCATAATTCTAATACATACAGGTCCAAGTCTGCCAAAAACTGTAGTTCTACTCCCAGACAATACTTTTTTGTTGGAGTTTCCAGATATGGGGCAGCATCCATGTCCCAGGTAAATTGTCAAAGAGTTTGTAAGCTGTACTGGGAATGTTCCTTTAAGGAGCAGCTGCAAAAAAGTTAATGCTTGAGTGTGTATATGCAGACTGCGACATGAGTCATTGTATTGTTCTTAGATGAAAGGAATTAAGTCCTCCCCCTCCCAAAATAAAATAAAATATCATTGGGAATTGTTATAGATAGCAAATTAGGCAGCAATATGCAATGTCAATCTGCAGTTGCTAAGGCCAGTAAGGTTTTGTCATGTATAAATAGGGGCATAAATTCTCGAGATGAAAATATAATTTTGCCTCTCTATAAATCGCTGGTAAGACCATACCTTGAATATGCTGTGCAATTTTGGGCGCCTGTTCTAAAGAAAGATATCATGGCACTAGAAAAAGTCCCGAGACGAGCTACAAAATTGATAAAAGGAATGGAGCATTTTAGTTATGAAGAAAGGTTAAAAAATTTAATCTGTTTAGTTTGGAAAACTGGCGCCTGAGAGGGGATATGATAACTTTGTACAAATATATTCGGGGCCAGTACAAATCTTTATCTGGAAATCTATTCATAAATAGGTCTATACATAGGAGACTAGGTCACACATTTAGACTGGAAGAAAGGAGATTTCATCTAAGGCAAAGAAAAGGTTTTTTACAGTAAGAGCAATAAGGATATGGAATTCTCTGCCTGAAGAGGTGGTTTTGTCAGTCACTACAGATGTTTAAACTGCAATTGGATAAATACTTACAAAAACATAACATGCAGGGATATAATTTCTAATTAATTGGGTAATAGCTGCTTGATCCAAGGAGACATCTGACTGCTATTTTGGGGTCAAGAAGGATTTTTTTCCCTAGTTTGTGGCAAAATTGGAAGCGCTTCAGGCTAGGTTTTTTGCCTTTTTTTGGATCAACAGCAACAACATATGTGAGGAAGGCTGAACTTGATGGACGCAAGTCTCTCTTTCAGCTATGTAACTATGTATGTAACTATCTCCATAAGGAGTTAGAGTGTTACTACACAGTGCCTGGAAGATAAAAGCAGCTCAACACTAAAAGTGGAATACCCTTTACACACAATAAAATATACATATACAGAAAAAGAGGTATAAATATTATACCAAACAAGTGGAGCGCTATAAGTAATAGAGGGATACACTCACCCCTTTAATACAATGACAATCCTGAATATTTATGCTTGGATTGTCATTGTATTAAAGGGGTCAGTGTATCCCTCTATTACTTATAGCGCTCCACTTGTTTGGTATAATATTTATACCTCTTTTTCAGTATACATATTTATTTATGTACAGTCCTTTCTGATAATAAATTGTTAATTTAAATTTATTTATTTAATTTTTAAAAAATTTTTTTTTTACATTTGCTGTGCAGATCAGCTGCTTAACTTGTGATGTCCTTAAAGACTATGGAGTTTATTTATTTTACTTATTGATTGTACGTTCTGAAGTCCCAGACTAAAAAGTCCTTTCATTACCATTCGAGGCACCAGAAATACCACAAATGTTTCTGGTTAGCAACACCATTTTAACGCCTTAAGGACCAAAGTTCTGGAATAAAAGGGAATCATGACATGTCACACATGTCATGTGTCCTTAAGGGGTTAAAGGGAAACCTCCCATGGAGCAAAGATGGAGCTCTGACGTTTGTCCAATCTCAGCAGATTCAGGCTCTGTCTCGACTAGAGCACATGCACAAAAGTGCAACATTTATGTGGCTTCTGGCAACTGAAGAGCAGCATGGCTGTGAGGGACTGCGTGCTGTAAGTAAAACTTTGTTCCCCTGCACTCCACCGCCACTGGACCCTCATCAGAGCTTCCTGACAACCACTAGAGGTGTTTCTTCTTCCAGAACCAAAACTCCATCATGGAGTCAAGTACAGCTGATTACAGCAGTTGATTGGAGGATCGCTGTGTTATTGCCATACATGCTTATTTCCCATCCATTGCTTCTCTAGAATTTATTTTTGCACCTTCATCATTTGTTGAAGGGAACATATAGTCCTAAAATAACTGTTATTTTTGTGACAATAGGTTCTCTTTAAATATAGGGGATTTCTAAACGCAGTATTAAAATGCTGAGTGAAGATTCAATTTAAAAGCAATTTTTGTCTTAATATATGTGAATTGTGATTGGAGGTATTGCTTTACTTTCATGTTAGGTTGGGGAAAAAAGTATTATGCTCTTGAATCCTATATTTGTGGAATCATCTGTTATGACGAAAATTAGAATGTGATTTCCCAAGTATGATTTTTCTTTTAAAATAAACACGGGATGCAAAATTAATAAAAGGAATGGAACATTATAGTGATGAAGAAAGATTAACAAATGTTAATTTTTTTAGCTTAGAAAAATGGCGCCTCAGAGGGGATATGAAAACATTATACAAATATATTCAGGGCCAATACAAAGCATTGTCTGGAATCCTTTTCATACATGGGACACAAGATCACACACGTTTAGACAGGAAAAAAGGAGATTTAGTCTAAAGAAAAGTAAAAACAGTGAGAGCAATAAGGATATAGATATCTCTCTGAAGAAATGATTTTATCAGAGTCTGTACAGTTTTTTTTTTTTTTTTTTTAAAACCAACTGGATGCTTACTTGCAAGGACATCATTTTAGGGATATCCTTTTTAATTTGTGGGCTTATAGCTTCTTGATCGACGGATAAATCTGTTTGCCATTCTGGGGTCAAGAAGGATTTTTTTCCCCTAATTTGTTGCAACACTGGAAGTACTTCAACCTGGGCTTTGTACTTTCTTTTGGATTTACAGCAAAAAAAGATGTGAGAATGGCTCAACTTTATGGACATATTTCTCTTCAGCCTATGTAAACTGTAAAACTAGTGATTATGTCTGTTACTAGCGAACTGATGACCGATATCCTTTTTTCACAAAATGGAGATTGGGCAGCTGGGAACAGAGTTTGACGTGCTGCGGGTGCAACTAGCTCCAGTCGCAAAATTGTAAACATCTCTGGATGTGCAGTGTTTCAAGCAGAACACTACACATACACACTCCTACCACCATAACAATTTATACAAACAGAAGTGGTCATGGTGGTTAGAGTAGCCCTTTAAGGTAGTTAAGCTGTTCAATTCAGGTGCAATAAGCAGTAATACGTACTTTTCTGAAGTCTTACTTGACGTAGACAGCTAGTGATAGTGTAAGAGCGTCAGTTAATGCTCTCATCCAATCACTGTTGCTCATGGAAATGTTTCCACATTTGCAAGTAGTCAGAAAAAAATAGGTCTGACTGCTTCTGCACATTGGAGTGGTCTGGGTTCCAACTCCCATCACCTTTAATCCTGCAAGTGTAATTATTGCAGTTTTTATAAACTGCAAGAATTACCTTGCACGGTTAAGTCTTCCTCTGGTGGCTGTCTATCAGAAACTGTAACTTCGTTTGAAGCCTGCTGGTTCTCTGCCAAACAGGTGTTTAATAGCACACAAACATAAGATGTCGAGAGTGGCTTCAAATATGAAAAGACATGACTGAAACTACTTGGAGCATTAATGGAAACTTCGAACAGTCTCACTTGGCTTGCGCAGTTGCTTATATCATGTTAAACCATGGATGAAGGAGAGGCAGCCACTGGGGGCAGACTTAGAGCTGCAGTGTAAACATTGCAGCACTAGGTGCAAAAGGGACACTGCAGCCAGACTACTTCAAAGAGCTGAAGTGGTCTGGATGCCTACAGTGTCCCTTTTAATCATGCAGTTGGAAGGTCCGCCTGTAGCTGCACAGATTGTTGTAGCTATGATGAATACGATGAAGATGAAACAGGACTTCTTCCTCCATAACCTCTACAGGGAGCATTACTAGGTATGGCACTTGAACTGTCCCTGCACAGAATTGTGCAATAATGATGTCCCGAATGGTTCGTCGCGGACGGCGAACATATGCGGTAAACTTTGACCCTGTACCTCACAGTCAGCAGACACATTCCAGCCAATCAGCAGCAGACCCTCCCTCCCAGATCCTCCCACCTCCTGGACAGCATCCATTTTACATTCATTGTGAAGCTGCATTCTTAGTGAGCTGTCCAGGAGGTGGGAGGGTCTGGGAGGTAGGGTCTGCTGCTGATTGGCTGGAATGTGTCTGCTGACTGTGTGGTACAGGGTCAAAGTTTACCGCATATGTTCGCCGTCCGTGGCAAACCGTTCGGGACATCACTATTGTGCAAATTTTAGATAGAGCTGCACAAATACTGTTATGAAGATTAAATCCTTAGGCAATTTCTAAGGAAAGCTTTCTTCACTAAGAAAATGTTTCTTTTTTTACATTGTAACATATGACCTCTTGAAACTGTGAAAAACTGTCAAATATAATGTGTATGTCCGTCCGTCCAGTTTTACTTGCCCGATGCCTGTCAGCAATAGTATACAGATCTCCAAATAGCACTCCAAGGTCTGGTCCAAAAAATAAAACTTCACTTTTATTGCTTACAAATCAAAAGATCAACATTTCAGTTTGATCTAACAAACTTTCATCAGAATCCTGATCAAGATTTATTTTTTGGACCAGACCTTGGAGTGCTATCTATTTAGAGATCTGTATATAAGATTCTTATCCACCTACCTTGCCAAATAAAATATCTTTATACATGTGCTATATATAATCATTTTGTTAGGGGCAGATGAAATAGCTCCTGCCTGGGACTTGTAGCTCCCACTAATATTCAGCACCATTAGGACTGTACTTGCAGATGTGCACATTTAATATATGGATAATGGGCAGCAACAAAACAAACTTGGTTATACAGCAGTGGGATCCATCTTCTGCACGCAGCTTTCCTAGGATTATTGTAGACAATCTGTTAAGAGTTTGTAGGTGTGTTTACGTATACTTTGTAAAATTTGTATACTTATATTATTATGTTTTTTTTTTTTTTAGGTTAAGCATTAGAACAAACATACAAAACCATGGGGGAGCTTTTCCGAAGTGAAGAGATGACCCTTGCACAGCTTTTCCTCCAATCGGAAGCTGCATATTGCTGTGTCAGCGAACTTGGGGAGCTGGGAAAAGTGCAATTTCGAGATGTAAGTGCAATGATAACACCCAGGACATACTCAATGTATCCATCCTGGTAAAATATTTTATAAATAAATATATCTTATGAATAAATGCAAACTGTACAACATAAAGGAAAAAGTACTTTCACAAATGCAGCCTATTGTGTTTCAATTTTGTATCGCTATACCCCACTCCCTGTAGCATATAAGCTCATTGAGAAGAGCCCTCAACCCTTCCTGTGCTTCCAACTTGTCTGATTACAAATACGTGTCTGTTAGTCTACCCATTGTACAGCGCTATGAACTTTGTTGGTGCTTTATAAATAATAATTTTTAGATTTTTGTTGTGCACGAGGTAATCCAGGCTTGCGATACCACGACAGTAAAGGCAAGCAATTCAAAAACATTTCTAGTAAAACCATGGCATGGTATCAGGAACATTTGCACATATTTTTAGTATATGATAGCATGGTAACAATGAGGATAAATATCAGGATAGATGTGTTATGGTAAAACAAGCTTATATTGAAAGCCTTATATTCTATGCCTAATCACTCACTTTAAACTGCAGTGTCAGATTAAGTATAGGTGTCTACCTAGGTGTATACTGCTTGAACAAATAGGCTGGCTATATAACCGGATCACTAGCGAGACTAACAGGCTAAGCTAGACAGGAAGTTTTGTGTGGTTGCATTGTGACATGCTCATCGTGTGTGGGTCATGTATAATATGATCTAGAGTAACAGGTGCCTAAAATAACATATGAGTGGTAACTAGCTACGCCGAAGGTTATTTTCACTGAGGTCTGGAGTCTTATTGATAATGCATTCTGCTCCCTAAGCATTATAGTCATGGTTGTGTGAGACAGCATGTCTAAAATAAAATAATAGCTCAGTAAAATGGTGTAGAGAGTGCTGGAGGCGTGATACAGTGTGACTCTTTCATCTGATGCCCTCTGTTGGGAAACGACTGGAGCTCGCAGGTGGGCCACGTAGGGACACTGCTGCACAGGTGTCAGTGAAGGTGTCCCTCCAGCCCCAGGCTGGTGTACAGGCCTGCATCTCATGGCCACAAACTCAGTGACTTCTGGAGCCCAAGTTTCCATCCTCGTGTGGGGTTTTTCGGAGGGCCTGGTGGTCTTCCGCCGCCTGCGGCGCGTAGGCCTCTGCAGATGTGGGCGATGCTTCTGGGTCTTCACCCTTATGGCCTTCAGCCCGGGTGGGCTAAGTAGAGTGGGAATGGGTGGGTGTATCTCCCTCACGCCGCGCTCACATGTTGTCGGTAAGTTTTGCCGCTCAGTCCGCGTGGCTCGCTGCTGCTTCCAGTGAGTCTATCCCAGAAGCGCTTGAATATTGCTTCCAGTCCCTGCATGGTTTCACTGTGGAGACGTTGGTTTGGGAGCAGGCCCTGCTTGCATGCTGTTCCGTCAGCCGCCTTCTTAAGTGCATTGTGTGCAGCCCTCCGGATTCTGATTCTCAGCGCGTCCGCTCAGCCTGGAAGCTATGCTCCGCCCCACATCAATAATAATAATTTAACATTGTTTCAGTAATGAACAAATGTGGTAGTTAGTAATTTTGGGACAACTCAAAGGTTTTTAGGTCCGAGCAACAAATAAAGATTAAAGGGGAAAAAAAAGTAAAATAAGGGGCCTAGGGACATTTGAGGTGACTAGGGGGGCAATTAGATATAGTGTAGTCGGGAGGGGGGGGGGGTTAAAAAAAATTAAATCGGGTGCAGCCATGAAAGTACAGCTTAAAAAAAAAAAAAAAAAAAAACTTTTATGTTAAATTATTGAGTGAAAAGCTATACAATATTCAATGACCGGCATTCTACATCTGTCAAAACCTTATGTTTGTATAGGATTACCCATTTACTAATTGTATCTTGATGTTGTGTGGCATATGTTTTACTTTATTTCTTGTAAAGATGGCCTGTAGTTCCCACAGCTATATGAAGAAAACTACATTTAGCTTAAAGGCTTCACTACAGGTCTTTAAAAGATTCTTATCCACCATACTCAATACATTATCATTAGACATGTGTTACATCATGTCAAGTCTAAAAGAAATTGGTTTGTCCTTTCACTTCATTCTTTAGATCATGCTGTCACCTAAGCCAAGTGTATAAAATTTCACCTGTTGTTTTAGCAACCATCCATTTTAACTTCCAAGTCTTCTTAATTGTAGAACTGCACGAGACTCAGAATTAAACAGCCACTTACAGTACTGAATGATCTGAACTAAAAAAACAACCTGCCTTATAAGGAGTGGACACCTGGGGAGGCCTATAGTAAAGCTATACCTGTATCTTAAAGGGTTAGGTAATTTTAAAACATCTACTGCTTGAATGTCTAGGTGACTTGAAAAAAACAAAAAACTATTGAATTTTTCTAATGTTAAAGGACCACTATAGTGCCAGGAAAACATACTCGTTTTCCTGGCACTATAGTGCCCTGAGGGTGCCCCCACCCTCAGGGACCCCCTCCTGCCCGGCTCTGGAAAGGGGAAAGGGGTTAAAACGTACCTTTTTCCAGCGCTGGGCGGAGAGCTCTCCTCCTCCGATCCTCCTCTTCTCCTCCCCATCGGCTGAATGCGCACGCGCGGCAAAGCTGCGCGCATTCAGCCAGTCACATAGGAAAGCATTCATAATGCTTTCCTATGGACGCTGGCGTGCTCTCACTGTGAAAATCACAGTGAGAAGCACGCAAGCGCCTCTAGCGGCTGTCAATGAGACAGCCGCTAGAGGAAATAGGGGAAGGCTTAACCCATTCATAAACATTGCAGTTTCTCTGAAACTGCTATGTTTATGAAAAAATAGGTTAACCCTAGCTGGACCTGGCACCCAGATCACTTCATTAAGCTGAAGTGGTCTGGGTTCCTAGAGTGGTCCTTTAAAGTGATCCTATGGTGAAAGGAAAACAAAACCATTTTCCTGGTACTATAGATTTCTAAGGTGCCTTCCTCCCGCCGTGCTAAAGGGGTTAAAATCCCTTCAGTCACTTACTCTAATCCAGTGCCACCGTCCCTCGTTGCTGGGTCAGGCTCCACCCACACTCTTCCTTTGCCAATGTTAGATGGCGGGGGAGACCTAATGCGCATGCACGGCAGCTGCCGCGCTCGCACTAGGATTTCCCCATAGGAAAGCATTATTCAATGCTTTCCTATGGGACAAATCTGGTGCTGGAGGTCCTCAATTCAGGAAGCCCTCTAGTGGCTGTTTGGTAGACAGCCACTAACGGCAGACTTAGAGCTGCATTGTAAACATTGCAGTTCTCAGAAATTGCAATGTTTAACATTGCAGCAATAAGTGTAATATGGACATGGCACCCAGACCACTTGATTGAGCTGCCGTGGTCTGGGTGCCTACAGTGTCTCTCTAATTTTATTCTAAACTTTCATTAATCTATTGTATCGTGATTAATGAAAGCATTGATTCAAAAGAAATGTAAGTACCATTACCACCTACCAGCTGATTGTATTGGTTATGGTACAGAGAAATTTTGGGTGCTTTCCTAGTTTTATCAAACTATTTACAACAATAACTGAAGCTGTCCCTTTACCTGTAGTGTGGTCACTGTGCTTCTTCTCGTGTAATGCAGAAGTTTACTTTCTTTCGAAGAGAGGTAAAATGATTTATGTCATGTGAATCAATATTTGTTGAGTAATAATGTAATTGTTCTTGTGACTCCTGATTTCCCCGGTGCTCTTTTGCAAATTATATTGCCTAGAATTAAACCGATATTCTTCTTGTTAATGGAATTCTCTAATGTAACTATGGAATGGGTTGTAGACCGTTTAGCAGGAACGGTGATGGAGTACAGGTACTCCTCACTTACCGACCTTGTTACGTTCTTATGACCCGGTCGTATAACGAATTGGTCGGTAAGTGAGAAGTTGAGGAATTCCCAGCTCTGGTGTGCTTGTTTATGTTCAGGGAGCTTTCCCGGCACATAGATTAGAGGGATTACCTGCTTTGGTGCGTTCGTCTATGTTCGGGGAAAGTTCTCCAAACTTATATGAACGCAGCAGAGCAGGGAATCCCTCTAATCCCCACGACAGCTCGCACTTACCACCACGCTAGAAAGCTGATCGTAAGTGTGAGCCGTCATAAAACAGGTAGGTTGTAAAATGAGGACCAGCTGTAATGTGAGGGTGGAAAAAATAAGGTAAGAGAAAATGTAATTTAGTATTATGGAAAGTTTTGTTTAATAAAATGTTTCTATATGTCCTGAATGCTTTGGAAACTTTTTTAAATGTCCTGCACAAAAGCCTTAGAGGGTTTCTCCAACCCTTTTTTGTTTTTCACAGAATAATGCCCTATTGGCATTTTTTTTAATGTTTATAAGTCCACCAAAAAAACTTTGAGGGCTTTTCAATAAGGTTTACTTGCCTCAATCCGTGAGAAGTCATGGGAGTCACGCCGAGATCCAATTAAAGGTTTCTCGAAGAGAGGAATTTAGCAGGCTCGGAACGCATGCTCAGAGCTTGCAAGAGCAAGGTAAAGTGGAGGAGGCTGGACAGGGTGCGGAAAAAATAGAGCTGAGGGAATAGGGATGGGTACAATCGATGTGGGAGAGCAAACAAGACAAACAGTTACATCTGTCGGCAGTGTGCCCTGACGATAGACTTAAAGTATGCCCAGAATTGACAGACTGTCTGGAACTCTGTCACTTGTGCTTGAGTTGAAACTAGCCCCCAGCACACAAGTGCCAATATTCAAGCAGAAACACTGCACATCAAGACTCCAACCACCATGACCACTTCAAAAAGCGGATGTGGTCGTGGTGGTTGGAGTAACCCTTTAAGCCTATTCATAAAATCAAAAACAAACCACAAAACGTTTCAGAAAGCTGATGCTTTACGTTTGATGATTATATCTATATCTGGGTTTAGTAAATGTAATAGTCAAAAATGAAAGTCAATACGTAAAGGCTTTGCCATAGAATAAGCCATTTGAAGAAATTACTTTTGTCTTGATTATTTAAAGGGTCACTCTAAACAACATAACTACTACAGCTCACTTTATGTGTTATCTTGCCTAAAGTGTCATGGTGCCATCCTTTATTTAAATATCGCATTGTTCAGGAACATATTAATATAAACTGTGGCTATTCTGGCACCCAAAGGAGGTCCTCACATCACAACTGTATTAACAATGTCAATTTGTTGGAGAAATTGGACAGCAGTCTTTGCCAATCAATGCTGCAACTGCAGAGTTGGACAAAGTTGGCATCGATAGTGCAGAAGTGTCTCCATGTGCTTGGAAGAGTACTTGTATGTGTTGCTACGCCACTCTAGCCATTAGAATCTCTACAGCAAGCTTGTAGAAGTTATGGTGCTTAGAGTTTTTATTTGATTACACCACTTATATTTATTTCCTCTGAAGTGTGCAGTTCACTGTAACTTTGTTCGACTAGTCACATATTTGCTGTATCACCTTTTAGCCAACATGCAATTGTAATATGAGCTGGATAATTTTGTTTTGTCAAATCAGATATTAAATATGAACCCCTCTTTTTGCCATTTTCTTTTTAAGAATAACACTTTAGGTACCATAATTACTTTATCTCACTGAAATGGTAAGCTCTCTGAGTTCTCTGATGCCATTGCTAAAATTTGCAATTTAGTGAATAACCCTGAAAGAGTTAGTTAGCCATTGAATGTGAAGAGTGACTTTTAAAGCAGAGCTTGACAAAGTCCTCAAAACTTTAGGAGCCAGAATCACAGGTTACGATCCAAGTAAACTATTAATTGTTAAATGGGCACTGATATCTAGCTGGGAGAAGGCTCTCTCTGCTGTCTCTTTTGTTTGTCTCACTTTTATGTTGTTTCTGTAATGGCTTTACCAGTCAAGCTTCCTATTGTGCTTTATTATTATTATTATTTTATTATTTATATAGCGCCAACAAATTCCGTAGCGCTGTACAATGGGGCTTTCAAACCTTGTACACTTTTATGTTTGTTTCTTAAACGTTCTCTGAAAAACATAGTGCTCATTAAAATGTGTTAATGATTGCACCTTTATTTTATTTGGCTCTTGCAGTTAAATCCAGATGTCAACGTTTTCCAGCGAAAATTTGTTAATGAAGTACGAAGATGTGAAGAAATGGACCGTAAATTGCGTATGTATCCTTTGGGATTTACCATTAACAGAGATTGTCATATTGTAGAATTGTTTTGCTTCATTTGTCAAAGAGACATAAAACACTCCTGTTATTAGAATTTTGTCTATGTAATATTTTATCTTATTGCAGGCTTTGTGGAAAAGGAGATTAAAAAAGCCGGTATCCCTATTCTTGACACAGGGGAAAACCCTGAAGTTCCCTTCCCCCGAGACATGATTGACCTTGAGGTAAGATTGGAGGTCGTTGCTTCCTCTCATTTTGGCCATTCTTAAAGAGGAACTGTCACTAACTAAAAAGTAAAAGTTAGCTATAGTCAATATTAGAATTATTTTAAAATTCTCTGTAGTATTTTCGTTTATGTACTTTGCTAAGCAAAGTCTAGCAAACTGTGCAAAAAACAATCACAGTGCACATAGTCTAACGTCCCTCCTGGAGGCACAGTGTTTCTACAAAAGTGACCCAAGCACACACATGTGCCTAAAGGCAACGTGAGATGGCAAACTCTCCACAACACAAGTGCAGCGGAAGTAGTTTTTTTTTTTTTCTTGCTTCCGCCGGTCTGTTCACTCCCAGTAACTTCTGAAAAGGTGTTTACTTAGGTGAAGGAACGAGGAATTTTTAGTTCCACTTTAAAGCGTCCCTGTCGTTACCAAGTGTTTCATAAAAATATATGATAATAAGCCAGGGGTTGACAGAAGGCAGAGCTCCACTGACAACTCTTGTCCAATCCCAGCAGCCATCACAAGTGGCTGTGGGATTTGGGCATTGTTTTTCTCAACGCAAGACATGATCTATGGAAATTCCCGAGGTCTCGTGGGTCCTCCATAGAGCTCAGTGTTGCACTCTTGTTGCTCCTGGCAGGTGAAATGTCTGCAGAAAAAAGATGGTGGCAGCCACGAGAGACAACCTACCTTTTACTGCACCCCATGGCTACCGTACCCTAACCAGAGATGCCACCTTCAGGGCTTTTTGCAAAATATGTCCCGTGAAAGTGGCACATCCACATTAAATGAATCCTTATTTATAAAATTAGAGAATAATTGCCCTTCAGGTGGACATACTCTTAATACGGAGAGCAAAAAACGTGTCGCAAGAGTATTCTGAGAACGGATAGCAGCTGAAATAGCCTGCCCACAGAAGGGCAGGCTATTTTAAGTGCTGTTCGTTTTCAGAATACTCTTGCGACCCATTTTTTGCTCTCCATTAGCTTAAAGGGTAGTCCAGACGTGGACCCCTAGCTCACGGTGCCTAGAGAGATATCAGCTATGCCTCACTGATGATGCCTAACAAGGCTGAAACGATCGTCTGGGGTTGCTGTATCTCTCGTGCAGAGAGAACTTGCTGGCATTTTGGATCTGGACTGCTCATATGGGTGGGACCAGTCTGATATGCTTCAGATATGTTCTCTCTGTAATGGCACAAGTTGAGCTAAAACCAGCTTGAGTTCTGAGCGGGGACCCACCGAAGGGCAGGCTATTTTAGCTGCTGTCCGCTCTCAGAATACTCTTGCGACCCATTTTTTGCTACTCTTAATATGTGCTAGTAAATATATGAATTGAAAGATATCCCTCTCTGAACTCTGCCTCTGCCAGTTGCATGATAACTCCTATAACTATAATACATTTTAAAAAGTTACAGCTTTATATCCATTCATCCCTACTCTGTGTCTAATATAGACCCTTCTATAGCATTGAGAGTGTAAGGAAGCTGTGTATTTGCACTTGCGAGGGTAGTTGCTAGAAGGTATTATGAAGGTGTAGTTATTAGAAGATATTATGTAAGCTAATCAAAGCTCCCATTGAAAACCAATAGTTGACCAAGACTGATTTAGCCATTTATTGGGGATAACCAGAGGTGCCTGTGTTTCTATTTATTTATTTTTCTTTATTTTGAGTTTTCTTGTTTCCTCCGTCATTACTTTATTCTAATCTTTTAAACAAAATGATCATAACGTAATAGGTTTCTCATCAGGTAGCTGGTGTCTATTAGAAATAGATTGGACTACCTTTTAATGTCTCTCATTTTTATTGGTTTTCACCACATAGTTTTTCATTTCCTGATATTTTGAAATGTATTCTCCTACTTCCTTCTCACTTCATAAGCCATTTTTTTTATAATTGGTTCTACACATTTAATTAACCATAGATCTTTATCACATGTAATTTCTCGACTGATCTCTGTTTATTTTGAAACTTTGCAAACAGGCAAATTTTGAGAAGATTGAGAATGAATTGAAAGAAATAAACACCAATCAGGAAGCACTGAAGAGGAACTTTCTTGAGCTCACGGAGTTGAAATACATTCTGCGCAAAACTCAGCAGTTTTTTGATGAGGTCAGAGTTTCTATGCTCCTTGATTCCAGTACTTTGTTGAAGGAGAATAATTCCCAAAAAATAATGATGGGTTATCATTTACATAATTGTGTTTTCTACTGTTTGCAGTTCTTTTTCATGTGTAGATTTGCAATGATACATGCAGTTGCAGATCTATAAATATATACCTTTTTTCTTTTTGCGTTTTAGTTTCATAGCTAGCCTTGAAATATAAAAATTTATTTTGTTTTTGGAATTGGGAGTAAACTGTTTGTTCTCCCCTTCAATCATTCAAACTTTTTATATAAACAAATGTAGATGTGAAAAATGATGTGAAGAATGTTCATACAAATGTTCATACAAAAAAGTTCCAAAATATTTTTGTTGCTAAAATGCTGTCCTGTAACGGTTTACATTTGTGTAGACCTTAGCAGTGCCCCTCATAGGAACAACCTTGTAAACCAAGCAATGGGATTTATTGATCCCTTTAAATACAATAAACTATTTACTTTTCCTCCAGGGTAAGTCGTTACTAGCCACTTAAAAGGACACTACAATATCCAAAAAAAATAAAATAAATAAAACTAGCTGTTTAGTACAAATGCCCCAAATAACACATGCATGCATGCATTTATTTATGCATTTTTTGCATTTGGTGTATATTTCAAACCAATCTGCAAGAGCAGCAGGTCTCTTGTCTGAAGCCTTTGCAAGCCCTCCTTTTCTAACCCCGCCCAGACTTAATGTGCTTGTTCAATCACAGACTTCCCAATGCTTCTCAGTGAGAAGTCTTTGCAAGGCAGGTGCACTTGGCAATTGCCTGGCTCTTGAGCTTAGCTCCACTGAGCTAAACAACCCAGTAAGAAATATGTTGTCTTATTGACAGCCAGGGGTGTAACAAGGCTAATTTACAAAAGTAACAATTTCTTTGAAATATGCACTTTTTTAGTTTGGGGGGTTGGGCTTTAGGGGTCAAGAGTTTCCCTTTAAAATTGTATTGTGTGACTGTATTAAGTACTATGAGGTTTTTAAGATAGGATTGGGAAGTAGCCTTGTGGTTATGAAAAAACATGATAATTCCCAAACTTAATGTTCTCTGCCTTAATCAGGGTTCAACTACTGGTGAAGCAGATAGTTGTCCATTGAGTATGGATTTTAACTAATACAATTATTAGAAAATAACATAAAAAAGAAGCATCATTAAAATCGTTCAGACTATATCTACATTCTCTCCATTGTAAGGTTCTATAAAATTTATGGTTTAAACAATCAACTTTTTGATTTTTCTTCCTATGACCTTCCACTTCTGAAGGATCTATATGATGTGTGCTGGCTTTATAAGCCAAAATGAAATTTATGATAACACCAAGAATTGGCTTAAATTTAGCAGTGTGTCCTTAGATTTTACCTCGTTTTTCAAGAAAAAAGTAAACAAAGTAGTCAGGACAGTTGTGCCTTGTTTACTGCACCTACAGGGGTAATGGTCATTGATAAGGCCCCAAGGAGGCCAAAATGATTTTCCAGGTTTTATCTTGCAGAAGAGGCCTATGTGTATTTCAGTTCTGGACTGTCCATTTGGGATAGATCCATCATATGCATGTGTCATAGATTCCCCTCTGTAAGACACAAGTGAGCTCAATCAAGCTTATTAAAAACCTGGGAAAGGACAAACTGAGTGGTGAGCTACTGAGTTTTTGTTAATTTTCATAAATATTTTGTCAGGTATCATATCCAGTGTTGTTTTTCAGATTTTACCTGAGCAATATGCATAATCTGTTAAAGACCACTTGAACTAGCATTATTTTATCAGGAGACCATGAGTTGGTATTCAGGTAGTAGCACTTTGCCTGTTTTACCAGTATATTTATTTATTTTATTAGGTCGAGAGCAATTGTACACATGAAAAAATTCTGATGGTAGAAAACACGTTTTAGCAATGTAAATTGTGGGTATGGTTTATCCCCACTTTGTATGTGGTATTTGGAACTAAATGTAATTATTTGTGTATATGTGTGTTTAAAAGACGGCTTGCACTGCATATTTAAACTATAGTGTGTATTAAAGTGTTAAAACATACACTCATGAGGTAGTGCACTACAGGAAATAGGGAAATTTTGCTTCAAGTTATTTAGAAAGAAAAATAGGAAGATACGCCTCTGTCAGTGTGTTTGCGTTGCATGGCACATTATTCTCGATAATGAGCAATCCCCACCAAGTGAGCAATGTTAAAGGTGATCAGTCCGAGTACCCATATTTTAACAACCCCCCTTCTTCCAAACGAAGCATTGGAAACATTCAATAGGCTATTTTCTTCTCAAACATGTAGATTCTTAATTTGCCTTAAAAAACAAAAACAAAAAAAAACACTAACAAAAGTGTACTATCCTCTGTAATGGGCTTAGTTCCTCTGCCTTTTGATGCATCATCACTCAATTTCTGTTATTTTCATTATGACTCATTTTCTCTCTTCATGTTTTCCAAACTTTCTAACTGCCTTGACATATCTATTTTCCATGCTTTGCTATTTTCCATTTTTTATTTTTCTTTTTTTGTTCCACATACCTTACCTTAACTGTCCCTAGCTTTTGAACCAGCCATAACTCAAGAGGCCTTACATTCATAGGATAGTATTGTCAGTTAATCTTCTTTTTTTAGTTAGTGTGTTCTAGGAACAGTTTAGATGGTCCATTCATTATATTAGGAAAAATAATGAAAAATACATCAATCATTATTAGTAAATCTTAAAGTCGATGAAAAACTGAAACATGATTCCACACCTACTCCATTGGTTGCACCACGTGCTTAGTTTAGAGCCTCAACATACAGATATTCATTTTTCGTTTTCTAATTTACATGCAGATCTGTGTATGTGTGTGCATATATGTATAAATGTTTCTGATATGTTAAAATGCCTAGTGGTTCTTAAATATGAAAAAAAAAAGACTAATTATTGTGACGTGATTTTCTATTCCTGAGAGTTAACGTTTTTCTTTGGAATGACGAGGATAAAGCAGTTTCCAAGCATACAGTAATATTCTTAGATGGTATATAGGGGGATTTAAAATAGTGGGTGCATTGTAACTTCAGAGTAATTAAGGTAAGTGCAGGGTGAGCCCCACCACCAGTTCTCTGGCTTTACTGAGTTTACTGGGAGGTAGGAGTGTTTAAGCCAATGCTGTTTATTCTTTGAATTGTTTGCTGTACTGAAAAAGGCCCTGTTATGTTCCATCAAAACAGGTAACTATTCTGATTGGTGCTGAGGCTTTATTTCATAATCCAATCAGAATAGCCAGAGTTATTCATATGGAAAGGGTTAATGGCATGCAGGCGGTATCCTGGCTTCTTCCTCCAACACGACTTCTTTACACGACTTCTTTACAGCCCCTTCTGTCTATGTTTCCTCTATGTCGTTCTAACCAACAAGCAGGCTGTATCCTTTAACCAATTAGACCAGGACTGTTACCGAACACAAATCCACGTAATTAAAAAATCTAAATATGTAGACTTGCTCACAGTTACAAGAAATAAAATGTACTGTTGCACATGCCATCCATTGCCCATTAAGAAACTATTTTCCTAGGTTGGGCTGATTAGCTCTCAGTGTGATACTGCAGTGGGTGGACATGCATAGCTAGATCTGGCTGACTGTGTAATGAACTGGATGTGTAAAGAGAAACCTCAAAACACCCAAATTAAAAAATTTTTAAAGAATTTTATCAAGGGAATAAGCAGAACAGATTTAAAAATGATCAACAGAAAGAGTAAGTAGATTTTCAAGTGATGAAATCTACTGATCACAAAGCCACTATATTCTGAGAATTAAACATGGCCTTTGCCTTTTACGTGTTTAGGCAGCTCTTTCTAAAAAAATAAAATTAAATTAAAAAAAATGCATTGCTTGAAGATCTAATGATACTAACTTGACATTGCCAAGTAGAGCAGCACTGTTATTAAAATGTTCTTTACCAAGTGCCTCCCCAACTGCTGATCACCCTTTATGACTCTTTACCACCTTGAAGCACGTACAGTATATGAAGAGGTACTTTTGGTCACCTCTAGTATAAATTAATAATCATAGCATATTAATATATATTTTTTCTTCTATTAAGCAGGCTATAGAATGTTTTTAGATGCAATTAGCATTTGTTTGTGTTACGGTTTTCAGTATAGAGGTGGTAATTTTTTCAAACCACCCCCCCTCCCCTATCCCACCCCCAAAATAATTTTTTTTTTTTTAGAGCATAAATATCAAAACTATATGCCAGCATTAAGAGGGGGTATAACTTACTTGTAACTCTTTTTACCTTTGTTGTGTGATGAATCATGGTCTTGTCCCAAAATTATACTAAAAATACCTCCAGGCCTCCCCATATATGTTATTAAAAAAAACTAAAAAAAACATACAGATGGGTGGTTGGGGGGGTTGGGGGGAGGAGGGGTGGCATGTTTAACACTTAAAGTTCTTTCTAAACTTTGAAAACCAAAGAAAAAAGTTACTTGCGATTACTGACTGCTTTCTTTAATGCTCACGTTAGATGGGATACAGCCTTCTTATTATGGCCATAGTGATCTGTGTTTTGTGGCTTTTATATGAAATGCATGCCCTCATATTTCCATTAAAATTATTTAATTTCCCCAATTTGTCATTTAAATTTTTTATTTTTTTACCTTTGTTTTGTCAATTTTGGCGAAGTTGAAGTTTTATTGTAAACACATCGTCTGTCCTCCTTCTGTTTATTCCATAGCAGTTATTCTCCACTGTCTCCCAGTCAGTGTTTGTAAATTATAGTGCTCTCTTATTACTACCCTCGTTTTTTTTGTTTTTTTTTTTAGATGCCCAGGCATTTAATATTAAGGTCTCCAGACACATTTGATTTGGCTTTATTTAAGATTCATTTCATGCAGGCTGCCATATTTTATAGCTTCCTTTGTTCAAGGATCTCTAATTTGGGGTAATTAAAGCGACACTCCACTGCCCAAACACGGTTTAGTAGATCTACTCTTAATGGAAGCATGCATCCATTTTTTTCATTGGGGGTATATCTAATACAGCTTGCAAACGTTGCAGATCTCTTGTCTGAAGCCTTTGAAAGCCCCCCTGTTCTATCCCAGCACAGACGATCTGTAGCTGCCCAAACAAAGCCTTCCCAATTCAGCTCAATGAGAAGTCTACTCAAGGCAGATGCTCTGAGAAAAAGCCTGACTCCACTGAGCTAAGCAACCAGGAAGTAACCGGACTGGTTGTCTGGCAGCAAGATGTAACACGGTTTATTTATAAAAAAAAAAGTGTTTTGTTTTTTTTAAATGCACTTTTTCTAAAATAAAAAAGGACACATTTTTTACACATGAAGTGCTTCAAAATGTTTAAGTATTTTAGGGGTCTGGAGTGTCCCTTTAAGTTGGGTAAGGATAATCAATTTGCAGTAGTTTTGTGACTATAGGCAACAATAAAAATAGCTTTTTCCCACTAGTGTTTAAAGCAGTTCACACTTTAAATTGCATAAATCTGTTTATATCAGTTGAAAATTTTACTCTTTAGTTACTGAATTAAAATAACTATTTTTTTTCCAAGATATAAAACTACATAAATAGTTTGTAGGTGAATTTTTGGATACACTTTAAATGGAATAATTTTTTTGAAGCACTAGACTACGTTTAGATTTTTTTAAATGAAAATTTGTTTAGGGAGATCAAAATTTGCACAGAATGTGGAGAGGAATTTGAAGATACATTTAAATGTACATCAAATATGAATTTGCTATTGGTAAAAATATAAATCCTGGATTCCTTAATTTTAATTGTCGCTTCATTTTATTTAATGGAAATCTGTGTCTATGTTGTCTAATTTCTACTTATCCCATGATGGAAATATTTTCTTTTTACGGGGCTCAAATATATAATGAGATGTCTGTTTCGTGTATATTGAGCAAAAAAAAAAAAAAGAAATTTCCATGCTATATTATGTTTTAAAGCAGTTTCTTGATGTTGTGAATAGCTTTTTGGAGAGAGAAAGTCTTGCTGCAAAATCCTTATAATTTGCAGCTAGGATGAATCCAGAAAGATTGTGTTCTTATTTTGAGGCTGCACCCAGAACCCTTTGCTGTCAACCCTCCCATTTTTCTCTAATAGTCTACAAAGTACCTCCTTTCAGGATCTATGTATTAAGGTGCATTTGTTTTGGGGATTTTTCCCCCATGTTATGTCTTGCAATTTTGTTCCCCATTTTTAAACCTTTTGTGTTGAACATTTAACACCTATGTTACGAAGATCTTCATATCAGATCTGCTAGGAAAAATGTGGAGAACGCATTGTATAGGCTATCCAAAATCCCACTAAATATTATGCAAAAAATGTTCATAATATGAACAAAAAAGCTGATCAATTTTTAGACCTTAAAACCAGTTGACTTGTCAGGTTTAGAGCACATGGTCTCCACTATGATTTCTGTGGAAGGCCATCTTGCCAGTTAATCTGTCCATGTCGAACATCTAAATGTTTTTAAATGTAAACCCTATTCACAATTTCTTCTTTAATGTCTACTAACTTAGGGAAAGTGAAGGGAGTTGGTTTTTTATTTAGTGTGCTTTCCATAATACATAGATCCTTCTCTCTTGATCTGTATTCCATCTCTACCTAATTTTCTTGCCTGCCCCATGAGGCCCCTGCATGCCACTAACTGGTTTGATTAGTTATTAATTGGTTTGTGAATTCAGGCTCAATTGCATCATCATCAGCAGATGGCGGATCCGGATCTACTGGAAGAATCCTCCTCACTCTTGGAACCAAGCGAGATTGGAAGAGGAACCCCACTGAGACTTGGGTATGTACAAGAACTGCCACTCTCATTATATCTGACGTTTCTTGACATATTAGTCATATTTCTACCCAGAAAAGACATAGTAGCTATGGCCCATTGCATCATCTTAAGGCTATAGAGAGGTTCACTCTTCTCATTAGTGCAGATTTGATTTAAATTACAAATCATTAAAATGTGATTTCAATCATATCTTTTTGTAAAACACAAATGTAAAGCCTCATTCTTGCTGGTTGTTATAATGACATTTGCAATCAGATGAATGTTTAATATTTAGAATATTAACTTTTTAGATTATTTTAAGTTATATCCAAACTGGTTTTATGTCCCATTATAAATACATATATCATGATAAAATTATTGCAAGATGAACTATCTCCAGTTTAATAGGTTAAAGGAACACTATAGGATCTGGAATACAAACATGTATTCCTGACCCTATAGTGTTTAATCCACCATTGAGATGGATTGTCCTTCCTTAGCCTGTTTAGAAAATGCTAAAACCTAATTTCCAGTGTCGTGCAGGTCTGTCGACGTTGGCCTCGCCCTCAATCCACCTCCTTGATGACATCATCAGAATTTCCGATTTTAGGCCAATCCAATACTTTCCCATAGGGAAAGCATCTAATTGGCTGAAATCGGCAAGGAGGCGGGATAGTGGTGGGGCCAAACACCATTTTGGCCTATAAGCACCTCCTCATAGAGATGCATTGAATCAGTGCATCTCTATGAGGAAAATTCAGTGTCTACATGCAGAGCGTGGAGACACTGAACGGCAGTGCTGCCTACTGTTTAGCACTGCCCCAGGAAGCACCTCCAGTGGCAATCTGAGTGGCTCCTAACACTGCCTTTCCTCTGAAAATCCAGTGTCTGCATGAAAATGCCTAAAGGCAAGGATTATACTAACCAGAACAACTACATTAAGTTGTAGTTGTTCTGGTGACTATAGTGTCCCTTTAATCACTAATATGTGGAGAACAACTTAAATAGCTTTATTATATTAATGACACTGTCTGAGATGGATTTCCATTCTTCTCCAACATCTGACAGCTCTATAAAATATCACCAAATGTGCAGAGTTTCATTTTGAAAAGCTGCACATGCAGACTCCAAACAACGCGACCATGTCAAATCACTGATGTGTTCTTGGTACTTGAAATTAAATTTTAAGGTAAGGTGTTTTATATCGCCCAATGCACGGGACTGCAGTAGACCACCAGACATGGGGAGATGCGACGAGCAGCAGCTGCTCCTCACGATGCACAGAGCTTATGGCTGCTGGGATGCAGCATGATGATTGATATTATCACATTAGTCCCTTAGTAGATTTTTATTTTTATTTTATCTACACCCCTAGTGTGTGTGTATGTGTATAGATATATATATATATATTTGCAGAATAACAATGGTATCAAGGTCTTTTTGCAGTGAAAAGGTGCATGTTATCTCTGGAGATATAAATTGACTTAACTTAGATTAATTGAATTAATTTACAAAAAATATAAATATAGCATGAATGCCTTATGTTACATAACTGATCCATATTTCGTAATGTATTACCTTTGGACTATAATATATCTTAAATAGAAAAGTATCCTAGATAGATTTATTTTTTTCCATTCACAAACATTTTTTTTTTTTTTAAAACTCTGATATTAAAAAATAATTTAATTTTTTTTTTTTTAATCCACCCTGATACTTATCTATTCAAATACATGCATGTGAAGAACTGGTATACAATATATTTCATTACCAAAGTTATTGTTGCTACTGAACGTAACCGTTAAATGCATACAAAATACATGGTAGGAAAAAATGTGTTATTTCTCTTAAGAATGCATTAACATCATTATGTTCCTGAGATTTGACCATTTAAACAGAAGCTACACCTTATTATACACACTATACTATCTGCTTGTCCATGTCATTCAACTGATCTTTATCTTGTGATGCTATTTCAGTTTCGTGGCAGGAGTAATTAACCGGGAGAGGATACCAACTTTCGAGAGGATGTTATGGCGAGTTTGCCGTGGCAATGTCTTTTTGCGTCAGGCAGAGATAGAAAATCCACTGGAAGATCCAGTCACGGTAAGAAAACACTTGTTTTTTTTTTTTGTAGGGGTGATCAGTGATTTGGGATTTTTTGCATTGTGTAATGTATAATTCTTAGAAAATATTGTGAGATGAGACAAATATAAAATAAAATCATGTATTTCCAAGTTGGAATTTATGTCTTTTAAAAGAAAAAATAAATAAATTGGGCTGTCATTTTCCCTGACAAATGTTACTGGTCAGGCATCATACATAATAAACTGACATGGAGATTAATTTAAAATTGTATACCACAATATTCAAATTAGAAAAACGCTCTACTTAAAAGGACACTATAGGCACCCAGACCACTTCAGCTCATTGAAGTGGTCTGGTTGTAGTGCCCCTGTTCAACTTAGAGGCGCTTTCGGGCTATGAGTCCCTTAAATAATGCTGGATGTCTTCATGCTCTGCATGAGGACCTTCACCGTCACTGAAATCCCCATAGGAAAGCATTGATTCAAAGGGGAAGGCCTTATGCGGAAATTGGTGCTGGAATAGGGTGAGTAAAATAAAGGGTTTCATGTGCCGGAGTGGAGGGAAGGAAGGGACCAGAAGGCACCATATTGTCATGAATAACTGTCATACAAACACTTATGATTCCCTTTAAGATATGTTTTCATTTTGGCTTTTGTGATTGCTGGTCTTCAACAGAACAAACTGCCCTGAGCAAATTATTTTCTCTCCGGAAAAGCATATTATATGAAAAATGTAAATAAATGAAAACTGAAATTTGATTACTTATTCCAAAAAAAATAAAAAAATAAAATAAAATATATATATATATATATATATATATATATATATATATATATATATATATATATATATATATATATATATATATATATATATATATAGAGAGAGATATCTCTCTTTCTATATATATATCTAACAAACTGAAAAGTATGTGGAGAATAATATGTATGCATACAGATTTGTGTTTGGTATAGTTTGCATGTTGTAATAAACTATGTTTTAAAAGATGGGAAAAACAGCCCCCACCTCAGCACATGTATTTGTTCACATAACCTTTAAGTGACTTAACGGATTACTATAACCTTTTTCTCGACAACGTTCGATTAGTTTTATTATGCCTTTTAGGAACTTTTGATCTTGTCCGCCTGCCTTATTTAATTAAATAGATTAAAATACCTTGAACCCAATGCTGGGCGAGGAACTCTTTGCTTTGTTTCCATGCACCATGCTTCGTGATGTATTTAGACAGCTTCTCGTAGAGAATAATTTAATTGGACCGTTTTACCGGCTCAGAGCACAAGCAAAGTTCTCTAGACCAGTGAGGGAGGACCTTTTGTAAATATTGAAAATGGATGGAGGCAGAGAAGGCTGGGAGGGAGTGCAGGAAGGGAGAGGGGGAACATTAAAGCTTTTCCTTGCAGGTGTGCTGCCTGCAAAAGAGACGCTCAGTACATCTGTCACCAGTGCACGCTTCTACCACAATGACCACCTTGGAGTAAATTTTAAACCGCATTCTTATGAGTCCATAAAATTTTACTAAAAGGAGAATTTAAAGTGAATTTCAAATTTTGGGACAAAGGCATCGAACTTGTAGCAGAACTGACTAAGAGGATTTTTCCAATTCAGCTATTTTAGTCTTAAGTTTAAAATTCAATTTACATTTTCACTTTACTAAATAAACCCATTTAGATGTTTTTGTGTATAGTGTTGTTTTATTCTGGTAACATTTTGTAATCATCTCATTTATTGTTAAATTTCCCCCTTTATAATATTGTAAAGCGCTGCAGAATAAGTTGACACTTTTTAAATGCTGATAATGTGGAGGAGGTAAAAGTTGCGTATTATGATAAAGTGGTTGGTTTGCATTACAATGTCTCTGCACTTGAATTTGTTCAGTGGTAAATGTCCCAGATAGCAGAGTATCAGAAAGTAGTGTTCAGGTGTATTTATGTTTGTATTCTTTTAGGTCTGTGAGAAATGGAGCTGCTTATTCTATTTAGCTATTTGAAGAAGAGGCAGAATTTGCAACAAGAAATTATATATAGATAGAGATAAATATATGTAAATTCAGATATATGGGTATAACTCTATCCAAAACAGGCAAGAGATTAAATCACTAAATGGAAATAATTATATCACTATCAAGTAATTTTTTATATTTATATTAGCTATCATATTATATTGGTATTAACTATATTTATATTTGCTAGCAAGCAATTGACATCATGAACATAACTGACTACATTACAGTGACACTCTGTGTGGAGTACCTGGGCACTGTCCTTCCTTTCAGTGTTAAACCATTTTTGATAGTTTAATGCTAAACTAAAGTTCTTAGCACCCTATCCCTTCTGTGCTTCTCAAGCTAATGACAAAGTGTCAGCTGACTGCTCTTAGCCTATCATAGAAACCCATTGCTGATATGAATTGATATGGCTTAAGAAATGCTTATAATTTCTGCCATCGCCATACCTCCTGTGGAGTCTGGATTGTGGGCAGCCAGTGACACTCATTCAGTGTTAAAGTGATTGAAAATGGTTTAATACTAAATGGAGGGATAGCGCAATGGGATTCCAGGCATTATAGGTAATTCCGTGAGGTTAAATATTTATAATGCATAAAGTGTCCCTTTAAGGAAGGTTCCATTTTGGCAAGTAATGGTTGTAGAAGTGCTAGACACCAATATAAGGAAATGGCCTGGCAAAATGTAAGACATTCTTCAACAAGTTTAATCTACCCTAGGAGCCTAGGAGAGTATTATAAAAGTGGCCTAATGTATTCTTGTTGCACAACTATTTCTGTTGTGGAGACATCCATGAGAACTAGATTTGCACCCCCATTATGAAACCTGCTTATGGCAAGAGTTGAAAATTTCCTCTTATCCAATTGTGACATCGAACCCCAGGCCAACTTCCCCTACTAATGACATCCTGATAATTTGGACAATGGGGCCGTCTTCTTGAGTTCTATAATCCATTGTACCCCACAATCAAACTGCCTCAACCACTTCACCTTTTGGATATCCCCATTTGTATAAAATACTGTACAATACTATCTCAAACCTTCTGACAGAACTTCATTTTTCAAACCTGACTGCTTCATCCCAAACACTACATTATTTACAGTGGTAGGATACAGCCAAATCTACCTTCAAAACGTTGACATGAATGAAAACCTCCAGACACCAAAAAGGATATTATTAAAGTAAGGTTAGGCATCGAGAAATCTAAAGAAACAAATTCAGAGCTCCCATAATAACTCCTGGAATAAAAAAAACAAAAAAAAACACAAAAATGAAAAGCTATATAATAGCGTTCTCCTTATTATGACATACAATCCACAATAAGATGTGTTAATGTCAGTAATGCTATTCATGCTGGATGCCATTGATACTGGTCACAATTGCCAATACTGCTGGAGGGAGGTTTTTTAATCCCCAAATGGGTGACTCAACCCATGACATGATCCACAGTCCGTTAGCAACATAACCATTGCACCGATCTGTATTGCTTTTTGTGCTTTGTCCTTTTTAAAGCCGTGTAAAAACTCCCATTTCATATGAACTCTATGGTAAATCTGTAAATCCATCTAACTATATGCTTTGCCATCATCCCAAAGCTTATGTCCATTTAGTGAATCTTCCCTAGATCGTTAATTTCCTCTCTTTTACTATAAAGGGGGCGATCCTTCATCATGCAGACAAGGAAGTGTTTGCAGGGTGAGATCAGTCCTTTCTAATTGTCAAAAATGACTTCCTTAAACATATCACAATATCCAACACACAAACACAGGAAGGTCTTTGGTCAGTTCGTATTCTGGCAGTGCTGTTAACTAGTGCACTCCTCTCCTGTCCTGTACTTCCCCACTTGGGGCTAATCCAGTCATATTCCCTGGAATTCTTTCAGATTTTCTCTGGACAAAAAACATTTAACGAACAAAACACAAACATTATCAGCCAAGCCTCTCTGTGATATGCATTATAACATCATTTAAAAAAATTATATAAAAGGTCACAAAGGAACAGCTTTGGTGATTGTGAGTCTGGATAAGTACCAGGATATCCTGTGCTCGAACCCTAAATTTTATAAATCCTAAAGAAATAGGGTGTCATAATTAAATGGTAATGAAAATCCCACAGCAAAATGTCCATATTCCATGTAGGACTGAATAAATTGATGACTAAAAGTAGTATGTGTAAAGTAGCCAAAAAGTATCTACCGTACATTGTAATGATTTCAATGTACAATCTGGCTTTATTTAGACCTGCCCAAAGTACATCTATACACATTGTGGCTACTTCATAATGAACATAGTTCTTTACCTTTAGGAAGGAAGAGGTGAGGGTACTAACACGGAGCAGTGTGGAGACTAATATCCTCTATGTATTTGTGTATAAACATCTCCAGTGTGCTGTCAAGCTTAAAGGACCACTATAGTGCCAGGAAAACAAACTTGTTTTCCTAGCACTATATAGTCCTTAGGTCCCCCCCACCCTGATAATTGATAATTCCCCAGAATAGTTAAAACCCCTTCAGCCACTTACCTTAATCCAGCGTTGGTGCTGGTAACCTCTCATAACCTCTCCTCCCCCTCCGACGTCAACTCCCGAGTGGAGCCGAATGCGCTTGCGCGGCCAGAGCAGCGCGTGCATTTAAACCGCCCATAGGAAAGCATTACTCAATGCTTTGGACGTTCTGCATGCTCAATGCAACTTTCGCATTGAGCGTCGTGGAAGCGCCTCTAGCGGCTGTCAGGAAGACAGCCACAAGAGGATGGATTAACCCTGCAATGTAAACATAGCAGTTTCTATGAAACTGCTATGTTTACAGCTGCAGGGTTAAAACCTGGGGGACCTGGCACCCAGTCCACTTCATTGAGCTGAAGTGGTCTGGGTGACTATAGTGGTCCTTTAATAATCTTGTCCACAGCACACACCTAATGCTAGCCACTATTCAATGCTAGTCCCTGGCTGAATCTTATAATAACTCTTATATGATGTTTGGCCGGTCAAATCACATTAATAGCTCTAAATTGCTAGACGGTCTAGATCAGGGGTAGGTTACCATCGGCACTCTAGATGCTGTGGACTACATCTCCCATAATGCATTTACACCCATAATGCTGGCAAAGCATCATGGGATATGTAGTCCAAAACATCTGGAGTGCCGAAGGTTGCATATGCCTGGTCTAGATCATGCATGTATAGATTCCTATCCTTTGTAGGAGGAGATAACCTAAATGTAAGTGTGCTAACTCCTATCTCACTTAGCCAGCAGTTTCACAGGAATAGCACACAAGAGTTAAACAAGGATCAAGTTAAATGTAATGTTAATCATCCTGTCATAGTGGTACCCCATTCATCTGTAAATATGAGAGATTACACAAATAAACTCTTATTAAACACCCCCCCCGCCCCTTGTAGATTCTCCCCATCGTAAACCATAGAGATCTAAATAATAATGAGAGGAATACATCTAAAAGTACCTCAGTTATCCCCTGCGGTGGAACATCCGTTCTATACTCTTCTATGTAAAATCACACTACCATAAAGTGCTAAAGCACGTGTGTTTTGGTGCATTGTGGCACCTGTTAGACGCGAATGGCAGCTGAAACTGTTCAGGTTTATAAGGGGATCCAGGTCCCTCTTACTTCCATACTCCACCAATCAACTATTATGGAACGCCTACTACCACCTCCAATGTTCAAGGTAACACCTGTGGTGTTGGAGTCAACGATTCATATTTGCTCGTTCTACTCCGAGGCGTGGATACCCTACCATTATACCTCCCAAAGTATTGATAGACCATTTGGGTTGTCACTTAGCTGGCTGTAAGCCCAGCACACCAAGAGTAGTGGCTAAGCAGGACCGAATGACTCCTATACGAGTCGTGGGAATAAATCTTAGGTTAGTTTGTTTGTAAAGTACTCCCTACGTTGTAGGTGGGGAAATAATCCACATCAATATGCTCCCAGAACATCTGCTTCCAATAACCCATGACACCATCAAGTCAGTCTTCCGAAACCGCTCCCACACTAAAGAAGAGGGACTCCTATCTGCTGCCAGCTCCAACCCCACACCCTACAAAGGATGCTGCCAACACCGTGAATATGAAATAATTAAGTGTCACCGTCCCATCCAAAGGGGAACCGCACAAACTCCAATAAGTGATAATTCCCCAGAATAGTTAAAAAGAACCCGATCATGCTCTTAACATGGCGTATTTGCAACACACGATCATTCGGTTATATATATAAGCTTGTAGAAATCTTCCACACTCTGTAAATGGCTAACCTAGATTACCTTCAGTCTTAAAAGGATAACCCAATTGGAAAAAGGGGGTCCTAATTTTACCAAGATGGAAGCTGAAAGCTACATGGACCCATAAAGGTAAGTATATTTCTCAGATTCGTATATTGATCAAATGTAGTCTCTAATCCCACGTCAAAAGAAACCAGGTTTTATGATTCAAGGCTTCAACTAGTCATCTGCATTATTCTGAAGCTACAATATAACTCCACTGGCCACTCCCCAGATGGCTACTAGAGGTGCTTTTTTGGGGCAGTGCTGCACACTGTGCAGTACTGCCATTCGGTGTCTCCACCCTCTGCATGGAGACACTGAACTTTTCTCATAATGCATTAAGGAGATACTGATTGGTCAGGGTTGTGTTTGGCTTGTGCTGGCTCTGCACCTGATCTGCCTCCTTGACAGTTTCAGCCAATCCTATGGGAAAGCATTGTGATTTCCCATAGGCAGATCAGGGGCAGAGGCTGCAGACTTGAATGCAAGTAAGATTTTACTATATTTAGGTATGCAAGGTTGGGGCCAGGGGGGCTAGATGGTGGTTTTAACACTATAGGGTCAGGAATACATATGTGTTCCTGACTCTATAGTGTTCCTTTAAGCTGCAATTAGTGGTGGAGGGCAAATGCCCGATGGGCCGCGATGGCTATGGGATGAGGCCAGCTGGGGAGATCACAGGATCTCTCCGGCTAGTCCATGCAGGGCCGACACTATCAGAGTACCTGCCCTGCTCTGTGCCTTCATGGGCCGGTGGGGAGATCAAAGATCTCCCTCACCAGCCCACTAGCACTAACAAGCAGCCGCTGGCTGGGGAGGGAGAGGAGGACCCTAGCAAGCAGCTCTGCCAGGTTCCTCTTGCGAGGTCGGAGCGTTGCCGCGGTTACCATGGCAACGCTCCGATCTCGCAACAATCAACTCACCACTGCGACCACCAGAGATTCAAGGGATTCACCTCCCTTCTTGCCTTTGCCTGGGAGGGGGACACACTGCACCCTTCACACAGACACACACCTACATACAGCACCTTTCATACACACTGCACCATCCACACAGACACACACATACACACTGCTCCCTTTATACACACACTGCACACCTCTCACACACAGCCTTAAAATGCACCCCTCACACACACACTGCACCGTTCACACAAACTGCACTCACACACTGAACTCTTCACACACACACACACACACACACACTGCAGCCTACACACACACTGGACTCATCTTCCCCCTCCACTGCACACCAAACACACACACACACACACACACACCCTTCACACACTGCACTCCTCACACATTGCACCCTTCATCCACACACACACACTGCACCCTTCATACAGATACATACACACTGCACCCTTCATTCAGACACACACACACTGCACCTTTTATACACACACTGCACCTTTCATACACACTCAGTGGGCCGCTGTGAGTCGAAAATGCCCGGGCTGAATTTCTTTCCCAGTTTGGCCCTGTATCCTATAGAGAGGCAACAATCCTTTTGCTATAGGTCTGATGGTTTAAGGCAGTGTCCTTATTCTGGGAACCCCATTAACAAAAAAAGATTTATTTTTCTTATATTAACACCATGCCTTGGTGTACTTTTAGTTATTAGTTTATACAGTCCTACATGGAATACTGACATTTGGCTGTGTGATTTTTCTTTTTAGTTATAAGACACCCCTTTATTTATACAGTATAATATCACCCATCAGTTTTCCCGAGTTTTAATTTGGAGGGACACATACTCTTATGAACAGTGCATATAGGGTGTCATAACTAAATGAACAATGTAGTGAAATGGAACAGAACATGTTTTCTGGCAGACTGGTGGCTGCGCGAAGCATTCTGTAGGATTTTCATCTGCACTCTTTTTATCCTTTTTTGATGCTATACATTTTTTACTAATCAATTCATCTCGCTCCTCTTACTGCCTATTATTGGCAGATGTTGTTTAGATCTTCTCTCTCTCTCTCTCTACCATCTCACTTGACCTTTATCCCTCCCACCTCTTTGTCAAATTCTTATAAAATATCTATCTGCTTATGCAGCCTCTCTAATATTAGAAACACCACCAATTCATCTTGCTCTCTACTCTTCATGTTTACTAGGCTTGACTACTGCAAATCCCTTTAACTTGGCTTTAACCACTTCATGATACAGTGTCCGATAAGTCATATTACATCTTCACAGTCCTGGGATGACCCAAGTCATGAAAGGATTACATTTGAAGTTCAAAATAGCACTGGAGTCTGTGTCCTCCCCAACATATTTAACCCTTACTGTAAAAATTCCATTTGGGTTGGGGTTATATTAGAGCACATTTTTACAGCGCTTAAGCAAAAGGTATAAAGGCATGATAGCCCTGCGTCTTAGGGTGTCCGGTACCCACAAGCCCTATGGATAGACCTTCCAACCATTGCTTCCCAAAACAATCTTCGAGCTAGAGAAGAATATTAGGTTTTAGGCTTTTTCCAATTCTCTTTCAGCTGGGATACTGACAAACCTGGACCACTGGTTTGCCTTGAGGAATGAGTTGAGAACCATTGTCTTAACCTAAAGTATTTAGAAGGGATGCTGTGGACCGTAATGCCCTTCACACTCGGCTAGGATTTATTTTGCTTGAGAAGGATTTGTGTCATCATAAACTGGATCTTGAGTGTTGTTGGTGTGTTTCCTAACCTAATGGGTAGTGAAACTTGTGCAGTGGGATGAGTTGGTACCGCAAACTCCTTTGTTCAGGAGGGCCAGATTTTACAATGAAATCGGTATTAAAGGCCGAATGCATACAATTTATACACACACACACTTGTAAACAAGAAAAAAGCAGACACAAAGAACAACTTCGCATAATGCCATAAATGTAATGTCCATCCTTCTTCCATGCTTTTTTTGCTAGATTTAAATAGGAATAGTGCTCTGGTTTTAATGTGATCAGAATTCTATATGACTAGATCATCTGAAATCTTTCATCATTCTCAAAAACGTACAGACCATTTCCAAAGCTACAAGTTCTCATATTTATTATGGACTGGCTAGAACCATATAAAGGTGAAAAGTCTGATTTTGTAATATTTGTGGAAAGTCTATCTGCAGATACATCTAGTTTTTACTTTTATTTATTTTTTTTCTTTTTGAGCTGAATCGTGTGATAAAGTATAACGCAGAGTCTGGCAAGTAATCCAGATATTCTGTGCATGAGTCATTGTTGTTAGGCTGCTTATCTACAAAGAACATTTGGCGGGCAGTGCCCCAGAAATGTGAGATCAAAGATGTATGCTTTATGCGCTGGACTGCCTGTCTCTGAAGATAAGCAATTAAGTGGTGCCTTGCCTGGCTAATATGTTAAAGACCCCCTCTACATGGTCAGTGCATCAGATTACGTCTATGCTCAAAGCAGATACGCAGATCATGTGTTTGCTTAAAGGAACACTATAGCGTTAGGAATACAAAACTGAGGAGTTGTCCTAAATCTTTTGTCCAGCCCATCACCCAGTGATTGAAGGGTTAAAAACAAAAAAAACCTTTAAACACTTAACCTCTTTCCAGCGCAGAGGTCCCTCAGCACTGACTCCATCTCCACTTCCTACAATGGGGGGGACTTAAAGCACTTGCACTGTGAGCACTGCTCACTCCTTGGCTCTTTCTCATGGGAAAGCATTGCATCATCACTTTCCTGTGTGGTTTTCAAGATGCTGGATGTCCTCATGCAGGAAGCGCCTCTATTAACTGTGTGGTAGACTGCCACTAGAGCAGGCATAGGCAACCTTCGGCTCTTCAAATGTCTTGGACTATACCTCCTGTTGGGTAATCTAAGGTTTTATATGTATGGAATATAGATAAAATATTATCTGATGATATTCACACACACAGAACCTCCAGGGACCCTGTAGTTCTTTGTTTTAGGCGGTGATATAAACACTTATGAATGTCAGATGGCAAATAAACAGACTTTGCTTAAAATATATATAAGTTTAATTATACACACTATACAATGCAAAGCAACAAAACAATTCAATGATAATCAATTGGCTATACAATACAGGATTTCAAATCAACAAGTCCATTAATTCACTTGACAAGCCTAAAAGTCAACATTACACCTCATTTCATCTACAAGCTTATCCGCAAAGGACAATAAAACATATACAAACTTCACAACAGAATTAATAATATGGTACCATTATTGGTATATTAATTAGTTTGAATATCAACCAACCCTGCCAAGTATATACCATCAATTTAAAGGACCACTCTAGGCACCCAGACCACTTCAGTTTAATGAAGTGGTCTGGGTGCCAGGTCCAGCTAGGGTTAACCCATTCTTTCATAAACATAGCAGTTTCAGAGAAACTGCTATGTTTATGAATGGGTTAAGCCTTCCCCCTGTTTCCTCTAGTGGCTGTCTCATTGATTTTCACAGTGAGAGCACGCAAGCGTCCATAGGAAAGCATTGTAAATGCTTTCCTATGCGACGGGCTGAATGCGCGCGCAGCTCTTGCCGCGCGTGCGCATTCAGCCCAGGAGGAGGAGAGAAGGAGGAGAGGAGGCAGAGAGCTCCCCGCCCAGCGCTGGAAAAAGGTAAGTTTTTAACCCTTTCCCCCTTCCAGAGCCGGGCGGGAGGGGGACCCTGAGGATGGGGGCACCCTCAAGGCACTATAGTGCCAGGAAAACGAGTATGTTTTCCTGGCACTATAGTGGTCCTTTAACTACAATAACCTGAAATATATCAAGTTTCTGATAGCCTTAGTATTAAACTGATATACATCTAAAGAAGGAATCAAAAATGCTTCAACTTAATAAGTTATATCCGACTCAGACTGCAGGTAGAATGAGATATAACTGTTCTATCAATAGGATGGGATCAGTTCACAGCATGGACACATAGGGAATTTAATAGTCAAGTTTAATTTTAAATTTAAAGGACCACTATAGTGCAAGGAAAACATACTCGTGCCCTCACCCTCAGGGACCCCCTCCCGCCGGGCTCTGGGGAGAGGAAGGGGTTAAAAGCTCACCTTTCTCCAGCGCCGGGCGGGGAGCTCTCCTCCTCTTCGGCTGAATGCGAATGCGCGGCAGGAGCTGCGCTCGCATTCAGCCAGTCTCATAGGAAAGCATTCATAATGCTTTCCTATGGACGCTTGCGTCTTCTCACTGTGATTTTCACAGTGAGAAGCACGCAAACGCCTCTAGCGGCTGTCAATGAGACAGCCTTTAGAGGCTGGATTAACCCATTTATAAAAATAGCAGTTTCTCTGAAACTGCTATGTTTATGAAAAAATGGGTTAACCCTAGCTGGACCAGGCACCCAGACCACTTCATTAAGCTGAAGTGGTCTGGGTGCCTAGAGTGGTCCTTTAAAACTAGAGAGACATTACCAAACGTTTATGATGAATGAATTCAATTTGGTATTCTCCTCTCTGGGTGCTCTGGTCTGTAACTCAGTTTATCGCCCTTATTCAGTCAATCTCCTGATCTCTTAGCCCTATGGATCTCCTTTGATCTTTAAAGATGATCTGAAGCTCTTGAATCTCCCTTCTCTTATTTTTCTCCCTATTTAACCATTATTTTTAGGGTAATTTGTAGATCATGCATGGTTCCAGTATATTTAATCACGTTCTATTGCTTAAAATTTGAAAGCGACCTCAGATTTTGGGTCTTGTGGCTGGCTGACAAACACTCTGGATTGCTTGTGATGTTTATGCACAAACCATTGCATGGTTTGTATACCCATTTGAAGCTCTGTGAGTTTAAGTATCTCGGATTGTAAAGTCCAGTTTAGTAATTGTTAACTTGTTAACCTTATACACATATATCTCACAAATTAAACTGTAGATAAGTATTTCTTCGGTTTACTTCTTAGGGTCACTAAATACAAGGCTATTTTGACCTTTGTTGAAATAGTATTACGTAATGTCCAGGCCAATCTACCTGCATCCATTTTGTTTTCTGAATATTAGAAATTATACCGCACCAAAGAGCACAACACTCAGATGATGCTTTGCCAGCATAATGGGTGTAAGAGCATTATGGGGGATGTAGTCCACAACATCTGCAGTGCCGCAGGTTGCCTATCCCTGCACTAGAGGCAGCCTTAACCCTGCAATGTAAACATTGCAGTTTCTCTAAAACTGCTATATTTTACATTGCAGTGTTAAAGTAACCAGACCACGTCAAGGAATTAATGTGGTCTGGGTGCCTATAATTTCCCTTTAAGGTCTTTGCACGTGATCTTAAAACTTATGTGTGACCTCTGCATACATGCTGCTTCAGCTTCTCACATATTTGTTACATCAACAAGAGAGAAGATTTTGGCTTAGCAATTGCTTCAAAAATGTGCATGATTTGTTGCTTTGCGAGATCATATAGACACTTACTTTGAGCAGTAATCTTGGCACACATTTTTTTTTTAAAGGGAAGATAATGTGCAACTTTTTTATAAAAACAAACAAAAAAAACCCAAAGATAAGATTTGTGCACTGTCACATGGAATGAGATCTGGAGTACCTTGGGAACAGTGGCTGTGATTGCATACATGTCGTGGACCGTGCGTCAATAACCCATGAAAATATGCAGTGACTAACACATGCAGTAGTGTGGTTGAGTCCTATAACATAATTTGCCATTAGCAGTTTGTCGGCTATTGAAGGTCTTGAAAGCATTCACAGTTAGCATGTTGATATGTACTTTTTCAAGACAACATGGGCAGCTTATTTGGTTCTGTAGTGGTTAGGTGGTTGATGCCTAAATTACAAATACCTAAGACAAAAAAGGAAGATTTTTTTTGTTGTCATGAGGAACTGTCTGAAATAATCTCAACCACTCTTGGAAAACCGCCTTGAGAAAGAGGATCACAAAGTCAAAGCTTCACGACATGAACCTCACTAACTTTTTGCTAATGCAGAAAAATGTAGAACTGAATCAGCACGTCAATAACTCATTCTCAACAAAATCAGACACTTCAAAGACAGAGCACGTGTTCAACCCACAAGATCTGTTGCCAAACATAGCGGGGGGTTCCATACTGTTTGATTATTCATCTTATAGTAATTAAGTCTGATTATTGTTCCGCATGGAATGTGAAATTTTATTCTTGGTTTTTGTGTTATAGATCTGGTTTCTTTTTTTAGTCCAAATAGACTTTGTGTAGCATTGTTATTAGGCAAACGTACAAACATTAAAGAAATGGCATGTGATCATCTGATAGAAATACATAGTAAAAACAAAGAGAACATTACCTGCGCTCTGGCCTTAATCCCCATGTACATTTAAACAAAATGGAGGCTCTTTAGTTTTATTCCAATGGCCATTTGAATATATAAGCTCACCTGCCACATCAAGGCAAGCCTCAATAGGTGAGTTCCTACACTAGCCATTAGATATGCTAATATCAGCCAAGAATCTCCAGTATTTAAATCAAACGCCTGCAGTCTCACTGCTCAATTCGTCATTTAGGAGTTAAATCACTTTGTAATTCAAAGGCAGAGAAGATATGGATAGGGCTGCATAAACAATCTCCCTGCACACTTCCTGTAATTGCACAGTGTGTTTACTTTAGAATTTCTTAACTTCTGCTTTAATTGCCTGCTATAGAGAATTAACTGAAAATTATTATTTTTGTCCATGTTGTCTGTGTAACTCCTAAATGGCAGAGAATTGAGATAGCAGGAGCATGATTTACAAACTCAAACTGCTTCATTAAAGAAGTACTAAAGGTACCCACACCACTTTATCTTAATGTCCCCCTTGTTTTAACCCTTCAATGTGTACATTGCAGGGTTTAAATTCATAAAGGTACTTCCGCAGAAAGTGTAAAACTCAGCCATTTCTATCAGATACAAACACAAAGATAAAGCACTGCGCTTACAGGAGCAGTAGTTTAGTATCCAACAGCTTAAAATTGATCTAAATACCAAAACCACTTATTCAAATTAATAACCATTCACTAATAATAATAAGTAGACCCTGAGATTGCCCCAGAAATGATTGACACAACCACTGCTTGAGGAGAAGTATCAATAATGGCAAGCTTTTGAATACATTGTGACAGGCCCAGACTTGCAACAGCAAGGAACGGAAGGATTTTGATACATACAATGCAATGAGTAGGGGGTGGGATAAATGACCCGTAACACATTCTATAACACCTGGAGTCAGCATAATTATGCATTATACTTAAGAAGAGCAACATATGATCTTAAAAACACACTAAATTGCACTTTTTTATTTTTATTTTCTGTGGTGCTGAGAAGACTGATTTTTAGTCTACATGGGGAAAACACCCAGAGCAGGACTACCTCTACAGCGACATATGCGGTTGCCCAGGGCTTTGGATCAGACAGGGGCCAAGAGCTCCAGTTCTCTCTGTGAATTGACCCTCCCTGAGCCATCAGGGAGATCATAAGTTCTCAATTTGGAGTTGTGTGGTGTGCACCTCAGGTGCATATTACTTTAAGAGTTCCCTCACAGTTCAGGTGCTTCTGAATGACTTGGAGAGTGTCAGGCAGCATTCAGAGTCATTTACGGAGTGCCAGCACTGCAAAGCTCTCACCCTCCTCCACGCATTACACTTAGCCATTACACTCAAACAGCACATAAAACATTCAGCCATCCTATTCACACAACAGAGCCCAAGGCATCGCCATGGCGAGTTATATTGGAGGTTTGAAACCACCACATAGTATTTCTTGTGGTTCAAGATTTTTATGGTTGGGAGACAAGTCTGCCCAATTTGTGTGTCTTCACATTCAAGGGCACTTGTAGGCAACCTGTTACCTTCCAAGGGCACTTGTGGGCAACCTGATGGTACCCAAACCAGTCCTCGACGCACCCCTACCAGCCCAGGATTTATGGTTTATCCAGCTGTATGTAAGGTGTTTTGTTTTTGTTTTTTTCTAAAAACAACTTGGACACAACGGAGTATCCCTAAATCCTGGACTGGTAGGTATGCTTTGAGGACTGGTTTGGGACTACAGCGTCTGTTGCGTTAACAGCTGGAAGGTTGGTTGGTCCTCTTCCAGTACCTGGTTCTTATTTGCCTGGAAAGCAATGGGCAAAGTGTTTCATCACAATTTGTTTTACATTTTGCAGGGGGACAGTGTTCACAAGTCTGTTTTCATAATTTTCTTCCAAGGAGACCAGCTGAAGAACAGGGTTAAGAAAATCTGTGAGGGGTAAGTAATTTAAAAACAAATATATTGTTAACACGTAATGCACATTGACAAAAAATTAAAATAAAAGAACACCAACTTTTGAAATACCAGATGCTGCTTGTAGACAGGCAGATAGCTGCAGAAAAGAGCCCCTCATAGAGTGAAAGAGGGTCCACCAACCAGGAGGTTATCTAATTCTGTTGAATAGTGTCTGATCTTATCCCGTAAACTCTCCAGATAGAGGCTATGGGATATTAAGTTTAGCCAGAGGTATAGTTCCATTACTCATTGTAATTAACAGTATAAGTGTACGGCTATTTTGAAGGTGACTGTACCTTCATTTATCAATTAGACAAATTTTTTCTCCCTCCTAAATAGGTTTCGAGCTTCTCTCTACCCTTGTCCAGAGACTCCACAAGAGCGGAAAGAAATGGCAGCTGGTGTGAATACACGAATTGATGACTTACAAATGGTAATACTTTGAGGCGCACTTTGTAATGGAAATGAACTAAAACCTTTCATATTCAGATAAGCTAAATAGTGGTTATTACTGACCAAACCATTTTATCTTTTTTTTTTAACCAAGGTGCTGAACCAAACAGAAGACCACCGTCAGCGTGTTCTGCAGGCTGCTGCCAAGACAATCAGAGTGTGGTTTATTAAAGTGCGAAAAATGAAGGCCATCTACCACACACTGAATCTGTGTAATATTGATGTAACTCAGAAATGTCTGATTGCTGAAGTCTGGTGTCCAGTGGTTGACCTTGATTCCATCCAGTTTGCCCTTAGAAGGGGAACTGTGAGTATTTATTTTAGCCTGCTTATTCATTATTTTTTTATTAAGTGTCCTGTGGTAAAGGAGGCTCAGCTTAAAGCAGCCCTGTCACCTTCTGGAGTCTTTACTTATTTGGTGACATGAGGTGTGATGTCATGTGGGTTCCATGCAGATGCAGTTATGAGCATGTCTTAAAGAGATTTAAAATTGTCAAAAAAGGGTTTCTATGTGACAGAGATGCTTTAAGTGAGGGAATGTAAAATATAAACTTAAAGGGATACTATAGGCATCAAAACAACTTTAGCTGCATCAAAACAACTTTAGCTTAATGAAGCAGTTTTTGTGTATAGAACATGCCCCTGAAGTGTCACTGCTCAATTCTCTGCCATTTAGGAGTTAAATCACTTTTGTTTCTGTTTATGCAGCCCTAGCCACACCACCCCCGGCTGTGACTCACACAGCCTGCATAAAAAATTGTTTCATTTTCAATCAGATGTTAAATTGCTTTAGCAGTTTTTATCTCCTGCTCTGTAAATTGAAATGTATTCACACACATGCAGGGTCTAAGAGACTATTAACAGAGCAGGAGATAAGACATTTTAAATTAAACCAACTATTAAATACAGGAACCTAAAATATGTTCATTTTCAGAAAGTGTTTAGGAAAGCTGTGCAAGTCACACGCAGGGAGGTGTGACTAGAACTTACATACAGGGGCATGATGTATACAACAAAACTGCTTCATTAAGCTAAAGTTGTTTTGGTGACTATTGTGACCCTTTAACTACATGTCTGTCTTCTTTAACATGTGCACCAAGTTTACTAGCACGTTAGGCATTAGTTGCTTTGTACTATGTCTAATTATTCTTACAGTAATTCTAATTCTAGTCCTGTCGAGGCAATCTGGACTGGAATTATCTCTCTCTGTTGCTGCATACCAAATGTTGTAGTTAGGTGGTAAAGCCAGCAGCAAATTCCTCTATTCTGAACAAACCAGGAAAAATACACGCCCATTACACTTGGCATGCCAATGCTGTCTGGGACTGGGTTGCACAAAATTAATATTTTTAATGGAGGAGTGTAAATTCCTAATTATCAAGGGAGCAGGAGAGCGTGTTGTTTCCGGATACCATAAAGAATGTTCCACTCCCAAAACAGTTTGACAAAAAAAGTGGATGATGCGGTCCATAGACTCTTGGGAATATAACCACTACTACGAGCTGTATTTCTTAATTTGATTGTTATTGGGTACTCATGAAAGCCTTTGAGAATTAAAGGATTATAATTTAACGCAAAAAGACACATTAATGACCAAAAAGAGTAATCCCCATCAAATTAAAAACTGGCAGCAATGTTTTGGTCTTGTGCTAACAGTGTGCAATAACTTGGGTGATTTTCAGAAAGCCCAGCTGTGCCAGATGTTTTATACAGTTTCCTCACATGTTAATTTTCCTTTAATATTTTCGGTACCATATGGATATATTCCTTCCTTCTGTAATATAAAGCTAGTGAGAAATAACCTGTATTTTAAAGTCCTGATAACTAATCCGACCAACTTTTTAATGCATTATAACTATTAAACCAAAATGTACACTGACCCCTTATGTCCCCTGTAATGAAAGATCATTACTTCACATATATGTGTAAACAAAATCTTGTTTTCAAGATGTTCTTACATAGAATTTTGTGCAAGATTGTAGAGCCTCAAATATAAATTGTGGTTTTGATTTCTCTGCAATATCTTACACTGCAAATGTACTAAAACATGAATGTGTGTTTCATTTAGGAACACAGTGGATCAACTGTCCCTTCAATTCTAAACCGAATGCAGACCAACCAAACACCACCAACGTACAACAAGACCAACAAGTTTACTTATGGCTTCCAGAACATTGTGGATGCTTATGGCATTAGTAGTTACCGTGAGATAAACCCAGGTAAAATCAGACGCACTGAATGTATGTCTATATAAACATAGAATGTGACAGCATATAAGAACCATTTGGCCCCTCTAGTCTACCCAATTTTCTAAATACTTTCATTAGTGCCTGGCCTTATGCCTCTCCCACACATGCGCAAACTCCTTCACTGTGTTAACCTCTAGCACTTCAGCTGGAAGGCTATTCCATGCATCCACTACCCTCTCAGTAAAGTAATACTTAAAGATATTATTTTTGAACCTTTGCCACTCTAATTTAAGACTATATCCTCTTGTTGTGGTAGTTTTTCTTCTTTTAAATATAGTCTCCTCCTTTACTGTGTTGATTCCCTTTATGTATTTAAATGTTTCTATCATATCCCCCCTGTCTCGTCTTTCCTCCAAGCTATACATGTTAAGATCCTTTAACCTTTCCTTGTAAGTTTTATCCTGTAATCCATGAACCAGTTTAGTAGCCCTTCTCTGAACTCTCTCTAATGTATCAACATCCTTCTCAAAATACTGTCTCCAGTACTAGGTACAATACTCCAAGTGAGGTCTCACTAGTGTTCTGTACAATGGCATGAGCACTTCCCTCTTTCTACTGCTAATACCTCTCCCTATTCAACCAAGCATTCTGCTAGCATTTCCTGCTATTCTATCACATTGTCTGCCTACCTTTAAGTCATCTGAAATAATAACACATAAAATCCCTTTCCTCAGATGTTGAGGTTAGCACTCTATCAAATATTCTGTACTCTGCCCTTGGGTTATTACGTCCAAGATGCATTATCTTGCACTTATCCACCTTAAATATCAGCTGCCACAACTCTGACCATTTTTCTAGTTTACCTAAATAATTTGCCATTTGACTTATCTTTCCTGGAACTTTACCTCTGTTACAAATCTTAATATCATCAGCAAAAAGACATACCTTACCATGCAAGACCTTCTGCAATATCACTATATTAAAGAGAATGGGTCCAAGTACAGATCCATGAGGTACCCCACTGGTAACAAGACCATGCTTTGAATATATACTCCATTGACTACAACCTTCTGTTGCCTGTCACTCAGCCACTGCCTTACACATCGATACTAGAATCCAAACTTAAAGATTGCAGTTTATTGATAAGCCTTCTATGTGCAACAGTGTCAAAAATTTAGGTAAGCAATGTCTACTGCACAACCCTGATCTATTATTTTAGTAACCCAATCAAAAAAATCAATAAGATTAGTTTGGCATGATGTCTCTGAAGTAAATCCATGTTGTCTCTGATCTTGAAATCCATGTGATTTTAGATGTTTAACAATTCTATCCTTTAACATGGTTTCCATTACTTTCCCCACTACCAAAGTAAGGCTTACTGGCCTATAGTTGCCCGACTCCTCCCTACTACCTTTCTTATGAATGGGCACAACATTCGCTAACTTCCAATCTTTTGGGACTACCCCTGTTAACAATGATTGGTTAAATAAATATGTTAATGGTTTTGCTAGTACACCACTAAGTCCTTTTAATAACTTTGGGTGTATTCCATCAGGCCCCATTAACTTATTTTTCTTTATTTTTGACAGTTGAAATAGAACCTCTGTGAACTCACATGTAACGAATGACTAATTTGTCCTTCTTCCTAACTGAGGTCCCTTTCCTTCATTTTCATCTGTAAATACTGAACACAAATATTCATTGAGGCAGTCAGCTAGACTTTTATCCTCTTCTACATACTTTCTTTCTTTAGTTTTTAATCTAATACTTGTTTTACTTTCCTTTTCTCATTTATGTATCTATATTATCTTGTAAATTAGTTGATATCCATGTGAACATTTATTTACACAAGTTGATCTTTCCTGTCATGCAGCTCCTTACACTATTATTACTTTCCCATTCCTGTTTGCTGTGATGTTTGGGGACTTCGGCCATGGGATCCTGATGACACTGATCGCAGTCTGGATGGTTCTGAGAGAGAGCCGAATTCTTTCCCAAAAGAATGACAATGAGGTATGGTACCCGTCCAGCCTGATAGCTTCTTTTATCTATTTTTACTATTAAAACAAGATATTCAAAGACAACTCTTTTCTTCTCAACTTTTACGGGTTTTGTAAAGAGGACAACCTTTTATCAGTAGAAAACGAACAAAATAAACACATTTTGTCCCCCTCTGTATAGCACTATTTCTGTCCTTTAAGTACATAGGTTTTGAAAGTGCTTCTATCGTGGATTGAAAGTAGCACATGTCAAAATGTGTGTGTGTGTGTGTGTGTGTGTAGATTAGTATTTGTTCTCACTAGAGTTGGTCCCTCTTTTAAATAGAGTTGAACAGACTCATCCTGTATAAAATCTTGCTTTGCACATATTTCGAAAGATGGGGTGGCAACTTTTTATCTCGATTTATCTAAGAAAATAGTTTACAACATTTTACATATACATTGCTTCAACTTTGTGTTTTTTGTTTTCCTTTCATCTTATTTCTCATATACAGCTCTTCAACATGATATTTAGTGGACGGTATATTATCTTGTTAATGGGTCTATTCTCTACCTACACTGGTCTCATCTACAATGACTGTTTCTCAAAGGCTCTCAACCTGTTTGGTTCCTCGTGGAGTGTTAGGCCAATGTTCACCGACCCAAAAGCAAACTGGACGTGAGTATTTCCCGTTTAAAAACTAAAGTTATGAATAAAAAGTAAATTTTAGACAAATGTGTAAAGTGAAGTAGTTGGCAATAATATCCTGAAAAATAATATCCTGAAAATAACGTGAAAATCTCCATCAGAATTACTAATTATGTTTGTATTTGTCTCGCTCACTAGTTACAGGGGCTGAAAATCCCTCTCTGTTTGAAAATAGCAGCGTATTGTAACACTGACTGCATAGCTGATATCGGTAGCTATCAGGAATCGAGAGAAGAGTATCCGTTCTCATAGATGTTAAAACAAACAAACAAAAAAAAACACCCACCAGCCCATACTCAACTCATAATGCAAAATCAGCAAGAAATATATAGATTAAAACTTAGTTATTCCTTTCAGGCTTATGTAATGGAAAATAAAAATGATTTAAAAAAAAAATCATTTTTTTTTATTAATCTATAGCTAAAATTTAGAAAAACACAGATTTTGAAAACTTAAAGTGTTTTTCATATTGTTGCATATTGCAGGTGGTTTCATTGTTGCCACTGAGCTAAGCAAACCAGGAAGTAACAGGACCAGTTGTCTGACAGCCAGGGGCCGTAACAAGGTTAATTTATGAAAGTGCCAATTTCTATCGAAATCTGCCCCTTTTGTAACATGAAATAGAAGAAACATGCTTCACACACAAAACACTAGGGATCTGACGTTTCCCTTAATGAAGCTGTTTTTGTGTATTGATTATGCCCCTGCAGTCACTGCTTAGTTTTTGCCATTTAAGATATAAATCACTTTGTTTATGTAGTACTAGCCACACCTTCCTTGGTTGTTACTCATACAGCCTCCCTACAAACTTCCTAAAACAAACAAAAAAAAGGCAAAATTTTTAGCTTCCCTTATTGATTTTAATTTCGAATTTCATATCCCTTGCTCTGTTGACAGCCTGCTCAGTCTTCTCTATGTGATTAAAGTTCTCTTAACATGGGAGGTGTGGTTAGGGCTGCATAACCAAAGTAATTTAACTCCTAAACAACAGAGAATTGAGCAGTGAGACCGCAGTGGATTGATTCCTATACCGCTTCAAAGTTGTTTTGGTGCTTAGGGTATCCCTTTAACTATTTTGATTTCCTAATGTATAGATGAAATTAGCATCACTACAATACTGGTTTAGATATATTTTGTCTATCACTGCTATCTTTCTCTTTGCTTTAATAATTTATTTATTAAGATGCATTTTATTTTTATCAATAGAGATGACCTTCTTAAGCATGCGTCTGTTCTGCAGTTGGATCCGAATATTACTGGAGTATTCAATGGACCATACCCTTTTGGCATTGATCCGGTAAGAACTGTAAAATGGACTCCAAGTATTGCTTATGCACACATTTTTCAAGAATATAGAATTGCGCAATGTAAGGCAGGGTGGTAGATGATGTTTACCACTATAGGGTCCGGAATACATATTTTTGTGTTCCTGGCTCTATAGTGTTCCTTTAATCCCAAAGTACATCCACAAACTTTTTTTTCTTATTTCTCATTTTGTCTCTTTATTTAAATTAAGCTATTAGCTAGTTTTCTAATATTTAGAATTGCTTGATCAGTGATAATACCAAGATTTCAAAATGTAAAATCATGCATTATAGCTTGATGGAGAAAAAAACATTGCTCTTTCACATCTATTCACATTTAAACAGAAGTACTATAAATTTGATTTTAATCCCTAATTATAGTGAATTTTAAACCGAATTACAAACCTTGGGCAAAATTGACTGGTTTCAGAATTTTTTTCCAAAGCTCCTCTAGCCATAGCATGACTGATGCAGCCTACACTTTGAAATTCAGTTTTTAGTTCACTGAACATTGTTGTTTTTGTATGTAAACTTTGTTATGCAAACATATTTTGAAGGCTGTACAGTGTAGTGCATTGTTCCTCTATGCTACATATTTAAATATCTTAGTTGGCCTCATGTTCTACTTAAGTAAAGCTCATTTTGTTTTATTTTACAGATCTGGAGTATCGCCAGCAACAAACTGACCTTTTTGAATTCTTTTAAAATGAAAATGTCTGTGATTCTCGGCATCATACACATGATTTTTGGAGTAACACTCAGCCTCTTGAATTATATGTATGTATTTTGGAAACATTTCTCTGAGATGCTAATATGTAGTTTAGGGATTATAAGTATATAAGTATAGAATCTATCCAATCAGTAAGACCTTTCCTTCCATATTGGCAAGGCGAGACATGATCCTTTTGCCAGAGTTTATGATAGGAAAAGGGCTGATCTAATTTTGTTCTTGTGCAGCATAAGGCACTTTATTTTAGGATTATGTGAATTATGTTATCAGCTTTTATAGAAAGCAAACATATTCTGCCGCGCTTTGCAATTGTCAAAAAAAGAGCATATTCTACTATAAAGGGACACTATAGTCACCAGAACAACTACATCTTATTGTATTTGTCCTGGTGAGTATAATCATTCCCTTCAGGTCTGCCTGACAAGATCAGCCAATCCAATGTTTTCCCATGTGTAAGCATTGTGACTGGCTCAGATCTCCACTTCTGATGATGTCAGCAAAGCAGGCAGATCAGGGGCTGAGCCAGCATCAGCAGACTGAAACAAAAGTAAGATTTTGCTATACTGGTACTCATCACTTACCGACCGTGTTCCGTTCCTATGACCTGGTCATAGAACGATTTAGTCAGTAAGTGAGGAGTTACGGGATTCCCTGCTGTGGTGCGCTTGTCTATGTTCTGAGAAATTTCTCGAACATAGACGAACGCACCAGAGCGGGAAACCCTCTAATCTATGCTTGGGGAAATTTCCTTAAAAACACGACTAGTGACTGTCATTTATACAGCCACAACAGGTGCTTCCTATTAAGTTTCTGCAATATTTTGCAGTACCGACGTTTGGAGTCTTCATACTCTGCACGAAGATGCTAAACACTCCACCATACAGGTGCATTGGTAAAATGTATTGAAACAATGTGTTACGCATGCGCATTAGACCTATATGATGTGTGTGTATATACCAAGAATGTATACCACGTGCTTAATTAAACGTACTAATTTGACTTTTTTTTTTTTTTGCTAAAATAAGGAAGCTGTGACTAGAGGCGTTGTACAATTTGTCCCAATCAGTGTTTTTGTTTTATACATACCTTGTTAATGTATAATTGTAAAGGTTGACTCCTTCTCTTTTGGTTTTTATTTTAGATACTTCAAGAAGCCCCTGAACATATACCTGGGTTTTATTCCAGAGATCATCTTCATGTGTTCACTTTTTGGATACCTGGTGATCCTTATAATTTACAAGTGGTGTGCCTATGATGCAGCCACCTCCATGACCGCTCCAAGCCTCCTCATTCACTTCATAAATATGTTCCTTTTCAGCTACAATGATCCAACCCTTCCTATGCTCTACAGTGGACAGGTATGATCATGGCCTTCTAAAATAGAAATTTAAGGGACAGATGTTTCCTGGTTGTCTATTTTTCCCTTGAGTGCCTTCCAGTGAAGATTCTTAATAGAGTTTACAACATGTCCCAATATGATTAATTAGATTTCCTAGAATACTGAGAGATCCAGAGAACGGGCCATATAGATTGGCTTAAAGGAACACACCCAGCACCGTAACCCCCTTACCTGGCGTCCTCTTGGTGTTGCTTATGGCTTCCACTACTTATGACAAAGATTCTGGCTCTCTGTCTAAGCAAGACCCAGCGGTGCAGGGCTTAGCTCATTGGATGAGAGTGATCACCTCATGCTCTCAGCCAATGTGCAGGAGAGCTGTTTGTAAGTAATGTGTCAGCGCTCAGCTGACCCAGGGTAAGGGGTCAAATAGTTCTAAAACATTTTGATTGCTTACAATCAGCCCCAGGGCATTCTTGGTATTATAACCACTACGCTGATCTGTAGTGGTTATGGGGCTCGGGGTGTTCCTTTAATGGATCAATAGAAATGGTGGGAAATCATTCATAAAACAGCCTTTAATGATGGAATGTTCTTATTTTACGGTTGTGAGGCTGCACGAAGCTGCAAATACTAAATAAGCAGGATATTCTTACTTACATAGGGTCATTACTTACCAGATCACAATGGCATAAAGTATAATCCGTTCATATGGGGTTAATTGTGAGAGTAAGTAACAGGTAGCAAAAGGGTTATTGGGAATATTGTATAAAAATAATAGCAGGGAATTTCTGGTGCAATGAAATAACGCAGTTTTAAAATACGCAATACGGTTACTAAGGACAAGCTGCAACTTTTAGTTGATTCAACTTTAGAAACAGGAAGAAATACTTGGGAGTTACGTAAAGTAGTGGGTCTGGGGTTACAGTATGGTCTGAGATATTAGTAGCTTATCAAGTCCCAAACTAAGTTGTTAAGCCAGTGAAATGAAAGGAATACGAGAGATATGGGGTCACAATATTTTTCTGAAAAACTGCTTGATCCATGACTCTATTACCACCCATCATTGTGTTGGGTTTTATATACATAGCTTATCCTATCCAAAGTATGTATTTTTCCTACAATCAAAATGTATGTTATCCTATGTTTATTATTATTTTTTTGTAATTTATTTATTCTTTACGGTCAGTTTTTGTATTTTTTTTTCTTCGCTATCGATTGCATGACACTGTATGTATGTGCTACATAATAACTTCTCAATAAAAATATTTTTAAAAAATAAAATAAGTCCCAATCCTAAATTGTTAAACCAGTAAACCCCCCACCTCCACTCACCCTGTCTGTGTATCTCTGTAAATATCCACAGTATTGACCAGCAACACCATTAAATCTTTGTAGAAAGTAACTCTTTAATTGATCATCACACATGGAACCATGTTTGATGGAATAAAATCACTTTCTGCAAATATTAAATGGTGGTATTGGTCAATATTGTGGATAGTTAATGTTAATTTGGGGTGAGCAGTGACCCTCTGACTTGGCATCTATATTAGCAGGGGGGTGGTGTATGCAACCTCACATTAAGTTTTTAATGATTGTGTCTCACAGGTGGGCTTGCAATGTTTCCTGGTTGTTTGTGCATTGATCTGCGTGCCTTGGATGCTGGTTGTTAAACCGGTCATTCTCCGCCATCAGTACTTGAGAAGAAAGCACTTGGTGAGTACCTGTTAAATTTAAGTTATGCATAGCCCACATGCATTACCACTTGCTCTTCAGCACATTCATGTGTAGAGGGCAAGGGGTCAAGCGCACATTGATGTGTATTTCTACAGTTGACAGGCAATAAAATTATTCACTCTAAGAGCCATGTAGTGTATCTGCAGATGTGTGTTTTATTTTATATATTTATATTATATATATGAAACCAGGGGGCTGCACTCACCTGAACATGCATAAATGGGGTGCTGCTGGAGGCCAATTTATACAATACACAAGATCCAGCGCACTCACTTATCCACTAAACAGCAACTTCAATGTTGGCAGATTTTTTTATTTTTTTTTAAACACCTAATCTAGGTAAAAATAATGGGCATTTAGTTACATTATATGATCATACATTGCATAAGCCTGCCACAACGTCAATGTACCCCATCTTTGGCAGGTCCTACACTAACAGCCTAATGTCTGCTCTTATGAGATTAACCCACTTACTTGGGGGGGAAAAAAATCCATCTGGGGCTCTCTGCAGTACAAGGCTGAATAAAAGAAAATGGCTACTAATGTGTTGTTTGTACTTTGGTTCACTATTTTCTTCCATAGTGATTTCCCCATATAATTTGGAGATGGATAATTCAAAATTTTTACTGTAAGAAACCACCCTGAACATACCTGCAGAGAGACCGCAGTAGGACCACTAGCTGATGTTTGCAAATGTTTGGGAGATGTACTTGACCTCTGATCGCTGTAGTCTGGCATCACCTGCCAGTGCAATTTTTGAAGGACTACCAGTTAATAAGAATATTGTTCAGAAGTCCATCTACCTAGAACAGACCATATTTGCCCTTAGAAACCCATGTGTTGACAACGGAGAGCCCTAACGCATTAGAAATTATTTATTGAATATCAGGCTATTTTGTTTGGTGGTCCATAAGTCACATGTGTACTAATTTCATAGATATTACGTTTTTGTTTTATTTTAGATCACAGCATTTCAAGATATATTATCAGTGCTGCTGTTTATTAGATATGAACTACTTTTAGAGTTTGATCACTCCACCATTGATCTAATCTAGAATACACCTGTCACTATGCACTTATTAACTAAGAGTGTAGTTTCATAACTGCTATTATTCATGGTAGCGTATTTTCCCTTTGTTGTTAAGGCTCGTATTCAGTTTTGGGAGCCTAGACTGAGGGTGGCATGGCAAGGTGGTCCTATAGAATTATTTGTTTTGTTTATTTTTCCTGCTTTATGTACTTTGAGGGGTAGATGCTGTATGAAAACTATTTTCCTTATTACCTCCACAATGTGGCTTTTAGATGTCTCATTAGGACATTTTAACTGTCTGGATTCACTGTTTGGCTCTTAGAGTGATACAAAAATGAACGAAAAAAAAAAAACATTTTACTTACCAATGTCTCCTTTCTAGTATGCCGGTCAGTCAGTATTATGCTTGCTTTCATACTTATAATTTTTGGTTAGTGGCCATTTTCAGTCGATGTAAAAACTGCCGAACAGGTTCCTATAAATAAGAATATGCTCAGGACAAAGGTTCGCAGACTGGGCCAAGGAACACTTCAATAAGAGAAAAATTTAGAAATCACATCTATTTTTAACCATCAGCAGCTTGTAAACATCATCTCTTGAATCTAGCTAAATTGAGTCTGATTTATAATTATTTGCCAGTTGGGTATTAAAATGTTAATGTTGTTACTCAGTGTGTTTGTGGCACTCATTAAAAAAGCTTGTGACACATTGGTGGGGTACAACACACTGGTTGAACAACTGGTCTTAAGAGTACTTAATTTTTCCTTACTCCGTGGGTCCTCTGGCAAGTTAAACTAATCCTGGCTCACAAGAAAAGGCACTGGCTTGTAAAATATTTTCATAACAGTGATAAACTGCATATTCCATTAGATTTTTAACGCTTTGCCCATATAATCTGGAAACCTCAAAAAATATTTATTAATATAACTGTGATTGTGTGCAACCTTATATATATCGCAGTTGAGATATATATATATATATATATCTTAACTGCGAGAATGTTAATGTGTACAATGTTATCACTTCTAGGGGCTAGCGTCCTATTTTACTTACATCTTAAAATATTAGACATGTTCTTGCAATAAATCTATTGCATATCAATGTACTCACAGTATATTTAAGACTGACGCACACCTCCACAAAAAATTTCATCAAATTACTTCATTATATGGGCACAATGTTTTAAATCTACAATTATGTGAAAAGTTATCATTGTTAAAAGCAATGTAAATAATTTGTTTATAAATATTGTTTAAAATACTTTTCAATACAAATATTTGAAAAGAAATGTAGATAATGTTATTTAACCAAAAATATGTACATCTAAAGGGCATTCATCACGCAAATAACACATGATTTAATCAACGCAGGGTAAAAAAAATGGCCTATCTATTGTGTTAACATTTTTCATGCTGAATCAGGAACATTAAACCTTATAATTTGCATCTTTAATGGAAGGCACTATGGTTGCTCAAATTACATAAAAAAATAAGTTATAAATATATATTTGGCAGCTGGAATAAGGTGCACTGTATATGCCGTTTTAAGGAGAATGCCAAGCACCATAACTGCAACCCCTGTAGTGGTTATGGTGCTACAGGGCTTAAGATCAGTTTGACTATGTACTTGGGTCCTACTTGGTACCAGCTGTTGACTGCCCTGCTGCTGGAATCTCTTGCAACTGAGCTAAACCTGGCAGTCCAAAGCTGCACTAATTGGCTGAGTTGGCACAGCAAGGCTTAGCCAAGTGGAGTTAAAGGGATAGTGCCATCGTGCTCCCCCTGTCTATCCCCACCCGGGTGAAGAAAGGGTTAAAAGCCCTTTATTTACTCACCCTTTTCCCTGCGCCAATGTCCCTCTGCGCTGGGTCAACGCTACGCCTCATCTGACGTCCTGCGATGAGAAGCGCTAATACTGGAAATGCTGCGTGTGCACTAGACCTCCCCATAGGAAAGCATTGAATAAATGCAGAGCGTGAGGACGTCCAGCGTCCGATACGGGACCAAAGGTCCGATTCGATAAAAGAAGCCCTCTAGTGGCTGTCTGGTAGACAGCCACTGTGGGCAGACTTAGAGCTGCAATGTAAACATTGCAGTTTCTCTGTAACTACAATGTTTAACGTTGCAGCACTACGTGCAAAAGGGACACTGCACCCAGACCACTTCAATTAGCTGAAGTGGTCTGGGTGCCTGCAGTGATCCTTTTAAAGCAAATTTCTTGTAGAAGCTTGCTGCACAAGGGAAGGTGTCAGGACCCAGATAGGTTGTCGAACAATTCTAAAACGGTTGGACTCTGGGAGATATCCAAGACACATTGGCACCATAACCACTACAGCGGGCTGTATTGATTATGGTGCAGGTAGTATTCCTTTCACTGACTGTCACCTCGTGGCAGATTGTGTTTGTGGATAAAGTTGACCGCATTAGCTCACAGGCCAGCCATTCAACAATATTGACTAGCATGTGTCATGCTAGTCAATATTGTTGAATGGCTGGCCTGTGAGCTAATGCTGTCAACTTTTTAACGCGGGAACAGTAAAAGACTTGCACACACTGACGTGTCGTCAGTGGGTGCAAGTCTTTTACTGTTCCCGCGATATACCTTTTGTTTTTTCCTTGTTACTCGTAGGTTTAGGGTATAGTTAGGTTTCACTCTATTGATCGCATTAAAACAAATAGCCTTTCTCAGACATGGGAGAGCTGGGGAGAACTGTCCGTGATCTAGTCATATTGAAGTAACCTTTAAATAAGTAAATGTGTAAGAGAAAAATAACATTTGGCAGATAATTTAGATACTTTTAAGCAATAACTTTCAATAGGCCTTAGGCATTATGCTGTTAGAATGTTGGACTCACATTTACCTCCTAATTCTTTTCAATTTTCGTCTGTCGTGTACATTTCAAACATTACAAAATAAGCAGCTAGTTAGACAAGACCATGTGTATGCTGGTAAATATTGTAGTTTATCTGCAATTGTGAGGCCCTGAAACCACTGTCACAAAATGTTAGCACAACACACAGACCGTTTTTCTGCCCTGCTTATTGAGTTTTCCTGTGATGGGTATCCACATGGGTATGTTATGTGTTTTCATTGCATGTTAACCTGTATATCTGTATATCTCTCTATATACCTATATAATGTAATAAACCTTTATCTATTATATGTTTATATGTATGTGCTGAAAAAAGCCGACACGTCTGATTTACATGGATTGTGTATTATACACAAACAATATTTCGATCATTTCTCATTCCATGTTACATCAACAGCCACCTTTCCAAAAATGGTTGCTACTTTACAGACATATAAAAATAAATAAGTGATAAAACCACAAAATAAAAAGTAGAAGATAAGTTATCCAAAATAAATTTCCAGTATTGTCTAATTGCTAAAGGACAGGCCAAGAGAAGAATTGCCCTAATACAGATTTACTCAGAATTCAAAGTAAATTTCAAATGTTAGGCCACAATGGCTGAATTGGAAGAAATCTTCAACCTATATTTTCAGTGTGACCTTAATTGTGAAATTCACTTTGAATTCACACTTTACTGAATAAGCCTGACACAGTTTGTAATCTGATTAGAAACAGGTAAAGCATGTCACAATGCAAAACAGTGTTTCCATCTGTTATTTTTAATGGATCATAACTATGATATTGAGCTTAAATCTCTGTAGTTTTCTATAACTTTTTTGCTGAGCTACGATAATTCTCCCTCCCCCCGCTCAAATGCAAATTTGTCGTAATTTTAGCAAATTGGTCCACTCGTACAAATCACAAAGGAACTAATTGCAATTCAAACAAAATAATCAAAAATTGTCCTTGCAGTGCTCTCATGCATTATTTGTTCAATTACAAAGAGGACACTACTGGCTCCATCTTTATAATAAGGTCACTTTTATATAGAAGTGGTGGTAGTTCTGCTCCGTGACATTTCCTTCCCTTAAGTGGTTACCTTAACAGTACGTTTAGAATTAAGTGACAACTACATGACAAAGCCCATGGGGGTCATAATAAGGGACGTTTAAAACCTTCCTCATGGCCCCACCTGCCGTAAGGTGCATGGGGGCATATGTACTAAACAGCGAGCAGACAAGACATTATAACTGGAGCCTCCACGCGCCACTCACTGGTGGTCCCGTCCGCCTGTCCACAGGAAGGTAGGTCACTATGTACCCTCTGCTTAATTTACTACTTTATTTATACCCACAACCTGAACCTATGTCAGTTCCCCCACACTGCTGCCCTATCACTATTGCAGTGAGCAAAAAACTTTTAAGACCAATATATGGGAAGATAATTAAATATTGATAATTTTATCATTGCACAATTGAGACCTTAAATAAAAATTACATACATATATACATATAATTAGTACTATGTGTGTGCATAAAAGTGTGTGAAGTGTGTGTGTGTGTATATACATACATGTATGTATAGACATATATGTATGTATATATATGAAAAAGGGAATCTATTGTGTACTGAAGATCTTTTTTTTAAATTATTTTTCTAACCAATAAATGTCTAGTAGTGTTTTAAAATATTGGTATCGCAAGTGCCTTCTTGATAGGTTTAAAATAATTGATCAGAGATCCCTGATTTATAGTTAATTTTATTTTGTAAGAGCCATATGCAAAACATGTGCTCAGTCACTGCAGACGAGTTGCCTCATGAGATCACATGATTAACAGGCTCTCCTGTATCTTGTTTATAATTTGGTTATTTAAAAAAAAAAAAGAAAGTGTTTTATATAAAAAAAAAAAAATATTGCATACATTGGATAAAAAAAAAGTAATGCAAAATTCGAATCTGATCAAATGTTCTTTGGTTATATTCGTTTGCTTATAGGTTCCCTAAAAATGTGTAACCCTCTGTTCCCAAATAGCTGTCAGCTTACAGTAAATGTACACAGTGTCACTTTATATCCCAGCATGTTTTCCAGTTCTGGGGATAGGATGCAGTAGCCTTTTTATTCCTGGATTATTTTATAAATTAATAAGGTTAACACCACCTCTGTCTTTTGGGTTGGGTGAAATGGAAGTGCTTGATCGCTTAAGAGGAAGGTGACGTTAACGCTATTAAATTATAAATCAGGGTATCTTTCTAAAAGATAAAATTATTTCTATAGAGGGATTTTTGTAGTGAACTTCTTTGTGTGATGGAAGTGGCGTTATGATTGGGTGGGCAAGAGGTTTACTGTGCACCGTCAAGCCTTGTAGGACAGTAGGGTCTATGATTTTTTGATATTATAGGATCAGGTTGATGGTTATTGGGGGATAATGGAGTGTGATGATTGGCAAGGGTCCACACCCTGATTTATAAATCCCCCCTCCCCCACCCACTTACCCAGGGAACGCATAACTTCGGAGGCATCCGCGTTGGTAATGGGCCTACAGAGGAAGATGCCGAAATAATTCAGCACGACCAGCTGTCCATGCACTCAGAAGAAGGAGAAGAGGTAATGACCTTTTATACTGTTCCTTAGACCCTTGGCTGCCAGATGGGATTGCAATATATTGTAATGCAATCTGTTGCATTCTCGTCTAACAGTTAAAAGTGTAATCTTTCTGTAAAACAAATATCCCCCTTGTTTTGTATTCACAAAATTGCTTTGAAATATCAGTCCCTCAAAAATGATATATCTGTACAACTGTCCTCAAAACAGCTAATTTTGAGGTATAAATACAAAACATGCTTTAGATTAATATTGCCACTATTCTGGGGTTCTAATAAACACAGAAAGTACCGCTTCCTGAATTCTATCAAACATTTTGCGATATCTGTTAATTGATTCATTCCAACTTTCTGCAGTATTACCTTTACATTGATGGTCATTATGTGGAATACATTCTATTATTTATTGAATGATTTAGTATGTCCACATTCCCCATCTAGTCTTTTTTCTCTTATCTATCTGGGCAATGAATTCTGGGAGCAGACCGTTTGAGTATGATCTATATTAAATCTCCGTAGTATTAACACATTATGTACTGCTGGTTAATTGCTGGGACCATTCTTTTAACTTTCTATTCTATAACGCGTTGATAACCTAACAATATCTGATAACATTAAAAGCAAGCAAATGTTTTATTTAGACACAAACATTTCTCGTATCCTATTCTAATTCTGTTTTATTGAAATTTGCACCCGAAATTTAAGTAGTATTTTTAGAATATTTGAATTGATATAGAAAATAAAATTTTCGGTGGGACTGAAGCTTTAAAGCATATCTAACATTTTAAAATAACCTGACTTTTGTTTGTTTGGTTTTTTTTTCCACATTTTAATCTGGATTTATGTTTTCAAGCCTGCCGTGGAAGAAGTGGTAAGAGCACAGTCCGTTGTGCATGTAAACAGTCATACAGATCATACAGACATTTTGTAATTATTCTGTGTTTAATTTCTTTTTTTTGCGTATCCACAATCATGTGTTTTATTTTAACATTAATCGTTTAATTTTTAACAGGCTACAATTTTATTTAATTTATTTTTCTTCATTTGCTTGATGTGCTTCGCAAGAGGTTTATGATATTCACGGCAATCTATATTAAAAAATAATTTTACCGCAGCTCATAAGTGCTTCGCCATCGCTTCTCAGAGATATCTTTAAAAGTGCAGTTTCCATGGTCCTTGCATTTAAATAACTTTTTAAATGAACGTTAAAGGGAAAACGGTATACAAAAATAGTACAGTACTCTAAATTTTTTTTAAAACATTTAATAAATGGATGCAAAACAGCATTAAATGTGGGTAAATGCATATTTGTCAAGTTTTGGGTATCTTTTGAGTAAATATGTAAAATATTAATACACACGGTTACAGTGTGGACATTAAGAAGAGTACATCTTCATGTAGAATTAATAAAAATGCAATGGGACTGCACTTTTAATGCAAGTAGCGAAATAATAATGTGCTGTATGCATAAATATAAACACAAAAGTGGATATATTTTGTAAGTATGTGAATTTGGCTGAAATTGTGTTTTATGTGCGCTAAAGTGCTGTGATTTTGTTTTCTTGAATCAGTGTGCGCAGACGTTCTCACTAACACTTTTGAAGTGATATTCCACTGCCCAAATACCAAATACATTTTATAAAATTCCTATTTAGTAGATCAACCCTCCAATTAAACCGTGCATGCATTTAATTAGCATTTCTATATCTAAACGAAGCTTGCAGCTGCATATATCTTGTCGGCAGCCTTTGCAAGGCACGTGCTCTGGGCAATTGTCTGCTTCTTGAGTATAGCTCCAATGCCAGGAAATAATAGGACCGGATGATGTAACAAAGTTCATTTATAAAAATGCCAATTTTTATTCAAATCTGCACTTTTTGTAAAATGGGGGGGGAGGACACACTCTTCACACAGAAAGCACTTACTCAACCAAAGTGCTTTAGGTATTTGGAATGTTCCTTTAAATCTGTATACATAGATATGTGAATAATCATATTGTACACATATACGTGTATATTTTTCTGTCATATATCATGTAAGACTTTACCATGTAGACACCAAAGACCTAACAGATTCCTGTTTATATAACTGACACTTCAGTCTGGGGTTGCTATTTTAAAACTCCCCATCTTTCTAATACATTATGGAGATTCAAATATAAAAAAAAAAAAAAGAGAAAAAATCAACCGTTGATTGCTAATTTTGCATGGGCTTTTGAGTGACCAGGGGTATTATATATATATACATATATAATCTTGCACTACTAGACACGCCTAGAAGCTACTCGCCATTGCAGTCCTGGAGGGTGGATTACCAAACAAATTTCTATTTGCTTACGCTGATTTATCATTTGCCAGTGGCAGTCATATTTACATTTTTCATGAAAAATACATGAATAAATCTGCATCCAGCACAGAAATTATTGGCTTGCTTAGATAACTTAATTCATGTTTCTCAAGCTATGCCCACTTAGAGGAGAGTTGTGAGAGACGAATGTACAACATCAGTATTTCCCGATACATACACACAGCACAAAAAACTTGCATATCCTGTGACAGCACACAGCTTATAAATTAAGGGAATTTAGTAAATCACTGGAGCTGTAATGGGAAGCAGGAACAAGGTAACCCAATCAAGGAACAATTAGTTGCAGTATGTGTAGCGTTGTTTAATAATGATGGTAAGTGTACCTCTCATTCTTACTCTTAACTATAAGGAGAGATGGAATGAATCTCTGCAGCATTATTCACAATCAGTCCTACAAATCTGATCTTTAAAATCCAATGGAAACTTACTTTGAGGCAGTAACCCACTCTATCTGACTACTCTTCACAGCTGGATTTAACCTTTGAATTTCACAGGAGAAAAAGCAATTCAGAGATTAACCTTTGCCAGTTATGAAATGGGACTGCAGACCTGTCAATCCCCAATAAAATAAATGTGCCAGTCAATCATGCATGCATCATTCCATACAATACTGAGAAGTAATAGTTCATCTAGTGTACCTGTTCTCAGTTTAAATAATATGTAAATTTGAGATGAGATTTTTGCTTTTTCATTTTCTCAAATCGAACGGCCATAAGAATTTTTGTTGACTTGGTCTGTTGGGGGCATGATGCCTGTTTTTTTTCTTAAAGGGATACTATAGGCATCCAGACTACCTAATCTCCATGAAGTTGTCTCTGTGCCACAATAGTGTTTCTTTAATGTGTCTTTGTTCATCCTGTATAGTATGGATTGATGTGTTGACCTATTATGGTCAGTTAACAGATGAATAATCGGGAAGGGGTGTTTCCAGTGATACGAGTACACTAGCAACGACCATAAGGAGCTGATCTGATGTTTATTCATACTCTTTGACAGTCTTCTCACCCCACCCAGCTGAAGGGCCCGCTGCACAGGTGGAGCGCATCTAATGCACTGTGCTGCCCGGGGACAGTTATCTGGTTTTCCAAGATGCCGGTCACCAAAGAACTAAAGCAGGACTGGGGCCTGGTCCCCAAAATCATGACCTGTTATTATGTTCACTTGGAATAACAATAAACTGGTTATACGGCAGATAGAAAAAAGGCCTTTAGTCTACTAGTTTATGGTTTTGTTATTAAACTGCTTGTTAATGTTTCAGATCATGACCCAACCTTTAAAGTCCACTGAGAGTTAAAAGTCAAACTGTTTGTGTCATGGCTCTCTTTGCCTTGCCTCATCCTATGATTTGGCCCATGCATTTAACAGTCTTCATAGAACATTAGCTTTCTGCACGTCGGCATTCTCCATTTGTAAGCTTCTGCTCCTTTCATCAACTGACACTTCGTATTCCTACCCTTTCTCTTGTGTCCCATTCCTTCCATCCTTCACCCCCCAGCCTTCTCCCCGGCGAGTTTCGGTAGTGGTTACCAGTGAGGAAGTAGATAAAGATGAAATGGAAGTTGAAATATTTGTCCAGTCAGTAAGTACAATGCCATCTACATTCTAGATTAAATAAAATTACCCACCATCACTTATGTTGGTTTTATTTATTTTTTTTAAACGTTTTTGAGTTATACACCTACAGCATCTATAGCACCTTTCTTTGGGTCTGGACTTCCTAAAGAAATTTCCGTCACTGGTGAATATACTTTTCTTTTTGGTACATTTTCATTTTCTTAGCATTGTCATTCCCAAATCACCCTAACTATGCTTTGAAAACTTGATAAATGTGCCAAACAATGATAGAAACTCTTAATTGTACCTGTTCACCCATTCTGGTTCTGGGTATTTTAAAGGTTTTTCTGCTCACATGCCCATTTCGTCCACTTATGGAAACCTGATGGGCACGACCTTTGGCTCTTGACAGTAATGCCTGGTTTAGTTCTAGATATAACCTCTCCTTACTCTTTGCATTTCCTGCAGTTCGATTTTGGAGACACAGTGGTCCACCAGGCTATTCACACAATTGAATACTGTCTGGGATGCATTTCCAACACTGCTTCTTATCTCCGACTTTGGGCTTTGAGTCTGGCACATGCTCGTAAGTAACAATTCTGCGTAGCTCTAGTTAAGTTGTTTTTTTTGTGTGTCTCATTTTTATATCTAATAAAGTGTTTAGTCAATGAAATGGCATTGTAAGAAAGAACCGCTTCAATTCAAAAGTGAAGCCGTAGAGCAGCACTAGAAAATGGACACAGTAATCTGTAGGAAACGTAGTAGTAAATGTCGGGAAAAGAAAGACTAGCATATTGGAAAGGTTAAGGTCGGAGAAGAGTAAGAGGTTAAAGTGAGAAAATAGAATCCTGACAGAACATAATAATAAATGCCAGTTTGGTGAAAGACTGGTGAGGTCCATAAAGCTGTATATTGAGTATATGTGTGCATATGCATGCGTGTTTGTAGTTTAAATTCCCTCAAGAAAAACATGACATAGTCCAGTTTTACTAGCTTGCAGATTGGCTAAATCTAGCAGATTTAAGTGCTAAGTGTTTTAGTCTTCTCAACACCAGAAAAACGAGAAGCATAGCTAAGCATCTGCACAGCAGCCCACTCAGTAAATTTAGGGATACCGTTTGTATATTATTGTAATTATACTCAAACGAGCTTACAGTATAAATGTGGAATGTGCAACTGATTTGACTTACACAGTTTTATGAATTCTTTTGTCTTACAGAATTGTCTGAAGTCCTCTGGACCATGGTAATGCATATAGGCCTACATGTCAGAAGCTTCGGAGGAAGTATTCTACTGGTTTTTGTGTTTGCTGCATTTGCCACTTTGACGATAGCCATCCTTCTGATTATGGAGGGACTCTCCGCTTTCCTTCACGCTCTCCGTCTGCACTGGTAAGAATTACTCCTATTCACACAACAGGGAGCATCCTGGCAACTTTCTGTCTTGGGGTGAAAAAAATAAATCCCTTGATTCTTGGGGTCGAAAATAGACCTCTTCACATGGATTATATTTATCTACAGTTTTATTACATCTGCAAAGAGGGATTGAAGAGTTCAGAAGATTAAGCTATACAAAATCTTGGTTTACTAATATGTTAACCTACCTAAGATGTCTTCCTTGTCATTTAAATATTTAATTAAAATAAATCCGTAGTACATAAAACAAGGATCACACTGTGCTGCACAAATCCATTGATAAATAAACATACAGTCAGAACAAAGCTCTTATTCATTGGGCTGGAGTAGTGATGTGTAGCAACTACTCAATGTTTCCTTCTCCACAACGGCCATTACAAGTATAACTCCAGTTAATTATGGTCTTCTTTTCATCTGGTCATCTCTTCCTGTTTTTTGACACTCACTTTCTGACCCAATATAAGGTCGCCACATGAAAAAATATAGATCCTGGAGTTACCACAGTACTCCAAAAAGGCCGTAAACTAACAAGGTACAGGTGCTGCTATTCCACCTCACTGTGGTTCCTGCAGTGATACATGTTTAGCGGATCCTGAGTAACTCAACTGGTTACCTCTGCTAATTTCTTCTCTCAGCCAGACTGGAACCGTTAAACATGCAAGCATCCTCCATTCCCCAAGTAACCAGACGAAACTTAGTTCTGGAAGTCAACTAATTTTATTCAGGCTTTTATGCACAGACCCCTGACATGGGGTCTCCAACACAACATTACAGGGTTTTACCCACTTCGGCGCCACGCGATCTCATCATCCGCTGATGCACGATGACAGACAAGCTAGGACTCATGGCTGCTTTTCGGGGAAAGACCCCATATGACTTTGAAACAAACCAAATATCCCCTTTTCAGGATTTAAGCAGAGACACACTCTTATGGTGCAAATCAATGCAGCCACTCACCGCACAGCTGCGAGACGCAGGGATCACCTATAGATGGGCAACACCAAAAACCCTCTGGGCCTCTAAGGAAGGACAAAACTATAAGGCCTCAGATCCCAAGGAGGGCCCGGCCCTGTTAGCCACACTGGGCTTAACTGACCAACCTGAAGCCGCCGCCACCCGCCCTCGAACAACACCCATGGATGACAAAAACGTCCCCACACCCAGAGGGAAACGAGGCAACACGACCTGACCACAAGTCTACTGCTCCAAAGTTCAGTTTTAACCCCAGGACACTTTATGCTATGTTATGTTACTGATTTACTTTTACTTAGCCTTCACATACCAACAGCTGGGCAAATTTCATGCGAGATAATTGCTTAACCTTACCCACCAGACCATTAGGAAATGATTGTTACACCCAGAGATTGGGTCTCTGTGCTCCGGTGCACGAATTTGCACCCCCCTCCTTAGGCCCCAAAGTACAGGGGCACTACACTCTACGTGAGCCCACTACTGGTCTGTCTACACACGCCTCTGCAACCTGCAGATCACATAGACGGACCACAACCGCTCACACGGGCCCCACCTTCCTCAGACTATATAGACTAGATGTGTTTCACACATAACACTGGTCACAGACAACAGTATATCACACAGCCCACGCACACCTTACACCTACCCACAGGACATAAAACAGCGCAAACCTAAGCAACTCACTCCTAGACATAGGGGGCCAACTTCACCCAAAACTGCAGGGGTCCAACCCTAAATGGGCTATTACGGGGACACCAGGTGCAACCACCGTGGGTGACCTAGAACGCAACCCTGTCCACCTAGCTTTGACAAAACCCGACCCCGACAGCGCTGCACACGACCTTGGGGGGTTATTAACCCTTAATGACAACCAACTACAACTCGTTAAAACCTATCTGACCTCACCTATATATAACAAAGTGCATCCTGACCTTATAACATGTTTAGACATAAACCATGTTTGAATGTTGAAATATTTTGACACGGCTGTTGTGGCCAGGTCAAGCATTACATATTGCACTGAAAAATAAAGATTTATAAAAAAAAATTTAAAAAAATTACAGGGTTTTCCTTCCCAGGGTCCTTTGTGCCTGAGAGATAATTGCGTGAGAAAACTATAACTATTATCTCTCAGGTACAGAAAAACCTACACAAAATATACAGTATTGCTAGGAAATAACTAGGAACCCAACAAAAGTTACACCCCGACTAGCTCTGATCTGAGTGTACAACTTGTATCAATCAGATCCGTTCGGCAGAATTGGATTGCCACCGGGGTAAAGATTTGACCGGCCGGATACGAGGTGATAGCCCAAAACAAGTCCAGGGAAATAGGTGCCCCGGCCGGTCTCTGTTCTGGAGTTTGTGTGAAAACCATGCAAGGGATTCTCTTGATTTCAGGGTGAAAATGCTCCCCCAGTCAGTAGTTCCCATCTCCCGAACGTCGTTCGTATAGTTGGTCAGGAAGTAGAATGAGCAGTGGTATAATCTTTACCGAGGTTCGTGCGAGTGCCTAGCCGAAAAGAGTTCCAGGCACTCGACGACCAATTGTCGCTGCCCACTTTCGAGAGACAAAATGGCCGCCACTCTTTTGCCAACTTCATGTATACGGTTACACGAAATAGCCACCCAGGGGAAGCATTCATTAACTACTTCCCTTGCGGTTTTGCACTTAAGTTACATGGTGTGAACGTTTTAATGGGGTACTGGGGTGGTCCTCATTCCGGTGTCAAGCGCAGTGTGTTCAGATCCCATAATTCCCAAATGGATAAAAAGTAAAACACACAAAATTAGTGGTATGTTCCACCACAACATACAGACAACATTTTGAAAAAAAGGAGGGAAGCGCAACCAATATAAGGTGGGACTGGAAGGCCACTTGTCAGATGGGAGCAGGAAAGTTCTGAGATGTGGGTATAATAATTTTTATGATATATATCATTGTTTACTGGATATTGTATGATTGCTTTGCAAAGAAATACACAATATACTTCAACATCTCCATTGATTGCGTGAGTCTGGAAGTGATCTAATTTAAGAAGGGAATCTCAATGAAACATAACACTGTTACTTGTGCACATATATCTATTGCTCATACCAGTCATACTTCTGGTCTGGAGAAATCCTAGTAAGAGCATGTTACATTTGTTCCATGCTTTCTCCTTACTCAACCTACTTGCATCATAAATACTTGATGTGCTTTCCTACTTGATGAATGAACATAGTGTTTAATGTACAGCTGGGGGAGCTCAATTTACATTTTAAAGGACTATATTTTTTTGTGACACAAATGTTCCATAGAGTTTGTGAAACGTTACATAAAATGATCTGAATAATTATATTAATGTGTTTTTATTAACATGCTTTTATGGTTAACCCACCATTATTCAGAGTAAGTCTCTCTTAAAGAAAAACTACAGCCACCATAACCAATACTGTAGTGGTTATGGTCCCAGAGATGTGCTCATGTGCCACCCCTGCCAATGTAAATAGTCAAATATTTTGACAACTTACCATAGGTCTGTTGGATGTCTTCCTGCATTGAGCTTCTATTTGCATTCCATAAGCTAATCACCACACTGCAGGGCTGCCTCAATGGCTGAGAGAATCATGTGAGCGCTCCAGCCAATGAGCGAAGTACTGCACTGCCAGGCTACCTCTGTGCAGAGACCAAAAAGGCAGAAGTTCCTAAGCTGGAACTTCCATTAGCTCATTGGCTAGGAGCATCAGCTAAATGCTCTCAGGCAGTGAGCTAAACTCTGCATTGCAAGGCTTAGCTCAAGAGAACTTATAGAAGGTCCTGCTTAGGAAATCCTGGCTTTTCGGCAATAGCGTTGGAGGCAATGAGGAGTGCCCAATGAACTATAGAGTGCATTGAGTGTTTTTAATAGATAATTTTACGGGCAGGAGATTGTGATTAGACCCAAAGATTTCACTGACCAGTAACGGGGAGATACCGTAATACATTATTTCAGTAAACCTTTAAATGTGGTGGTAAAACCACCTACAGGTGCCTTTGCATTACTCTGTATCTTTATACTGTATTATCTTTTTCTATGCTTTTTATATTCAAGACATGCATCCATCTGTCTGTATCTCACTGTATCTATTTTAATGAGTTTACCAAAGCTGAATTACAAATATATGACCATTAAAGGTTTGTTCTGCATAGTTGATGCCCCATGCATACAACTTTGTTCACTATTGTACATTTAGAAGTCTGTTACTAACTCGTTATTTGCAGTTAATTTTCTTGCTTCGCTCTTATTTTATGTTTCAGAAAATTCTGAGAGTGACCACAAAGCTCTTTTAAGTAGTGTTATAGTGCCCTTTCTGGCATAAATTGCAACAAAAGATCAAAAAATAAATCATGTCTTTTTATAAGGCAAACTACAAATGGCACATACAGTACTTTGAGGGGTTTTCTTTATATGTAATGATAAGAAGTCCCTTAATCCCCGATGGACAGTTAACCTGGCTAACGTGCTGGAACTTGCTAACAGAGTTCTGTACCTGAAGCTTGTGTAGAGCACCGTGTGAGTGAGCACACTTCTTGTTAACTCCACAACTTCTACTTTGTTTGACCTGTAGCCTGCTGTTTTTACAACATGCAAGAAACTTGGAATAATAAAGCTCTCATTTATACTGAGGTAATATGTTCAAACTAGAATTTATAGAACTATTCTGCTGGCTGGAAAACCAAGCAGAAACTACACCAGTGGTAGTCAACCTGGTCCCTACCTAGTGGGCAGTTTGGGATTTGAGGTGGGCAGTGGTGGGTTCTGCAGAAAATGCCCAGTGCTCCTTGATGGGTGTGGGCCAAGGCCGGCAGGGGAGATCCTTTCATCTCCTCTGCTGGCCCATGCAGAGCCTGCCTTGTTGTAAGCCCTCTCAGGCTGATGAGGAGACCAAAGATCCAACAGAAGGAGGGAAGGGCTTGGGAAGCTCTGTGTTCCTCACGCGAGCAGGCTGGTTGGAGCTATGCCGTGCATTACCATGGCAACGCTCCGATACAGTCCTGTGCTCGCAGGAGGACAGGAGAGTCAGCCTGCAGCCAGAGGAGCTGCTAAAGGGAACATGCCACCACTGGACCACCAGGGCTTACAGCATTATGTACCCCTTCCCTGGTAAAAGGTAGAAAGAAGGGAGGGGGAGACATTAAGATTATATTTTCACATCTCACCCACCTACACACAGTATAGACCGTATGCACCTCTCACACACACACACAGAGACTGTACCTTCACACACAGCTCACACTGCCTCCACACACAAACACTGCCACCCTCACACACTGCCCCCCCCTCACACAAATTTTGCCATCAACAAAAATACAAAGTGGGTGGTATGTATTAAAAGGTTGACTGCCCCCGGAACTAAACAAATCCTATATTTAACTCCTCTTACAAATTAAGCACCATGTATCTCGGTGCTAAATTTAACCCCACTGTAACCCTAAAACCCAATAATTCAAAACACCTCTTATACCACAACTATAATCCCTCCCAATATTTGATTCCTCTTAACACTAAACACCCTATGTATTCTAACACCGACATTAAACCGTTTTTACCCCAACCACTTTTACCAATATTTTTAATCCAGCATACATTTCCATAGCTACATACACTCTAAACTCAAAGAATCAAAAACAATACAATTACAAATATTTAGATATATAAAGAAAATTAGAATATTATTTTTTTTACTGCAATTTAGTCCAGTAAATAAAACCTGTCTTTTTTTTAAATTAATGTTTTTGGATACCAGCCACAAGACCGATCATCATGATGCTGCAGCAGCAGCGCAGGGACTGCCAATGCATAAAATAATGTTGTCTATTTAGCTCACATGTTGAGATATTTAATGTACTCCATTTATGCCTCCAATGTGTACGGTTCTGGAATTATGTACAAATTTACGATTTACTGAAAATTCCTATTGAAGTATAGGCAGTTCAGACACATGTAGATGTTGGTGTCAATTGTGCAATACCAAGTATAAGAGAATTTGGACATTAATCAAGCACAGAATTTGTTTTTCCTTATTTGGGTCGAAAGTCTGAAATCTGTGGCAAGCAGCCAGTATTCTTGTCCTCCTCTGTATATATAACCTCTTCTCTTGCTTCAGCATGAATAGATACATTGTTTCGGTATAATATGCATACCATTTAAACCTTGTTAAAACAGTGATTTATTAAGATTCAGGGGTTAGCCAACAGTAGGATTCCCCAATTTACATAGGACTATCCTCCCATGATGTTCCAGCAGAACATATACTGTACTTACAAGTATCCTGTGCTTTGTAGCAGCAAGAAATGGAAAGGTTTTAATAACTGCAACAGATAACACATTATACTCTTTATCAAACATTGTTGAAATTTGCCCAAGATGGTCAAGATGACAGATATGGTTTCATAAGCACTTTATAAGCAGCCAGTATAAACAGGCCATGGTACGGTTCTTCAGGGACATCAATATGACATCAATATGATTTTGTTATATGCATATTTTCATGTATTTCTAAAGTCTCATGTTCTTTAAATAGATCCTCTGGCACCAGTCAACACAGAAGCTAGTCACTCTTTGGGCTTGCTGGTTTTCAGGGACCAGTGGCGGCAAATCCTCTTCTTTTCAGCATACTATGCAGTGTAGTTATAGTAATAAAGGTTGAACATAGAGTAAAATTCATCAAATTGAAAACTTTAAATCCATTTATTTATGCTGTTTATCCAGAAGGCAGCAAAAAACAATTGTAATGATTTCCAATGATTTAACAAAAAAAGGCTAAATTATTTGTTGACCCCCATGGCAATCCTATGTCATCTTGAATAAACAACTTAACATTTTATATTAAAGGACCACTATAGGCACAAAGACCACTTCAGCTTAATGAGGTGGTCTGTGTGCCTGGTCCAGCTAGGATTAACCCTTTTTTCTATAAGCATAGCAGTTTCAGAGAAACTGCTATGTTTATAAATGGGTTAATCCAGCCTCTAGTGGCTGTCTCATTGACAGCCGCTAGAGGGCTTCCGCGCTTCTCACTGTGATTTTCACAGTGAGAAGACGCCAGCGTCCATAGGAAAGCATTGTGAATGCTTTCCTATGGACTGGCTGAATGTGCGCGCAGCTCCTGCCACGCATGCGCATTCAGCCAAAGAGGAGGAGAGGAGGCGGAGAGAAGGAGGAGAGCTCCACGCCCGGCGCTGGAGAAAGCGGTAAGTTTAACCCCTTCCTCCCTCCAGAGCCCGAGTATGTTTTCCTGGCACTATAGTGGTCCTTTAATTACATCCTTGAATATTCTGTTTTGGGGAAAAATAAAGACACACTAATTAGATAATATTCTCTTTCTAAATAGTTTCTTATCAGATTTATAGATATTTTTTTAAAGGCTTGGATGCCTTATTTAATAATTTTTTCCCAAATACAGAAACTTGAATTGGGGCCCACCATAGGACAAGCTAATTGAGTTGTTGTTGTCCATTCTTTTGAAATGTACAGAATACACTGGTCATGAATTTGAGAAAGTAAGCAATAAAACATAATTTATTTGTGTGTCTTTTTCCCCATGCAGGGTGGAATTTCAGAACAAATTTTACATAGGCACTGGGTTCAAATTCCTGCCATTCTCCTTCGAGAGCATCAGAGAGGGCAGATTTGATGACTGAGTACCAACTCTGCTGGACCTACCTAGCCCCTGTGAAGATGTACTTAGTTAATTGTGTATTTGTTTACTTGTGTGTTTGAAAACTTTGAGCAAAGGCCCATTGAGATGCTTAGTGTTATATTGAAGCCATTGTGTTTGAACGTCATGTTCTTTAAAATCACACATTTCCAGCCTATTTTAATGCAGAACTTGTCAGTAAATTCACTAAATATGTTGGTGAGGAAAAATTTCAGCGTTGTATTTTCACGGCACTGATACACAAACGTTTTGGTGAGCGCCAAAGTGAAAATAGTAATTGAGAGCTGCACAACTTGTTCAAAATAGCACGTAGTGCTGTGTTTAGTGCTTCCCCTTATATATTGTTTAAATGTTGATCCTTACCCTTTTACAGGATAAGCATATTGGAGAGCAGCTCTCACACCATCCACAACTACACTTGATTTTTTTTTTTTGAATGACACTCCTGTCACTATTTATTATTTCCACCCTTAGGTAATTATCAATATAGTGTCCCAGAGCTCTTCCTCATTCTCAAATAGTTAAAAAAAAAAAAAAAATGGTCCGAAGCAAAAGGATGCCCTGATGGCAACTTCTTTTGGGGGCTTGGCCATGTAGCAGTAGATGAAGCTTAAGACCACTCGCTCTGTCTTGTGACCATTCTCTGACCTTACCTCACTATTTTGTGTAGTAGTTGTACAAATCTGTCACTTTCCGTTCTTCATTAGACTTTAATACCCAACACTATGAGCCATCAAACACCTTGCCAAGGAGAGCTGTAATAGAGTGCCAGGTTGGACATTATTTCATTATCACTTACATTTTGGAGGAAGGAGTTGTAAAAGACACACAAACTGTGCAACCACACTTGAGTTAAAATCATAGATTATTACATGTGGTGTTTTATTGGACCACCTTGCAGTAACATGCTACTCTGTAATATTGCTTCAAGAGATTGTTCATAAAATTGCTTAATGTAACTTGTTATAAGATAATTAAGTCTCGTGCTGTAAGTGGTGAATAACCTGTACCCAGCAGAAAGTGATCAGACTGTTGTGTAATCACATTAATGATTCCACATTTAATCATATTCAGATCTACATGCACTGACACAAGTGATCCTTCGCCTAGGAGGCACTCAGAATGCTTAACACAGAAAAAAAAGAGCAGATTATATGTCTGCAATCAAACCAATTTTAAACCTTGATTTCACTTGAACATGTTTTTCAAGTTCAATACTTACATTTAAAAGGAACCTATTGTCTTGAAAATAGCAATTGTTTTTCAGGACTTTAGGTTCCCATTCAAGCAGTGTGATCACTGTCCACCGCCCTTTGCTTTATAAAATGAAAGTAATAATAAAGATTGCTTACCTCATTTCCAGCGCAGAGACTCCTCCACTGCAGCAGCCAGCTCTGCCTCCATCATTGTCAGCATCACTGTTTACATCTCATCCAATCCAATGCTTCTCATGGTGGATGAGCTACAAAACAATGTGTACCTCCAATCAAATACTGCTATCACAAGTGGTTGATTGAAGAGCAGAGTTTGACTTGATTGTGGAGGCGGAAGCACCTGCAGTGGCCGACAGAAAGACCGCCACTGTAGGTGTGTTAAATAATTCAATGTAAACATTACTGTTTTTATAAAATGGCAATGTTTTACATTAAAAGGTTAATATTATAATGAAATTATTGGCCGTATTATTAGAAATAATATTTATGGGGTTTATAAATATAAAAAATAAACCTGCGCCACCTATTTACAATAGTAAATTTGCAATAGTCATTTTATTGAGAGCCGAAGGCTGCTGCAAAACCTCATGTAAAGAGGATCTCCTCAGATTATACCAGAAATTGTCACCTTCCTGATATGTTTACACTAGTGATTTTACATATTAATGTAGTATAAATTCTGTAACTGCTGTGACTCTCTGTATGAAGCTTTGTTCATGCAAATAAATCTTTAATTTATGACATCTGGAAATTTGTCTGGGTTTTTCTTTTTTTCGGAGGTTGTAGGGGGGTGTTGTGTTAAAATATCTGGAGAAAAAGTGTGTTCCCACTAGAACTCCCCAATCAGTAGTTAATGGAAACCTATAGTTCTGATATTAACAACCCCTACTTTTACCCTTTGTGTCACTATCCCCCACTCCCTCTAGAATGAAAGCTCATTGAGCAGGGCCCTCCACCTCTCTGTTCCTGTACATCAAGTTGTCTGGTTAAAATTAAATGTCTGTTAATCCACCCTTTGTACATCGCTATGGAATCTGATGGCTCTATGTAAATAATAATCTATCCTCTCCACTTTTGAAGACATGAACATGCCTGTTGATCTTCTCCAATCCTATGATTCTCAGAGAACCAACTGCCATGCTCCTCCAGTCAAATGCTGCTATTGGCAAGTTTCACTGTGTTCTGGAGGAGAAAGCATCTCTGCCAGGAATACAGCCACTAGAGGTGTATTTAACTCTGTAATGTTAACATTGTAGTTTCTAAATTTAAAATGACAGGATCTCAATGAAGTGGTCTGGGTGATTTTAGAGGTCCTTAAACTAACCTATGATTATTGGCATTTATCAAATATCAACATATTACACAGCACTGTACAGTTATGGAGAAAAAAGATGTGCAATATATACAGACCAATACAAAAGGTAAAGAGGGCACTGCCTGGGAGTGGAGATTAAATACAAAGTGTTTACTTGGGTAGTTACATAGTTACATAGCTGAAAAGAGACTGCGTCCATCAAGTTCAGCCTTCCTCACATATGTTGTTGCTGTTGATCCAAAAGAAGGCAAAAAACCTAGTGCTTCCAATTTTGCCACAAACGAGGAAAAATTCCTTCTTGACCCCAAAATAGCAGTCAGATGTCTCCTTGGATCAAGCAACTATTACCCCACTAATTAGAAATTATATCCCTGTATGTTATGTTTTTGTAAGTATTTATCCAATTGCAGTTTAAACATCTGTAGTGACTCTGACAAAACCACCTCCATATGGAGAATTCCATATCCTTATTGTTCTTACTGTAAAAAAAAAATTTCTTTGCCTTAGATGAAATCTCCTTTCTTCCAGACTAAATGTGACCTTGTGTCCTATGTAAAGCCCTGTTTATGAATAGATTTCCAGATAAAGGTTTGTACTGGCCCCGAATATATTTGTATAAAGTTATCATATCCCCTCTCAGGCGCCGTTTTTACAAACTAAACAGATTTAATTTTTTTAGCCTTTCTTCATAACTAAAATGCTCTATTCCTTTTATCAATTTTGTAGTTCGTCTCTGGATTTTCTCTAGTGCCATCATATCTTTCTTTAGAACAGGTGCCCAAAATTGTACAGCATATTCAAGGTGTGGTCTTACCAGCGATTTATAAAGAGGCAAAATTATATTTTCATCCCGATAATTTATGCCCCTATTTATATATGACAAAACCTTACTGGCCTTAGCAACTGCAGATTGACATTGCATATTGCTGCCTAATTTGTTGTCTATAACAATTCCCAAATCCTTCTTGTGTGTGATTATCCCTTAGTGTGTAAATTGCCTGTGCTTTCTTTACCCCGAAGTGCATAACTTTGCATTTCTCTACGTTAAATTTAATCTGCCATTTTAGTGCCCAGTCCCCCAATCTATCCAAATCCCTCTGCAGCAAAACAATATCCTGCTCATATTTTATTACTTTACAAAGTTTTGTGTCATCTGCAAACACTGATACATGGCTTTCAATGCCTGTTTCAAGATCATTTATAAATGTTAAATAGAAGTGATCCCAAAACAGAACCGTGAGGGACACCACTTACCACTCTAGTCCAGCCTGAAAATTTACCATTAATTACAACTTGTTGTACTCTATCATTAAGCCAATGTTCTACCCAAGAACAAGAATATTCATCTAGACCAATTTCTTTTAGTTTGAAGACTAACCTATTGTGAGGAACCATATCAAATGCCTTGGCAAAATCCAAGTAGATCACATCCACTGCATCACCCTGATCTATACTTCTACTTCTTAGTAGAATGCAATTAGGTTAGTTTGACATGACCTATGTTTCATAAAACCATGCTGATTATTGCTAATAACAAAGTTCTTCCCAATGAATTCCTGAATATTATCCCTTAACAGCCCTTCAAATATTTTCCCAGTTACAGAAGTTAAGCTCACAGGTCTATAATTTCTGCCAAGTATGCATCATTGATATTGTCAATTGTATTCTCCAAGCGGCTGCTTCTCGTAAAATTATACCAAGTCACAGGTTGCAGACATAAATAGGGAAGTCATCCACTGCATTAGGGGTGTTAAGGCAGAGAGGTACAGTGCTTTACCAGAAAAACATCTGCAGTAGAGGCACTATGTAGTGGGTATTTCTGCTTGTGATTTAACATGCCCTTCTCTACACTACTGGATGGCATCTGCTCAGCCATTCAAGTGAAAACGGGAATAGTCTTTTTATATGTTTGTTACTCTGAGGGCAGGTGACAGAAATTGAGTGCTTTTTAAGGAAGTCGTCCCTTCTTCAACCATGGTGTCTAGAGTAGAGTGGTTGAGGAAGGGAGGACTCATGTAAAACCCATCACTCAAGCTAGTATAACTCTTTGCTGAGGTCAAGTTTAAGAAGAGTATTTGTCTCAGGATAACAGTCATCAGGGGTGAGATTGGGATTACACAAATTTGAGATGCACAAGACTAGGAGATTGACTGCATTTTCTGTCCAGATTATTCAGTTAGAGTGGAAGGCTTAAATCTAATTGCAAGCAGTTAGGATCTAAGGCACAGTGTGTCTTGTCAGCGTGACAGGCAGGCTCACAATTTCCCTACTGCTTATTCAATTATTTTATTCTGTGGGTACCATTACGTAATGGTTGACAAAAGTATGAAAGCGGGCAAAATTGGTATATGATGAACTGTACAATTTAATTTACATCATTAAAACCTGGTGCACAGCAGGTGTTTCTGGTAGGTAATGAGGCCTTATTGGAACAAATAGGGTTTGGAGATTGGTAGGAAAGAATGGAACAAAGGTAGTAGACACACAGACCCATTTCCTTCTCCCCCTCCTTCTCCTTTAAGGTTTTGAAACAAGTTACTGCATGCACTCTGAGCCTGCAACCAGTGAAATGAGAGATCTCTTAGGTCACCCATTGTGAACTGTCAAACCAGGTGCATGCGCAGTCTACCGTTCAATACTTAGTCGGGAAAGCATTGAATTCAGTGCTTTTCTATGTGAAGAAGCTGATTGGATGATTAGTGGGTCTCACTGTATATGTGCCGAAGGTCAATTAATGCTTTTCTATGAGAAGCATTTGCTTAAACAAAAGAGGAAGGATGATGGATGCAGTGCCACCAAAGAAAAGAGGTGTGTAAGAGACCCAGGAGAACTTGACACAGCTCTAGATTTCAGGTAAGTTTTATGCTATTTAAACTTTAAAGTTCTTTATTTTGTGAAAAACCAGGAGGTGAGGGGGACATAAATATAAAGTATAAGGAGTATGAATTACTAATAAAAAATAAAATATACATATATATCGTATTTACTCAAATGTAATGTGTCATCAATTCTAAAGCGCACATCAATTTTTGAAACTTGAAGCTAAAAAAATGTTCGCCCACTCGGGGCCCATCGGGTGGTTCATTCACTTAGGGTCACCTGATAGGTATTATTGCTGAACAGGGGCCCCGTCAGGCGCCGCGGCTTTTTAAGACCATGACCGGGGCCCTGTTATATTGGCATTTATACATGAAGATGCTACTATACAACATTGTGCTACAATGAAAATGTTTGCCATATACCATAGTAACATTGATGGTATTTCAATTTTAGTGTGTCATGTTAAGTCTATTCTTTCTTAAACCCTCAATCAGGAACAAAATTTGCCTGTGTGAATTCGCATGAATGAAATTCGCCAATGTGAATTCAACCGTTTTAATTCGCCTGTGTGAATTTCGCCACAAAATGAAGTTCACACACCTTACTCCAGCACATATCTGCTCATCTGCTGATGATCCAAAAGAAAAGTTCAGTATAAAGCAAATACATTTACAACAAATGGTGAAAAAAGTCTACTTGTCTCCAAACTGGCAGTCAGATTTCTACTTGGATCAACAAGGTGTTACTTACATATTAACAATTATATCCTTAAATAGTTTGTCTCAAAAAACAGACATTATGTAAAAATGTCGGTATCTGATAGAACAGCTTTTTTGGGGCATAGAATTACACATCTTTATTCTTATTGGAAAGAATCCTGCTGTATGAGAAATCTACTTTCTAAATGGGTGGCCTCTTTTTATTAAAGGACCACTATAGTGCCAGGAAAACATACTCGTTTTCCTGGCACTATAGTGCCCTGAGGGTGCACCCACCCTCAGGGACCCCCTTCAGCCGGGCTCTGGGGAGAGGAAGGGGTTAAAATCTTACCTTTCTCCAGCGCCGGGCAGGGATCTCTCCTCCTTCATAGCGACGTCATCGGCTGAATGCGCATGCGCGACAGGAGCCGCGCGCGCATTCAGCCAGTTCATAGGAAAGCATTTACAATGCTTTCCTATGGATGCTGGCGTCTTCTCACTGTGATTTTCACAATGAGAAGCACGCAAGCGCCTCAGAGGCTGGATTAACCATATTATAAACATAGCTGAAACTGCTATGTTTATAAAAAAAAAAAAAAAAGGGTTAACCCTAGCTGGACCAGGCACCCAGACCACTTCATTAAGCTGAAGTGGTCTGGGTGCCTATAGTGGTACTTTAATCAGCAGATTGCCCAAGAGTGTTTGCACTGGCCATGTATATTTCTTTAATCTTCTCATATTCCATATAATCCTTTTTTTCTGCAGCAAGCACTTTGTTGTTTAATATATAATTGAAATTAAAATAAATTTAGATTAAAACCTGTGTGCCTGAACAGAAAAATCAGCCAGGAATTAAAAAGATTGGAAGCAGCATTTCAAATATTGAAATCATGTATAAATTATTTAAATAATTTGGGGATACGGAGCCACAAACAAAATATGGAAAATGCCAACGACATTCGTTAAATCAGA